GCAATTGTATTATTGTACTACTATTATGCTACTAGTGTACTACTGTACCACTACTGTACTACCCTACTACACTACCACTACCACTACCACTACCACTACTACTACTACTACTACTGCTACTACTACTACTACTACTACTACTACTACGACAACTACTACTGTACTACTACTGTACTACTGCACTACTACTGTACCACTACTGTACTACTACTGTACTACTACTGTACTACTACTGTACTACAACTGTACAACTACTGTACTACTACTGTACTACTACTGTACTGCTACTGTACTACTACTGTACTACTACTGTACTACTACTGTACTACTACTGTACTACTACTGTACTACTACTGTACTGCTACTGTACTACTACTGTACTGCTACTGTACTACTACTGAACTACTACTGTACTACTACTGTACTACAACTGTATTACAACTGTACTACTACTGTACTACTACTGTACTACTACTGTACTGATACTGTACTACTACTGTACTAGTAACTAGTAGTATACTAATTAATAAATCAATATGTATTAGCTTTCCCTCGAACAGGTTTCCCCGAATTCCCCGAACAAGGTCTTGTATTGCTTTAAACGTTCAACCCCCCAATAGCGCGGAGTTTGGCTACACACCCCCAATTAGACAGGCTCACCCGATCTCGCCCGGAAAAACCTGACCTTGAATAAACCCCCATGCCCACCCCCCCAAGTAGACAGGCTCACCCGATCTCGCCCGGAAAAACCTGACCTTGAATAAACCCCCATGCCCACCCCCCCCATTAGAAGGGTCTACTGGTACTGTACTACTACTGCTGCACTACTACTGCACTACTACTGCACTACTACTGTACTACTACTGTACTACGGCTGTGCTACTGCTGTACTACTGCTGTACTACAACTGCACTACTACTGTACTACTACTGTACTACTACTGTACTACTACTGTACTACTACTGTACTACTACTGTACTACTACTGTACTACTACTGTACTACTACTGTACTACAACTGTACTAGTAACTAGTAGTATACTAATTAATAAATCAATATGTATTAGCTTTCCCTCGAACAGGTTTCCCCCAATTCCCCAAACAAGGTCTTGTATTGCTTTAAACGTTCAACCCCCCAATAGCGCGGAGTTTGGCTACACACCCCCATAGACAGGCTCACCCGATCTCGCCCGGAAAAACCTGACCTTGAATAAACCCCCATGCCCACCCCCCCAATTAGACAGGCTCACCCGATCTCGCCCGGAAAAACCTGACCTTGAATAAACCCCCATGCCCACCCCCCCCATTAGAATGGTCCACTGGTACTGTACTACTACTGCTGCACTACTACTGTACTACTACTGTACTACTACTGTACTACTACTGTACTACTACTGTACTACTACTGTACTACTACTGTACTACTACTGTACTACTACTGTACTACTACTGTACTACTACTGTACTACTACTGTACTACAACTGTACTACAACTGTACTACTACTGTACTACTACTGTACTACAACTGTACTACAACTGCACTACTACTGAACTACTACTGTACTACTACTGTACTACTACTGTACTACTACTGTACTACTACTGTACTACTACTGTACTACTACTGTACTACTACTGTACTACTACTGTACTACTACTGTACTACTACTGTACTACTACTGTACTACAACTGTACTACAACTGTACTACTACTGTACTACTACTGTACTAGTACTGTACTACTACTGTACTACTACTGTACTAGTAACTAGTAGTATACTAATTAATAAATCAATATGTATTAGCTTTCCCTCGAACAGGTTTCCCCCAATTCCCCAAACAAGGTCTTGTATTGCTTTAAACGTTCAACCCCCCAATAGCGCGGAGTTTGGCTACACACCCCCAATTAGACAGGCTCACCCGATCTCGCCCGGAAAAACCTGACCTTGAATAAACCCCCATGCCCACCCCCCCAATTAGACAGGCTCACCCGATCTCGCCCGGAAAAACCTGACCTTGAATAAACCCCCATGCCCACCCCCCCCATTAGAAGGGTCTACTGGTACTGTACTACTACTGCTGCACTACTACTGTACTACTACTGTACTACTACTGTACTACTACTGTACTACTACTGTACTACTACTGTACTACTACTGTACTACTACTGTACTACTACTGTACTACTACTGTACTACTACTGTACTACTACTGTACTACTACTGACTACTGTACTCCTACTGTACTACAACTGTACTACTACTGTACTACTACTGTTACTACTACTACTGTACTACTACTGTACTACTACTACTGACTACTACTGTACTACTACTGTACTACTACTGTACTACTACTGTACTACTACACTACTATACTGGTCCCCAAACAAGGTTCTCCGGGACCTTGAACAAGGTTTCCCCCAAACCCCCCCAACAAGGTTCTTCCACTTAATCGTTTCGGGGGTTTTGGGGGCGAGGTGTCCGACCTTGTGACCTTGATAGCGGGGGGGGGGGGGCTCCCCCCCTTTCTTAATCAGGTTCCCACATTAGGGATATCCCCATCAAATGCTTATGCTTATGTGCTTTTTGGGTCCCTAACTAGTAAGTCTGCCTCCGACAACTCTGCCCTTGACTCTTAAGCTTCTCGACTTGCTGTCCTCGTCTTTGCTTACTCGACCGTGAATGGACTGCATCACCACTGGGTTGTGCTTGAAACCCTTTGCAAATCATGTATGAAGAGGTTCCCTTTATAAGGAAATGCGGGAAATTAAGTTGTCCCAAAGCACAACCCAGACTATCACTAATGGTGCCGCATTAGGCTCGCCCCTGTTCTTGCCTTTTTTGGTCGAACTGCTTCTCTTTGCTCGGTGTGATGCCACAGTCTCCTTCCTGGTCACGAGCTGCCTTGAAGCCTAAATCCTGCAACCCTTAACCTGAAGTCCCGACTCCTAAACCGCCACCCTTTGGGGGACCTGATCGCCAAAAATGCAAAACAACCCCTCTCTTCGGCCAAAAATGTTTTTAAAAAGAAAGACCCTTAAAGGCAACCCTCTCACCCTTAAAGGCAACATTCTCTTCTTGGGGGCCAAGATGCATACCGTCCCAGGCCCTAAAACCCTAAACCCTAAATCCTAAACCGTGAAACCAGGCCGTAAAACCCTAAATCCTAAACCCTGTCTTCTGGCCAAGATGCATACCCTCCCAGGCCCTAACACCTAAATTCTGAACCGTTAATCCTAAACCCTAAACCCATTTCTCAAGCCAAGATGCAACCCCTCCCAAGCAGCTCTCAGCCGTGGGAAGTTCAGAGTCGGATCCACGCGAACGAGGTCGGGCCCGCGCCCGTCAAAGCTGGGGAGACTGCTTCCCTTCCAAGTGGGTCCATTTGGGAGTTTCCGAAAATTAGGGGTACCTTGTTTGGGGTCCTTATAATGAGGATCCTACTACTTGGGGTACTATATTAGGTCCCATATTTTCGGAAATCCCCATGTGGGTCCATTTAGGGTTAAGGGCTTCGTGTGAGGACTTCTCAAAGGTTACTCTAAGGGTTCTACCGAAGCTGATGTAAGCCTTCCCAAGGGGGTCCATTTGGGGTGAAGGGCTTCATATGAGGACAGCTTAAAAGTTACTCTAGGGGTTCTAAGGAACCTGATTGTAGGCTTTCGAACGATGGTGCTGAAGGCTATAAGGCTTAATGCGAATAGGACTACCTACGGAGGCTCTTGGCTTCGAGGGCAAAGGCGCCTGTCTGATTGTCCTTTTTTGGTGAGGGTCTGGAGCTTAAGCTGTCGAGTTTAGGCTTGTGGTTGCAGGCTCTACCCATAGGCCCCAAAGTAGTTCCCTTTTGGGATTACCTTATAGAACTCTAAATATGAACCCCAAAACAAGAACTACTTTGGGGCCTATGGGTAGGGCTTAAGGTTATGCTTGAGACGAAGCCTTTCTTTTCTTCTTGCAGTATTCGGCTTGGGTCTTCGTGTAGAGGCCACAATAACTAGAATAGGGCTCTGGGGGCCCACACTACCACATTGCAACAAGAAGCCCCAAGGAATGGTACTGTTGATCATATAAATCCTGCCTTACCTTAAGGACCCTAAACTATGGGAATTATGGTATATTCCTTATTATGGGTAATGCACGATTGATATCATCAACCGTATTGGCAATTATTCCGACCCCAGTTGGTGATGTAGGAAAAGTCTGTGACCTGAAGACACCGAAGCCTTAGTTCAAACAGGAAAAGGAGGGACTCTTAATGGGGACCAACAGGAAAAGGAGGGACTCTTAATGGGGACCCCTACCCTTTTATGGGCTATATAATGGGTATATAATGGCTATATTAAGGGTATATACCTGGGGGTCCTTATTAAGGGTCCCTCCTTTTACCCTTGGATTAATCGCATGGCGGATTAGCCGTTTCCATCAGCGAATTGAAAGGTTGAATGCTGCCAACGGGATCTGTGCAGGCCGTTTGCAAACGATCCTGACATTGTACACACAAGGATCTCTGAACCGTCAACCGACGCAGAAGTGAATTCCCGAAGCCTACATTATAGTGTATCCCTGGGCGATAAGCTGGATGTTATAGTTTACGCTTGCTCGTTAAAGTACGCATACAAAAAACCGCTGTGGCCCAGTATACCCTAAACTCAACAGCACCGCTTGAGCTTTGGGGTTTGATACAGGGACCTTAAAAATTACCATACCGCGTTGGGGGCTCCGTCTTACAACTATATCATAATGGGCCACATAACACTATTCCAATTACTAAAGCCCCTTCTTAGGCCAGCTTAAGGTTTGTAGCTTCGGTTTCGGGCCACTCAGCGACGAAATACACCCTACAACCCTACGTACTAAATCCCCAAAACTACTATACTGAAGACTATATTGTGGTGTCGTTTCTTTTGAACGCAGGGTTTAGATTTTCGGATTTAGGGTGACTAACAATCCAAAACCTGGAACCGGCCTATGCTGTATAGGCCCTTAACTCTATCCCGCCTGGCTGAAAAAGAAATACTCTCCGCGCAACCCAGGCTGCAGATCCTCACTGAGGAAATCTAGGAGGGTCTAAGGTTTAGGATTTAGGGTTTTGAGTTTCTAAAGGTTTAGGAATTATGGCTTAATTTAGGGTTTAAGGGACCTCCAAAACCTCTTGGAGAAGCCGGGGCAGAGCGGTATTTTCATGTCGATGCGAAACGACAAAAGACAACTCAAAACCGCGCAAAGCTCAGCACAGGGACAGAAGAATCTACGGCTACTGTAGGGGCCGCAATAATAGGAATAGGGCTTTGGGGGCTCCTTAGTTTATTTCTGATAGTCTACTATGCCCCTAAGCCCGATTCTAACCATTAAGGCCCCTACATTACGGTATACCTCCAAACCCTGAACCCTAAACTGTTTGGGGTGCCCGGGGCTGCCATATACTGAAAAGGAGAAACTCCTCGTAGAGTTGACTTCATCCCCGCCCTTTACGAGTATTTTCTTCGGGGCTCGCACTTTAAAGCGCCGAAAGCGGACGGCGCCTGGGCTTAGGGTTCATGATTGTATTAATGCCGCCCTAAGACCCGCACCTCACGCCTTCAATTCCTAAGCCCTGCCTGAAAACCCTACCTTGCAGGATTTGTGTGAAAAACTAAACCCTAAACCCTGAACCCTCGTACAAGGAAGTCATATGGGAGCGCTAGGTTTTTTCGGGTTTGGGGGTGGTTTAAGCTTTACCACCCACATCTGAGGGCAAAGGGCTCTCTAAGCTTAATAAGGCAACTTCCCTATACAATCGTAGTTTAGAGCCCGAAAAAGCAGAACAATCTCGAGAATGGATTCTTTTCGGAAAAGTTATACCCAAAATCCAGACCTCAAGACCCAAACCCTACATCCTAATCCCTAGGCCCCAACCCCAAACCTGACCCGATACCCTGAGCCCTAAATGGAAACCGTCGCAGTAAGGCTACCAGGTTGTTGATTGTATGGGAAAACAAAACTCACAACGATAGTCCCAAAGGGTCCAAGTACCTAATTGTCATATTAATGCTCTCCAAAATAGTCGCCTACAAAAGTACTATCCAAAACCCAAGTACCAAGTATTCGGACATTTGGACCCCAAGGAGTTACACTGTGTTGAAACAATACCTTAGTTGCTGAGTTCAGAAGCCCCCAAAAGTGTACACTTTCAGTTTTACAGTGGGTAATATCATCCAAAAAAGTCTAAAGTGTATCCACTCAGCTACTAAGATAACTATAGGGGGGCCATTATACTCAGCTACTAAGATACTTTCTAAATCCCATGTTCCTCGTTAAAGGCAAAACCGGTCCTGACTCGCCGTAATCACGCGGACCGTGATATTCTTCGTCCGGTTCTCCTTCTTGCATAAAGGTCGGGTACTAAGGGCTACAATAAAGGGCATTACAAAACTATTATCTTACCAATATTAGAGAGGTATAACATTGGGTGGGCATGGCAGTTTGACTTGAGGACACCATGCACCCTGAGCCCTAAAGCCAAAAATGTCAAGCCTTTAATGAGGTGGTTCATTCGGATGGCTGAAAGGAGTTCGATGGCGAATATGGAAGGTCATGCATACATACATACATGCTTAAGTACATACGCGCGTGTACATGTGTATATACATACGGAAATGCTCATAGATAGTCTGTGAACATATTCCAGCTACATGTATGGTATGCATACACATACATGTGCAGAGTATTATATGACCCAAGTAGAGACTCCTATTGTAATCTAGTCGCCACAAAGGACACTCTCAAGAGCCTTCAGATAAAACCCGATCCCTAAACGACTGAGAAACGTCCGTTCCCAAGAGCCGCCAGAAATGAACAGAACTCCACAACAAGAAGCTGAGACTTCAGGGTTGGCATGGTTGGGGGCTGCACGGTTAAGGGTTCAGGGTTTAGGGTTTAGGGTTTGGGGGTTTAAGGTTTTGACTGCGCGTCATCGCGTCGAATTCTTGCGATGGCCGCAGACAGCAGTACGCGCCTGCCTCCTCCTGCAATTCCTCCGGCGCGGGCGGGACGAGGCAGCGGATCTCATCATAGGAGGCGGAGAGAACTTGACATGGAACCTGCTTGGGCTTGGGATTTAAGAGTTTTTGGGGTTTAGGGTTTAGAGTTTAGGGCTTGGGTTTAGGGTTTAGGGTTTAGGGTTTGGGTTTAGGGTTTAGGGTTTAGAGTTTAGGGTTTGGGTTTAGGGTTTAGGATTTTGTTAGGGGCCGATTGCAGGATTTAAGAGGAAGGACTTGAGGCCGAGGATTGCGGGATCAGAGTCACAGGACTTAGGCGGGTGGTCCGCTTTTGTTTAGCTCTCCCAAAGGATCCTATGCAGTGTTATGGGGGATACTTCCCTGGATCATAATTGTAATTCCTAATATAGACAGCCTACATTCTACGATATAGGTACATAGGACCTTTGGGTCTTGTGTTGTGGTGCACAACCTGGTCCAAGTTGGGATTCCCTTCAAGCAGCTTAAACCCTAAACCTGAAAGGCAACACACCAACGCATCCCAAACACCCCACACAATCTACGACGGGGGGCTTGATTTTTGGGTACATGATACAAAACAACCAGGGGTAACCATTCAGCCATCCCCCCCGCTCTGTCCAAGCAAAACCTAAACCCTGAAACCCTTCCACCCAAAAAAAAACAAGACACGCCTCACTGGCGCAACCCCGCCTGGCCAACTGTGACGAGGTTCATACTGGGCGAAGCTCCAAATCCAACACCTCGGCTTGACATTTTTCAGGGGGGGGAGGAGGATTTAGGAGTTAGTTGGGACGTGGGGTTCAGGGTGAGGTTTAGGCTTGGGGGGCTAGGACTTAGGATTTAGCTGGTTTACGGTTTGAGGTTCAGGGTTTAAGGACTAGGATTTAGGAATGAATGTTTAGGGTTTGAGTTTACAGGGGTTTCAGTTCGGAATTGTGCTTAGGCTTTGGGGTGTCGGAGTGCTGGCTGTAAACGCGAAAAACCCCTGTTGCAACAAGGTTACGAAGCCGGTTAGTAAAGCGCACAAAAAGCCTCTCTGATTGAAAACGAAACCGTTTTTACGACGATGGGTGTCTCGGCTCAAGCTAACAATCGGGTTTTATGCCTTGTAACCTTGTTGTTAAAAGTTCTTGCTTGAAAAGCTTGGGGTGTAGGCTTAAACCCAGGGCGCTTAGCTCTTGTGTTCTGAAGTTTTGTGGACACAGAAATCCTCAACCCATGAGCTCTGCGGGTTCCCAAGCCTAAACCCTAAACCCTAAACCCTAAACCCTAAACCCTAAACCCTAAACCCTAAACCCTAAACCCTAAACCCTAAACCCTAAAGCCTAAACCCTAAACCCTACCTAACAGCAGCAGGCCGCAACCCGAAGCCCGAAGTTCGACGCCCAAAACCAGAGATCCTTGCAGTGCTTCTGGGCGTCCGGAGATCGTAATCGTCGTGCCACCGTAGAAGGACCCGTTCAGAGGGTACACAGAAGACCTTGCTCTCAAACAGGCTCGCAGATTCAGGATTCAAACTTAAGACCTAACCCTACACCCTAAACCCTATTATAGCCCCAAGCCTAACCCTAAACCCTAAACTTTATAAACCTCGAAAAAGTAGACTTTGATACTGAAGCTTCGGGGCTTTGGTATAGCGCTTAGAGATTCAGGATCCAGCTCGCAGCTGTTGGGCTCTGGAGTCTTTAGACGTGGCTTTTAAGTAACCAGGCAGACAAAGGTATATATAATCTTTTATTTCATAATAGCTCCTTTATATAGGAAAAGAAGTATTCAAGTATGATACTCCGAAGCTGCGTAGAGTGTAAGGCTTTTGGATGGGGTTTGGGTCTAGGGTGGAGGGACCTCCGTATTTAAAATGCGGTTTTTGGGTGTCTCATAATACCCTCAAAGTGAGGGACGCTCAGGAAGAATATTGGCAAGTATTTGGTGCTGTATCCCCAATTAAGATATCCTGACAATAGCAGTTCATGATGCCTCTAGTCTTATTGCAGGGCGCAACCCCCGAAGCAGCTGGTTTTGGACCCAGACGCGAGCCCACTGGGAGGATCGGCGACTCACTCTGAATCCCAAACCCTAAACCCAGAAACCTGAATCCTTTCAGAGGCTCCGAGAGGAACTTGTGATTGCTGGTGCCAAAGCCAAAAAATCCAACAGAGTGTCGTTTTCATTAACCCAGCCATTGCGGCCAAGGCTGCAGGCGCAGATGCTGCGTGAAATGGAAGTCCGCCCCGGTGAATGGCGATGCAAAGAGGGCATAGCCAAGTGTGGTGTGCACGTAGATAGGCCTGGGAACTTCGGGGTTTTCAGGCTTTCAACAGGTTTCAACGGGGCTCCACAGAGTTGTCATCAGAGCTAGCCAAATCGGAGTTTCCGAAAATAGGGGACCCTAATATAGTACTCTAAATAGTAGGATCCTTATTATGAGGACCCCCAAAAAAACACCCCCCCAATTTTCGGCAACCCCCAAATGACGAAGTAGCAATAGTCGTCTCCTGAAGTCCTGAAAACTTGACAAACCGTGAGGCCTTGCTCCAATTAGACAGACCCTAGACCCTAAACCCTAAACCGTAAAAGCCCTAAACCCTACACCCTAAACCCAAGCGTCTCATAGCCCTGGAAATCCAATGGCCCGAACAATTGCAAGCAGGTGTTGGGATATATCGTTGGCGCTGGAAGGGTTTGCCCTAGCACGATCCTGCAGGAGACATGAACAATGAAAGATATATCGTCACAGCACTTTATAGCAACTATGAGGGGAGACTATCAAAACCTCGGGTCCTGCTTCTGCGAAGGGAATGGGGAAGCGGAGCTTAGGCGTGCAAGGGGTCGGGTTCCCTGCACGCACTCAGGTCTACAGTTTCTGTTTCGGGCTCCGACCTGAGAGGTTAAAGGGAACTCTAGAAAGTTGGAATATGGTTTCAGGGTAGGATACCCTATCATTTACCATAAAGGGTTTAGGATAATCATATTCCAGCTTTCTGGCTTCTACTCTTGGGCTTCCGGGTCTCTAGAAGAACCCAAACCGAGCACACTTAGATTGCAAGAAATCCGGACTCTTGAACCAAGAAGCCCTGACCAAAAACCCTTACTTCACCCAGAAATCCTTCATGCCCCTGAAACGGGTCTGAAGCCTTAAGCCGCCGCCTGAACACCCTCCGTCCCCTAAACTAACATGAAATCTCAATGGGCTCCTGTTCAAGAAGGCAATCCAAAACGGGCACGGATTGGGATTTTGTTTTGGTTTGGGGGGGGGCGGGTAAATTTAATATTTCTTCTGAATCCAAAAGCCTAGGCCCGGTGACCCTTTCTGCCCAATTAAGACGATGCATATTCCAACTTGCCGCTTCCTTTAGCCCCTGCCTTACGACGGTCCTGCAAAGCAAAACCCTGAGCGACGAACCTGGATAATTAGGGTTGAGAGTTAGTGGAGGATGACTATCATAAAACATCCTACAGTAGAAGCCGAAAAGTTGGAAACCCCATAGCCTCAATCCTTAAGTGTATAGGGAATCCCAGCACTATTTAGCCTCAATCCGGTTTCCAACTTTATGGGGCTTTTTACCCCCAAACCTGGACCCTAAAGCCTAACTGAAAAGGGCCCTCCATCCACGCCAGCGAGTGCCAAGCTGCACGTTGGAGGCTTCGAAGGTGCACAAAGGCAGCGACAAAGACCACCAAGAGCCCCTTCGATAATTCGGACGGATAATAGAAACACAACAATCTAGTGATATCTAACAGTAACAATCACAATAATCGTGACCCTAAAAATAGCAAAAAAATACTACTCGTCATAATATTACTACCAGACCTGAGATTCCAATAACTGTAATAGGAAGTAAGAATGAGAAATAAGAGTAATAGCAACAATAAGCGTTCGGTGTACCGTCTCTGGGAATCTGGGGGGCAGAGCAGGAAAAATTGGGATGCCATTATCTCTGAAGCGTGCATTCGAGTTTAATCGCCTCAAGTAGGCGTTTAGGAATGCGAGTTTCAGGGTTTAGGATTTAGGGCGAAGCATGAACCAGGGATTGCAAACATCACTACCGCCTTGGACGTGGGCGCTTTTCAAAACAGGGTGCCTTCCGGAAACTTGCTTGATAATGGCGTGTGCCCGACACCCTAAACCGTTATCCCCTGAAGCCCTAAACCCTCAAAGCCCTAAACCCCTGTGCCCTAAAAGCCCTGAAGGATTCTTCCAGGAGGCCTTCGTTTTTTTTCGCAACAACTGAACCAGGCCATCCGACAAATGCCTAGGGTTTAGGGTTTAGGGCCTCAAGAACCAACCTACAACTTGAAGAAAGTTACCTTAATCAAATCGCTTGCATGGGTATCATGGTAATACTTGAGTATCTACACTATACCTAGGAGAACCGGTAAACACCTAAACCCTGAACCCTAATCCCTAAACCCCAATCCCCAAACCCTAAACCACCCAAGAAACCCTTCTTTGCCAGGCTTCTCTTCGGTAAGATTCCGGATCTGCACATCGGGACACCTTCGAGTGGGGGATTTATGGACTCATTTAGGGGCCTTGATGATAAGAGTGGGGTTCCTTTAAGGGCTCCTGTACAGGATTACCACGAGGGTTCTATACTTGAAGGCGACTTCACAGGGGTTAGTATAAGCACCTTAACACTTACACGATGCCTTGGGGAGTTCGTACACTCACATTGTAGTAGGAACCCCAGGATCCTGAGGAATGGTAATGTAGGAACCTGATTAAGAAACCCTGGGCCTAAAACCCCAAAATGGCAGGATTCATATAAGGAGCCGTAATAAAAGGCCCAAGGTTTCTACATTATGAGTAATTATTCAAGCCTTGTCTCTTGCGGCTGTTAAGATCTTGAAAGGGTTGGCCCTGATAATATAAGCAGCCCTGAATGCAAGCCCTTGCAGCTCTCCGTACTTCGTGCTCAGAGCCATGGTAGTCGATTTAGGGCTTCGGGTGTAGAGGCTATGAGCCCTGGGTACGCACTACTCCGTGTAAACCTACAGCCAGTATCTCACCCCACGCCCTGATACCTACACCCCCAATTCCTGAAGCCTAGGCCCTGAACCCTAACTCCCAACCCCTGAACCGTTTACTCTCAAATACACGCAATAGGAAAAGTCCCTGTAACCTCCATATCATTTTCGCACAACCCGGCCCAGATTCCAGTTCGGACTAGTTAGGCACATCGTGGACACTGTCGACCCCTGACAGAACCTGGCCAAAAGTCCAAAAGTTGTTTAAAGCCTGAGAGAATTCTTAAGCGTAAGCTCAAAATCCCGAAAACCTAAACCCGAGAACCTTCAACCCCAAACCCCAAAATCCTAAACCCAATTTCCAAAGCCCTGCAGCCTAACGAGCCAAGGTGCAGCTGCTCTCCGAAGCGCACTGAAACGCCTTCTGGCTCCTTTGAACATGTGTTCTTTCTTCGTCTGCTTCGGGATTGGGGCTTTGGGTTTAGGGTTGTTGCTAGTCTGTTTTCTCGCCTGTTTGATAACATACGTTGAATTGTCCATGACTTTCTTATCCGGTCATGGCAGCTACTGTTGTCGTTTTGCTGTTTGTGGCAGGCGTTGCTTTGGGAGTTTAGGCGCTGAGATTTGCAGGGGCAGTTTAGGGGTTAGCGATTTTAAATTTGGCGTTTGGTGTCAAGTCTTTACACGCTTAGGGAAACGATTCGAGGCTCATTCATCCATTTCGGAAAGGATGCTTCCAGGCGCCTGCACTGAATCTAGCCTTTACAACCCTGGTAGTACCTATAGTCTCCATTGTAGTTCCTTTTTGGGGTTACCTTTTAGGATCCTTAATACAAAATCGGTTAAACCAAGAAAGGGAACTACAATAGAGACTATAGGTAATCCCCAACTCCCCGAAGCCTCCGTACTGGACCCAGGGATCCGAAATGCAGCCCTCCGCCCTCAACCCTAAACCCTAAGCCCCCTAACCCCGAAGCCCTAAAAAAGCCTAACGGATGAGCCTCTGCACTGAACAGAGTGAGCTCCACGTCGACGCCGTCGGCATAGGAGCCGTTGAGAGGGCTCACAGAGGTCCTTCAGTGGGTTTTGGTGGTTTGCAGGATTTGTGACAAACCCAAAGAGCCCAATACGCCTTAATTAAAGAATATTGCATAAATCATAATATGAAGCCGTATATAATTTAAGCCATATTCCTTTATGTAATTTAAGCCATATTCCTTCACTAAGGGGTGTTGGGCTCTCTGGGAAGCCTTCGTGGGGCTTTACAGGGGTTGGGTTTCTGGTGGCTCGGGTCCTAGGAGTTTGCACCTTAGGCTTCAGGCTTCCGGCTTGGAAGTCTTGGGCTTACCCATAGGCCCCAAAGTAGCTAGAGGCTCATACCCTACCCGTTTTTAGGATACCTAGTTTTATGGTTAGGACCTGTTATCGTAAAAAGTAGGCGCCCTAAAAAGGGGTAGGGTATGAGCCTCTAGGTAGTTCCTTTTTGGGGTTCATATGTAGAAACCTAAAAATCCCAAAGAGAAACTACTATGGGGTCTTGGGCTTCGGCTTCTAGACTCAAGAGTTCAGGCTTTGGGTTTCGGGTCTCGGGGATTTCTTGAAAGGATCAGGGAACGAGGCCGTGGGAAGTAGGGTCATAAACGCAAGAAGCTCAGGCAGACCAGGGCTTTGGCAGGTTTTGGGACGGGCTTGCCTGGATTCTTGTGGAGGAATTTAACATAGGGTACACCATGATACTTACTATAGATCCCAAGTATTGTGAATCAAACTCAACTCTTTTCTTTCACTTCAGAACCCGTGAGAGGATTCATGAAGGTTTTTGCCAGGGTGTAGGGTGACAATAAGGCCTGAAAATAACCCCAACTCCAGCAAGTAGCGGCTGTGGTTTAAAGCCATTAGGACCTCTAGGGCAATGTAACTTATGTTCCCGAACGAAAGGCCTGTAAAGGGTTTCCCAGGATACATTTGCCTGGGATACCGCCAGTATCGACTGTCGTTCAGACCGCACAGGAACTTTGCAACTGAAGTGGCAGAAGGGGTGTATCTTGGCCCGACAGCACCAGCCCACAGCCACTTTCGGCCTCAGTGCTTTGCAGCTTCGTGGTTCGGGGATTGGAGATGGGGGACACGACATTTTCTAAGCGTAATGGAGAGCTTCTTGGCATGGTCTGAAGAAGAATAATCCCGATTTGGTTTGTAAGGTTGTCGATGAAGGGTTCAGGCGCGAATTTAGTTTTTGCGCTTGCAGGCTTGCTTGGCAAGAAGGTCCGTGTTTAGGCTTGATGCGTTGTGGGCCGTTGCATGATCATTGTCGCGAAGCCGTAAAACCCCCCTTCAAAACCTTTTAGCGCCAACCCTGAGCCTCAACCCCTACGCCTCCGCCCACCCAAAGAAGTCGTACTTCCCCAAAGGGTCCCAGGTACTGTTATGGGGGATACTTCCCCAAATCATAATATTAATTCATAGTTCCTAATATTCTAGAATCCCTACATTCTACTATATCGGTCCATAGGATTCTTTGGGTTCCATCCACGGCACCTTGCAGCGCGCACGGACGCCGTTCAGGGACAGGGAAAGGCTGAAACTCTCGTCGATGTCGACTGCCTTGCCGAGGCAAGGCTTTGGGTGTTTTGTCAAGGTCTAGGGTTTAGGGTTTAGGGTTTAGGGTGAAAAACTAGGTGGGGCTTTTAGAGCCTTTGAAAAATATTAGTAAATAAGATCCTCTTAAGCCCAATAAGGGAAAATATAAAATGTCCCAAAGCCCTACATAGAAAATCATGTAAGGTGCCATAAGAGTGGTATCATGATAGAAGCAATTAATAAGATTGAGATGACTTTAGTTGCCTTAATAGGGAAAACATATGTCAAAGAAATTCCCTCAGTTACCGTAAAAGGGAAACCGTAACTATTGGTTTATTGTAGATCCCGACTATGGCACCTGAATAAATCAGGGCTCGGGGCGTACAGTCTATCATAGGGATCCTTAGGGGTGTAGGGGGGAGGGGTGTAGGGGACTAAAGTTCCTTAAACAGGCCTTATTAGTCCTTATAATGGGCCTTAAGGCCCCCTACCCCCCCTCCCCCTACACCCCTAAGGATCCCTGTGAGTCTAGTGTTCAGGCTTGAAGGGCTCAGCATGCCCGTCTACTGAGCATTCAGGCTTTGGGGTTAGGGTGCGATGTTTGGCATGTACTTATTCTAGGTTCCCGAGTAGCCCCTTCATAATAAGAGCATCCTTTTTCCTACTATTTGGTTTGATAAGGGAACCCCAACCCAAAAAGGGCAAAGGGTACTCTCAGGAACGTAGTATTGCTTCACGGTTCAGGTTTAGGTCCGGTGTTTAGTTTGTAGTCTCTGCAAGACCCCATACAACCTTTGCTCTAAAACTTGTGCACTCTAATAACCCTGTTAACACCCTCAGCGCCTAACCCAACCCGGAGCCCTAAACAAACAACACCTGAAACTGTAAATCCTAAACCCTCAACCCTTAATCCTTAACCCTGAAAGCTCTAAAATGTCTGGTGCTTAGTAGGGAATCGGGGAATGGATCCGTATAGTAGTCCCTATATAATCCCAATAATAGTGTTCATAATCCAATCCCCGATTCCCTACTAAGCACCAAACGGTAAACGGTTAAGCTTGAAGTTGCCACCCTAGACTTACGCTTCTGGCATCCCCGCAATGGACCTCCTCCGTCGCCTCCTCTTCGGCAAAAGTCGGAACATCGAGATCACCTTACGGTGAGAACTCGAGTTCTGCATTCCACGATTGAGGGTTTAGGGTCCAGGGTTTGGTTTAGACTTAGACTCTAGCATCGATTACAAGCTATCCGTCATCTTCGGCAAGCATCACACACCTCGACACGTCACACGCGGCTCTGCATGTCCGGAGGCGAAAGCGTCAAGTGCCTCCAAGCACCTGGAAGCCCCGTCAGGACATCCCTAAGTTAAGCCCTAAGCCCTAAACCGCTAAGTGCGAAACGAGACTTAAAGCATTAATTAAAAAGCTCCGAAGCCTATGCCCTCAAATACCTAAATCGCAAAGCACACTTCTAGCATGAATGTTGCTCTAAATTGCAAAGCTCTCACGGCCCCAAAACCAGACCTGGCAACGAAAACCTTGTCAAAATAACTTCACGTCGGAACATCCCTCAAGGCCCTAACTAGTACGAACCTTACCAGCCGCTATGAGGACCGTTAGACTCTAACGACCAAGGCCTAAACCCTAAACCCTTACACCCTTAGCCCTTAAGACCTCAACCCAAAGCCCTGAGCCAGCAACCTTGCAGACCCTAAACGCCTAGACCCGAAACCCAGAGAGCCCAATACCCCTTAATTAAGGAATATAGCTTAAATCATAATAAGAAGCCCTATATAATTTAAGCCATATTCCTTAATTAAGGGGTATTGGGCTCTCTGGGAAACACAGGTCGGGAGACTGCTGTTGCTGCTGTTGGTGACATTCTCGTCTTCCTCCGTCTCCGTTAAATTGTCTGACTCATCCTTGGCTCAGAGGGTTCGAGTTTAGGGCTCACCTTATCCCCCCAAAGGTTTCGGGTCTATAGGGCTTACCTCATCCCCCGGAGGGTTTAGGGTTAACTTAAATTCCAAAAGCCTGCGTCATAAAAATGCGCCCTAGACAGCTAATTAGGGGTTCCTGTAAGGGGTTACTATCTATAGGCGGTTTAATACAGAGGCCTTTCTACTTAGAGTAGGGGTTTGGGCTTTTTATACTACATTTGTCCTGGGAACTCTGGTGGTGTTTATTCCAAATTATTCCTGCCCTTATACTTTGTCTACTTCTATGTTGAAATAAACCCATAATTGCTGCCAGAGAGTGAAATGTAAACTCTGGCACCTCTGCCATCCACTCTGCTTAAAGGATCCGCGGACTGAGTAAGTACGTCCCCGGATCCGTTAAGTGGTTTGTACAAGCACCCACCAAGGCAAGTTCTGGCACCCTACAGAATCATGTGCGGACACCGTCAAATCATACTAAACAAATCATACTCATCCGGTCTCAGAAGGGGTCCTCAGACGCTGAAACCCTACAGACACTAAAACGAGGTCTTTCTTCTGAGTATAGGTTCTCCAATAACTCATGCATAGATACGGTTACAGATACTTGTAATTACTCAGTCTTCAGATGGAGACTCCAGAACAAAAGAGCCCAAGCTAGCTGACACCCCGAAACCATCCTTGCACAAGTCAAGGCTGGACTCGCTTGCGTTGACGTCGCTTGCATTGGCGTCAAAATCCTTCCAGGGATTCCCTAAGGGTCCAAAGGACCCAAGAAGAAGGTACTTAGGTTTCGGATAGCAGTTATGTAGGTTACTGTTTGGGAGATTATATGGGAGTCTCCGAAAACAAGGGACCCTATATGGTACCCTAAATAGTAGGATCCCTATTATAAGGACCCCCAAATAAGGTACCCCTAATTTTCGGAAACTGCCATATGATTATTAGGTGCTTGGACCCTTAGGGATTTGTGTTGCGTTTAGGGTGTAAAGGATTCGGGATGCCACGGGTCTTGAGGGAGGGTTTCAAGGGCTTCCGGCCGAAAAAAATCGGAGAGTGCAGAGATTTAGAGTTTCGGCTCAGGCTTCTGAAAGAGGGTTTCGGGCTCTAGTGCGTTGGGGACTTCAGTTTGCTGCTAGGTCTTAGGACTAGAATCCGGGAAGCACGATGCGAAGGAGTGTAGCAGAAAAATACCAGAACGCAGTACAAGAATGCTCTTCATACTGCGACTACGACTACGACGCGACGACGACACTGCTGCTGCTAGTGCTTCCGGCAAGCGCTACAGGTCCTCTAGTGCAGAGTTGTTAAGGTCCAGGACCTCCGAGACCGTGAGGATTGGTGGAACCACGACCTCCGAGAGTGTGGGGTTTCGTTGTCAAGGGATTTGGGGCTTAGGATGCTTAAGGATGTAGGATTCATCCACGGTTTATTTAGGGTGTAGGGTCTAGGGGTTCGGGGTTTCAGGTCATAAACGACTTTAGTGGGGTTCCCTGTGTGTGTGGGGCTTCTGGGTGCAGGGGAAAGCCGCGACCTTCGTGGTGGATGGCTTGGTGGTGCTTGCAGCTGGCATGGCGCCATCCGAGTCCTGGGGCTCTCAGAGTTCAGAGCAGCAGAGTTTTAACATATTGTGGAAAAATATGTGTTCCCCATTATGTTAGGGCTTAGGTTCTGAGGGCTCAAATTTTTTCAGATGAAGATGTTAGCTTTTCGGGTGTCGGGGCGATCTAGGGTTGTTACTGATGCTTGTACGTGGCTGCTTGAGTCTATTTATATACGGGAGGGGGGGGGGTCGAAAAAAGTGTCTTTCACATTCAGGATCTATGTGGAGTCTAACTTTGGGTAGCTTTTGGTCTGAACCTCCCTATCTCTAAACTCTAATTACACCCTAAACCTTACCCTAAGTTTGAAACTCTAAACACTAAGCCCCGGTGAAATTTAAGGCCTAAATTCTAAACCCACGAAACCCCAAACCTTAAAGAACTGGCCTCCCAGTTTTAGGACTTGCACAAAGAGATCATAACAAGGCGCCCTTCAATGTAGCAGGTTTTTCAGGATTCAGGTAAGCCCTACTTAAACCCTAAACCTTATATTTCCCCAAACCCTAAACATCAAAGTCCTCAGGCTCGTCGGAGTCGTCGCTACCCATCTCGGAGCTCTGGGAATCCTCGGAAGCCACCTGGTTGGAGCCATCGGAGTCCTGCGAACGCTCCCCGAAGATCTCTCTAAGGATGCTCTAATCGCTTAAGGATTAGGTTTTTAGGGCTTAGGGTTTCAGGGTTTAGGGTTGTTAAGTTTAGTGTCTTGGATTTAGGACTTAGTGTAGGCTGTAATGTAATAGCTTGGGGGGTTTTCGGGGTTTTGGGTGTAGGGGTTTAGGAGCTGTCGGAACCCAGAACCATGAAGCCCATGATCCCGAGCCCCGATAGCGGTACTGTTGATGATATAAATCCTGCATCACCCATAATAAGGAATATACCATAATTCCCATAGTCTAGGGTCCTTAAGGTAATGCAGGATTTGTATCATCAACTGTAGGAGTTGGGCTGCGAGGTTGCTTCCAGGCTGAAAAGTGTGGGGTTCAGGGCTTTGGGGCTTTAGGCTTTAGTGCTGTAGGGCGTTAAGGTTGTAGGCTTATCGGGTCTAGGTCTTCAGTCCTCTGGTTCGTCCGAGTCGTCGCTGATTGTCTCAGAGGCCACTTGCTTCGAGCCATCTGAGTCCTGCTACACTCAGGTTTAGAGATGTAGGGTCTAGGGCTTAGGGTTAAGAGTCTTCCAGAGTTTCCATAGCCTTTTATGAGACCCTACAGAGTTTTAATAGGGTGTTGCAGAAATGGGACTCAGTTTCCAGCTTCGTGGTGCAAGGCTTCGCGGCCCTACTATTGGATTCCAGTTATCGTCGGCATCGTCGGAGGTTAGTTCTCAAAATCCCCCTAAGCCCCAGACTTCGTAAACCCTAAGCTCGAAACTCCACAAACTCTAAACCCAAACTATAAACTCCATTGAACCCTGAACCTAAACTCGGTAAACCCAGAATCCTGCCTAGAGGCTCACACCCTACCCCTTTTGGGGGGATACCTGGTTTTATGGTTAGGGTCTGTCATGTAGAAAGGAAGGTACCTCAACAAAGGGGTAGGGTGTGAGCCTACAGGTGCACCCCAAAGTCCTCGGGCTCGTCCGAGTCGTCACTGCCCACCTCCGAGCTCGCGGAGGCATCAGGGGTCACTGGGTTCGAGCCATCTGAATCCTGCGAGTCTTTTTGGGGGTTTCCGAAAATAGGGGACCCTAATAATAGCACCCTAAATAGTAGGATCCTTGTTATAAGGACCCCCAAATACTGTACCCCTAATTTTCGCAAACCCCCTTTTCAGGATACGATAATGCCACTACCTGCGAGTTCTTGTTAGGATGCAACCTGGAGTCTCCTTCGACGCTCTCTCTTCTGGTTTAAGCAATCTTATATATATTTAGGATCCTATCATAAAGTAACCCAGAAAAGGAACTACAAGGGAGACTATGGGTGTATTACTTTGGGCTTCAGGGTGTGGAGGTTTGGGTTTGGGGTTTGGGCTTTGGGAAAAGGATGCGTGTCTTGTGAGGTTGGACTTGGGGGCTTGAGTTTTGATTGTAAGCCGGGGTCCACCCCAACGACACAGCCTTTTACGGACAACATGGAACCTCTTCACTGAATGTGTGATTCAGGGCTTTCGACCCCTCAGATGTTGGATTTTGGCTTTCATGGTCTCGGGCTTTCCGGCGAGGGGATGGCATGTTTACTACCGTATATGAGTGATACAGTGTCTCGGGGCCGCGCAGTCACTTCTCCACGCACTGTAACAGCTAACATGGCAAAAGCATGATCCCCGACCCGTGCGATGCTTTTCATTGCTGTTCCATCCCGACATACTCATGGTGCAGCACATCTCCACATCGTATGCTGTCTATTTAAGCTCTCCCCAGGGCATCACTAAACCACTCAGACCCTTAAGCCCTAAACCAAACAAAACACAAACCCCCGTCACCCCCACAACCCGTAAAGCAGCCAAAAAAGACTCGAAGACACCTCACCCCAACCCGTTTACCCGCTCAAGCCTTAGGACATCCTAAAACAACGTAACAAAGGGGGTACTTAGAGGAGGGGATGTGCATACTCTACTGTAGCTTTACAAGTATGACAGGGAACCCTCCGGAATTGCATTAACGAATTTCCGCATATCCTAACCCCCGATCCTCAGTCTCTTCCGCAGCATTCGGGTCGACGGATGTATCATTGAGTTCATCGTCCTTCGGGAGGTTCAGTATTGCTACGGGCTTGGGGTTGTTTAGGGCTTAGGATTTAAAGAGTCTTCGCCGGATCCGTATCATTAGAACAGGCTTCCCTTAGGTCCCTGAAAAGGGTTTGCAAGAGTATACCAGGTTCTGTAAGTGAGGGAAGTACGGTTGATGATACACATCCTCGTAATTCCTATATTCTAGGGTCCTTAAGGTAATGCACGATTTATATCATCAACAGTATGTAGCAATCTAAGGTTCAGGCTTCCGAGTTGAAACGTTTTTTGGTTGATGCCACGAGGTCGTGTGCGGGTGATGTTCAGGTATGACTGCGCTGACATGCCAAACGATCTGTTAGCTTTTGCAGTATGGCCGGTCGTATAGAATCACACCATATTCTCATATATTCTATAGAAACACACCTTAATATGACTCGATCCCAGTTTTGAAGGGCCTATATGCGTAAAACCGCAAGGAACGCCTCATGAAAACCCCTCTATAGTCACCAGTTGACCGAGCTCCTTGCGGCGATAACTTACCTCGAGAAGCCATGAGACCCGATAAAGCAATATAGGTATGTGTGTATATATGTGCATTATATGACATATATATATAATATATAATATAATATAATATAATATAATATAATACAATATAATATAATATAATATAATATAATATAATATATTATAATATAATATAATATAATATAATATAATATAATATAATATAATATAATATAGTATAATATAATATTATATATATATATATACATACACACATACATACATACATACATACATACATACATACATACATACATACATACATGCATGCATAAATATATACATGCATCTCTCTCCCTCTCTCCCGCTCTCTCTCTCTGCCTTATGAAACAGTTGTAAACGGTTACCAAGCCTGCTGGTACTCTGTAAACCCTGTTTACCTCACACAAAACCTTGCTATACACACCTTGTCTCAACCCATATGCACCCCTAGCTAAACTAAGAAAACCTACACCCAGGGAGAATCTAGGAGACCCGTAAACATCTCATCAACTGCTGAAACGGCTCGTCCTCGTCTTCGGACATGAGCCTTCGTGGCAGCTGCACAGCCGGGAGATCACGCTGACGAGACCTCCAGACATGGGTCTGACCAGACTGTCGGGACCTTAATATGCATAGCTATAACTATACATACCTATGTATATATATATATATGTATATATAGATATATACAATTACCTAAAAAAGGACTGTCAGTGGATAGTATGACTATTTATGGCGTGGCCTCCTCTTCCGAATGGGCCGAATGTGGGCCAAGCGGAAGTCTTCGGCCGCGTCGCTCTCGACGCCCCAGCGCGGCCGAATCTGAATCTCAATAGGTACCTTGGTCGTAGGCTCAAAACTGTATCAGACAATGCAAGAAACCCTTCATGAAACCAGACGAGAAAGCAAAAAGTATCCCAAAGTGCCACCCAGGCACCGAGAGTCGAGAATCCCCAAGGCGCCTCGAAGCCTCATCTGCGCCGTTCTCTAGGTCTGCCGCCGGACCGTACTGGTCCCCGTATCCGTCATAGCCATCTCCGTATACTTCTCGGTCTCCATATCCTGGCAGGGCAATAATCGGGGTCAGGATAGGGTTTAGGGTTTCCCAGAGAGCCCAATACCCCTTAATTAAGGAACATGGCTTAAATCATATAGGGCTTGATATTCTGATTTAAGCTATACTCCTTAAGTAAGGGGTATTGGGCTCTCTGGGTTATAGGGTTTAGGGCATCTACGCTTTGGGCTTTTTCTACTGGTTTACAACGTCTACAGACTCAGAGCACCCCTCGAATGGAGATTGCCACTGACATGCCCTTCATCCCTATCCCTGATCGCAGCCAATAGGGTAGCTTTCAAAATTAGGGTCCCTTTTTGGGTACCCTAAATGATAGGTGCCGTATTATAATAGGGACCCCCCAAAAAGGAACTATAATTTTGACAACCATCCATAATATGGTCAGCCCGAACAGGAGCTCCCACAACCGTCCTCAATCCAAAGTAGTCTTGAACCCTGTTCGGGTTTAGGATTTAGGGTTTAGGATTTAGGGTGTAAGATTTAGGGTTTAGGATTTAGGGTTTAGGATTTAGGGTTTAGGGTTTAGGATTTAGGGCTTAGGGTTTAGCTTCATGTTTCCAGGCCTCCTTCCATTGCCACAGCATCCTCGTAGTCTCCCACCTGACGACTCTGAGACTCTAAATCCCTACATTCAGAGGGGAACAGGAGGGACCCTTAATGGGGACCCCTACCCTACAATGGGCTATATAATGGGTATATAATTGCTATAACATTCCCACAGCATCCTTTTACACACTACGATGATGGAATTACTGTAGGTGCTAAAAGACCATCCCTGTTATGGTGTTGGGGCCCTAATTCCATAATGGTAGTGTATATGGACCCTCTGGGATTACTGAGTTTTGGTCACATAGCGAAGGTAGGGATACTGAATGTTAGAACCTTAGATTTAGGAATATGTTGGAGAGTCATCAGCTGTCTTCTTGTCCAGGGGAGTGTCGAGGAGAGTCCAGACAACAACGAATCCAGGTATTCGGAGAAGGAGGTTTCGAAAGTTGGCCCTATGTGACTGATCCTCTGTTCCTTCGCTTCGGCTTTGTTGCCCTGAGGTTCCATATATACTACCACTATGGAATTATAGGTCCCTAAAGCCACAATGCGGATAGTCTTCTAGGTCCTGATTCCATAATGGTAGTATAAGTAGCAGTGTATGTATATCTATATATATATATGTATATATATATATATATACACATACATACATACATAATGATATAAATATTATATATACATATATGGACCCTCTGGGTTGTAGTTAAATGTAGCTCCCGACTCCACCCTCGAGTCTTTGGGAACGGTGTGAGGCATGAAGCCTAGGGCTCAGGGTTACAGGCTCTGCTTATAATATCCTTAAGGGAGGGGGCTCCAAGGGGGGTTTCTAGCCTAGTGATCCCTAACTCTCCCTAGTACTCCCTAAGGTTCCCCTAAGTATTCCTTGTACCCTCCCCCCTTGAACCACCCCCCCTTAAGGATCCTATAATCTGCAGGGCTTGAGACTACGGTTGATGATTTTCTTCCTACGTTACCCGATTTTTTCCGAACATACCATAATTCTCATATGATTCTGCATTACACATAATATGGAACATAACATAATTCTCATAGTCTAGGGTCCGTCTGCATTACCCATGAAAAGGAATATACCATAACTCTCATAGTCTAGCGTCATTCTGCATTACCATTAAAAGGAGTATGCCATAATTTGCATAGTCTAGGGTCATGAGGCAAATTCAGGATTTATATCATGAACCGTACAATCCTTCATGCCTGCCCTCCAGTAGTGGCCCTACATCCTGAGATCCGAGAAACCGTAAACCTCAGCGGCTAAAACCCTGAACCTTTGGGAATCGAACCCTGAACCCAAAAAACTGGAACCCTCAATCATGGAACCCAGGACTAGTTCAATACCGACCCTCCCAAAAAGTACACCCAACACTGTTTCCATGCGTTTCATGCCTGGCCACAAGCCCATACACCCTAGAGCCACCCTAACAAACAAGCAAGACCAACGCTCGTGAATTCTACAAGCCCCAATCGCCGAATTCCTGCAACCCTGACAGCCGCAGACACCCCAAACTAAACATAAAGGGAACCTGAATCTTCAGATCTTTACGGTTTAGGATTTTTTAAATGCGGTTTAGGATTTAGGGTTTAGGGTTTAGAGTTCAGGGTTTAGGGTTTAGAGTTTAGGGTTTAGGGTTTAGAGTTTAGAGTTTAGGGTTTAGGGTTTAGGATTTAGGGTTTAGGGTTTAAGAGTTTAGGGTTTAGGTTTTAGGGTTTGATGTGGCGTCTGCTCTTATTCAAAATCTATGAAGCCTTTGTAGCTCTTTCAGACCCCCCCCCCACATAAAAACTAACGGAAAGCCTCGTCCAGTCCAGTAAAACCCAAAAACAACAAAACAAACAAACAAAACAAAAAACACTAAACCCTAAACCCCAAAACCCTCAGCCCCTAAAGCCCTTAACATCATTTAACCCTAAAGCCCTAAACCTTCAAAGAATAATACAACAGGACACACGCAAACAACAAAAGACGCCTCCATGGCCAGATCGTCAGCCTCCACCCGACGGAGGAAATCCAAAGCTTCGCTGACCTTGGGGCATTTGCTTCTTTAAATTTTGGGCTACCTATAGTCTCCATTGTAGTTCCTTTTTTTGGTTGACCAGTTTTATGGTTAGGATCCTATAATAGAGATTTTGGTTAACCAAAAAAAGGAACTACAATGGAGACTATAGGTAGGGTTTGTGTTGCAAGAATGTGTTTTTGGATTCTAGGGTTGAGGAGTTAAGGCCTAGGTTGGGCTCCCTTTTTCTGGAGCATTTCGTGTCTGGGGTGGTTTAGAGTCTTTTAGTGGGATTCAGGGCCTTTGAAGCTGTTTTCAAGCGCTGGGGGGTTGTTTTGAAGGGGTTGCCGGGCTCTGACAGCGTGGTTGGAGTTACTAGGGGTGTTGTGGACATTCGGGAAACCCTTCTTAAGTACTGCTCGTGAGCTTAGAGCTTTGCGGCAGAGGTTTGGTAAGGCAGAGCAACGGCATCGTGCAGATATACAAGGACTGTCGGGCGTTGTCGTGTCCCGCCAGGCCCTGAAGCCCGAGTCCGAAAGCCCCACGCCCCCTCTGCAAGGGCCTTCATTCTTTGAAACGGTTTGGTGCATCCTATAATCGAACTATGATGTAACGTGGGGGCGGCAACATGTATAACTAAGAGTCAGTGAGACCTGACTTTACACTCTTCTAACACCATCAAAAGCGAAACTGCAACAAACACATCACGACCCCCCAGGAAAGCCTTGCCCTAGACCCTAATACTAAACCCTAGAACCCCTTCAACTGAAGCAAACCCTGAACCCTAAACCCGATTACCCCTTAACTGAAGCCTAAACCTAAAGTAAAAGCCAGAAAGATGGAATATGATTATCCTCAACCCTTTATGGAAAATTATAAGGTATCCTACCCTGAAACCATATTCCAACTTTCTGGAGTTCCCTTTAAATTGAAAACAACCCTAAACCCTAAACCCTAAACCTAAAGCCGTCAAGCCCAGGGGCTCGCCCCGAGGCGGTTTCCGAGGGCTGCGATCGGACGCTGCCCGCATTGGCCAGGGCTTTGGCGAAGCATCTGACCTGGTGCTTGTGATGATTTTGGATTTGGGGTAATTCTTAAGGTTTGGGGTAAGGTTTAGGGTTTAGGATCTGACCTGGTGCTTCGGTTGATGATATGAATCCTGCATGACCCAGAATAAGGAACATACCATAATTCCCACAGTTTCGGGTCCTTAAGGAAATGCAGGATTTATATCACCAACAGTTGTAATGGTTTTGGATTTGAGGTTTATGCGTTTTAAGGTTTAGGGTTTAGGATCTGACCTGGTGCTTGTAACGGTTTAGGGTTTATGATCTGGCCTTTTTGTAACGTTCGCGCTGTAAAGTTTTGCTATAACTTCCCAGAGAGCCCAATACCCCTTAATTAAGGAATATGGCTTAAATCATATAGGGCTTCATATGATGATTTAAGCTATACTCCTTAATTAAGGGGTATTCGGCTCTCTGGACTCCCTAAGGGTCCATGTACCCAAATAGTACATACTTTGGCCCAAAGTACTTATATAGGGACTACTTTAAGGCCAAAGTAATATACTACTTGGGTACATGGACTCTTAGGGACTTTGCTGCAGTTTTTTCTCGGCCTTGGATGGACTTTCCGAAAATTAGGGGCACCTTATCTGGGGTCCTTATAATAAGGATCCTGCCATTTGGGGTACTATATTAGGGTCCCCTAATTTCGGAAACTGCCAGATAGGCAAGCAACAAATCAAGTACTTACGAAAGGGGTCGGCGGTTGAGGGCCAGGATTATGATTTGGATTCTACAATTCTGGTCGGCTATTATTAGGGTCCCGTTATGACTTTCTGTAGGCCTTGGATCGGGCCTTCATGAACCCTAAACCCTATACCCTCATAGAAGCCCTATAGATCCCTTTAAAGGAACCCTATAAACCCTGGTATTGGGCTCTCTGACTTTCTGTAGGCCTTGGATCGATCGTCGCCGCCCGCTTGGCACTGCAGCGGCCGGCTCGGCGCCGGCCGCTTCGCCGAGAGGCGCCTCATGGGTCCCGCGCCGCTCTCCTTTTCGGGTTTAGGGTTTAGGGGTTTAGGGTTTAGGGTTTAGGGGTTGAGGGTTTTAGGGTTTAGGGGTTTAGGGGTTTAGGGTTTCGCTCTCCGTTTTTCTGAAAAGGGAACCTGACTCTTAAGATCTTTACGGTTTAAGGCTTAGGGGCTTGGGTAAGGATTCATGGGGTTTAGCGTTTAGGGGGTTAGGGTTTAGGGTTAGGGGTTTAGTGTGTAGGGTAGACTTTAGGGTATATAGGGTCTCCTGTTCTGCTAGGGGTTTACGGCTTAGGGGCTTTGTAGGGTAGGGCTGTAGGGTATATAGGGTTTCGGGTGAAAGGTTCAGGGTTTCACTCAGAGTTCGTTTAAGCGCCTTTTTCCGCCTCGCTCAGGGTTCGGGGCTTAGGATTTATAGAGTAGGGTTTAGGGCATAGGGTTTAGGGCTTCGGGTAAAAGAGAGTTTATGGTTTCGTCGAGGGTCTACAGGTTTTAGGGTTTCGTTTCGGGATTAGGGTTTTACCTGCTTTTCCAAAAAAAGGTTCTGGAAATTTCCTTCAAGCATTTATTGGCTTGTCTGTTCAGGTTTTGGTGGCAGGATTGATGGGTTTAGATTTTCGAGTTGAGGTCTCAGGGCTAAGTTGGGCTGAGGTTTCGCTTTAGGGCTGGCGTCAAGCCTTCGTATCTAGGAAACAGGCAGAATAATGTAAATCTCAAAACCTGGAACGCCAAGACCTGCACTCCACCCTTCAACCTTAAGCCCTAAACCGTCAATCCTAAAGCTCTACACCCGAAGCCCCCTAAGCCCTAAACCTCCCCATCATATTATATATATATATGTGTGTATATATATAAGTGTGTATATAGATATGTATATACACATGTGTTTTCAGACATGTGTATCTATATATATATATATGTCATGCATGTATATGTATAAGAATATGTGTGTGTGTGTGTATATATATATATATATATGTCTGTGTGCATGCATACTGACATAGTGTACAATCACACACGCTTTTATTGAGAACCCGCACCAGTCCTCCGTCGCCGGTGTGCTTGGCAACTGCTGGGCCACGATCTTTGCAGCGGAGCCCTGAAGTCGGCAGTCCAGGTGCGTGGAGTTGCCGGCAATCCTTGGGTTTAGGGTTTAGGGGTTTAGGGGATTAGAGGGGCTTAGGGTTTAGGGTTTAGGGGTTTAGGGGTTTAGGGTTTAGGGGTTTAGGGTTTAGCTTGCTTTCTTCAGTAGTGCGAACACTAAACGCAATACTAACGGTAATAACAATGATACCACAAGAAGGATAGTAATTCCAGTACATTACCAAAGGCATGATGATTCCTGCCAGGAGTTTAGGGGGATGAGGTTGTAGGCTGTAGGGTTGGGGGTTTAGGGTTAGGGTTTCGCTTTAAGGACCTCATCAGTATTACGTAAGCTTTCTTTTCTATGGTTTCTAGAAGGTTCTGGAGGCTTTGGGGAGGGTATTACTTTAAGGATGGTTCGTCGGCTGACGCGACGAAAACCTACGGAGGGCACATTAAGTTGCTATGTGCTTGGGTTGATGGCTTGGGGTTGAGGGGTCGCCGTTGTTCGTTGGCAGTCAAGGGCGATGTCGCTGCGTTTTTCATTTTGCTGAAATCAAGATGGTGCTCCCAATATTAACAATTTCTAAAACACGGTCTTCAAACAGCAGCCAAGCGTCACCAAACACTCCAATGCAGGGGCACCATCAGCCGGCGAGAGCGAGATAAGATGTTTCGCTGACTCGGGGTGAAACCCAGCTCCAGCAATGGCCAGCACGACTCCTGACAGAACAAAGGCCTTTGAAAGCCTTTACAGAGCTCAAGGGCTAGATCACGGGCTTTGAGTGTAGGAGTTCGGACCGAGGCATGACGCTTCGGGCTAGGCCGGCGCCTGAACCCTCGGGCCCTAGACCAATGAAGCCCACAGACCTTCCAAAATCAGTTAATTAAGGAATATACCTTAAATTATAATAGTAAAGGAATATACCTTAAATTATAATAGTAAAGGAATATACCTTAAATTATAATAGGGTCCCTAATATGATTTAGGGTATATTGCTTAATTAAGGGGTTTTGAGTGTTTTGGTTTAAAGGTCTAGGGGCCACCAAAATGTGAAACCCTATAAACCGTAAGCTCGCTTGAGCCGCAAATTCGCTCATCCCTATGCGGAAATGCTCGAGACGAGACCGCACCCATACACCCTGCAAAACACCCTTACGACAAATCTCTATACCATACAGCCCTATAGCGCTATGAATCCTATCAACTAGCCTCCTACAACCTTTGAGAACTTGATGAAACCCTGATCCTACCCAACCTACACCCTGAACTCCGAACCCCGCACCCTAAGCCCAGACCGGATACAAACAACCCACAACCAAGAACAAAAAGACAACAAAAACCAATAGACACTCCTAAACTCTATACCCCAAACCCTAAACTCCAAAGCCTATACCCACCAAACCATAAACCCTACAGTGAAAGCCCTTAACCCTCACCGACCCAAAACCCAAGGACAGAAACTGTTGAAACTTTCAGAATCGACTACCTTATAAGACCACCAAAAGTTGAAAAGTTGAGTTTACAGCCAATAAGAGTTTAGTATTAAGGCCCCAAAAGTAGGCCCTAAACCCTAAACCCTTATAGATCCCTGTATAGACCCCTTTAAGGAACTCTTATAAGAACCCAAAAGGTCCAATATCCCTTAATTAAGGTATATACCTTAACTTATAGTAGGATCCCTAATATGGTTTAAGGTATATTCCTTACTTAAGGAATATTCTAGACCCAAGAGTAACCCAGGCATAAAAAGGATGCCCTTTTTGGTTTAAAGGGGATTATAAGGGAACCTGAACCCTAAAAAAGGGAATAAGGGCCTCCTCTGGGTCCTAGTATTGGAGTCCCTGGGTGCCCCCTGAACTGTCGAGGCCGCCTCCTGCTTTCGAGGCCCGGAGAGGTCCCACCGAAGTGACCTGCGAAGATGCGAGCCCTTGGGCTTCAGGTTCTTGGGGTTTTAGGGATTTAGGGTTCAGGGTTTTAGGGTTCAGGGTTTTCGGGTTTAGGGTTTAGGGCTTTAGGGTTTAGGGTTCAGGGTTTTAGGGCAGGATTATTTGTAATTATGGCTCTATGTCAATAAATGGGAAGCTTGAGAATATCCCTGTTCCGGTAATGGTTCTAGACGATCGAGACGTTGTTGGTCAGAACAGGTCTTGGAGAATGTTCTCATAACGACACAATAGGAACCTTAAGGGTTTTTGGCAAGGTGGTTTAGGGTTTAGGTTGGGGGGTTTGGGGTTTTGGGGTTCCTGCAGACGGGGTTTCCAAGAGCTTCCTAAGAGTGCAAGACAAGGGTTTAGGTTGGAGGGCTTATAGGGTTGGTCCCGCAAGCGCTGACAGAAATCCTGCCCGGAGCATTTGGAAATGACCCGTCCACTTGCATTCCCGATGCCCGTGCCTGGGCGTTTCCAGCACTTGAGCCCGTGCCAATGCCAGCGCCACAGTTGCAAACCTTCCATCAACCTCATTGTGAGAATGTCCAACCGGTAGGAAATTCTGGGTGCAGGTGTGGAACACCTTCGCACTGACCTGCCAGGCCATGAAAACCATAGTCCATTGGTTGCATTGTTCACGCGTCGTACTGTCTGCTTGGAAGGCGATGCTTCCTCGGCCCCTGGATTCCAGGATCCGCTTGGCGTGATCCAAGACCCGGCCTCAGCGGAATGATGTGTTCGCGCTGCGGTTCAAGCTACTGTCGCAATGTGTCAGAGTTATCAAGACAAGGAACGCCGAACCGAGATGTTCTGACTGGTTTTCGGCTCGGGGTTTATAGGGTTTAGCGCTATGGTTTCAGAGCTTAGGTTTTTAGCGTTTAGACGTTTTAGGGATCAGGGTTTAGGGCTAAGTCAACTCAGAGGGACCCTTAGGGCCATAATAAGGACCTAGTAAGGCCTACTTAAGGAAGTATGGTCCCCTACTTGGAGGGTCGGGGGACTTAGTAAGTAGTTATTTTATAGAGTTATAAGTACCATAACCCCAATTAGGGTCCCTATTAAGGTACTTATCAGTCTATATCTATATAATAGCTGCTCACTAAGTCCCCCGACCCTCCCCCTTACCCCCTAAGGCTCCCTATAATGAACCGGCCTCAAAGCGAGACTCCAAGACCGTTCCAGGCACAACGGCCGCGAAACCCTTCTTGGACATCCAAACGCCTCAGGCTCCCGAGGTTGAGGCTTTTGAGAGGGGTTTACGGCTTACTATAGGGGTCCTTTACAGGGATCTATAGGTTGAGGCTTTTGAGGTTTACCTGGAGGTTCATGGGTAGTTATAAGTAGGGTTATAAGCGTACTTTAAAGGCATCTATAAGGATTCTATAAGGGTATGGGGTTTAAGGTTCCTGGGTAGCCATAAGTGGGGTTATAAGTCCCCCAATATGGGTTATAGTTATAGTTACCCGTTACCCTACTTATAACCCTACTTATAACTACCCATGAACCTCCAAGTAGGGTCCACCAGGACCCCCAAGGGCCCTTTGATAGAGTCCTCGTGGCCCTAAGTAGTGAGTAGTGGGTACTTGTGGTATATTAGAGGGTCCTTGGTGGGTCTAGGTAAGGTTTACGGCTTAAGGCTTAGGGTGTAGGTTTGTAGGCTTTAGAGGCAGAGCATGAAAACTCGGCTGCAGGGCGGCAACTGCAAGGAATTGAGGTTCAGGGCTTTTGGGTTCAGCTGTAGGGTTGTTAAAGCACTTAGGGCTCAGGCTTTTGCTTTCTAAGCCATGACAAAGTTAGTTCAGGACAACCAAGGAACATATGTGTCGAAAAATCCCCTTGTTCTCCAAAACCGTATATGAAACACACCAAAGCATGTCTAGGATTCAGGATGCCAGGGTTAGTGTTTGGGTTTCGGGTTCAGGGTCCACAACCAAAAGACGCTTATATAACCCCAGTCCTTGACCCGACAAAACTAAGCTATATAACTGTACAACCCAAGAGCAGGGAAGGATAAAAGAAAGACCAACAACAACGCATCATAATCATACATTACAGCACTAACAAAACCACGAGACAAACATAGCTCAAACCCTAAACCTTAAACCCTGAACCCTCAGCCCTAAACCCGAAATCCTGAATCCTAAACCCCCTAAGCCGGCACACGCAAAACACCAAGAGAGAAATCCGTGCCCAGGGCACTGGGCTCGAATACCGGCTCGGCAGGGGCCTCTGGGGCAGCCCTTTGCAGCCACACCTGGAAGGGGATATGCCAGGATCCCCCAAAGAAGGGCCCTTTGGGGTAGGTTTTAGGGTTTAGGCTTTACCAGAGCCCTTTGGTCCTTAACAGTGGGTATTTGAGATGTATTAGAGGGTAGTTCGTACATAAGGCTTAGAGTTTGGGGTGTAGGTCGGTGTTTTTTTGTGATTTTCTGCAGGAGTTAGGCCATGTTGAACTCTTTATGCAAACCCCTGACTAACACAGCCCCTCCGCTTTACACGATTATACTGTGGGTTCGAACCTCAACCCTAAAGCCTGAACCCAACTATGGACCTAAAGTGCCCTTAACCCTGAACTCCTTGGACCCTAAAAACCTCTTTCATGGACCAAAAGTGCCCTCAACCGTTAACCCCAAAACCGCCTGCTACGTACCAAAAGTGCCCTCAACCCTAGAGACTACAACAAGATATATATTACTAATACATGATACTATACTGTATAATAATATTTATATATGTATATATATATATATATATATATAGATATATATATATATATATATATATAACTAACAGTAGATCATGCTATGTAGTAATATATAACAATATATGCAGAAACATGTATTATATATAAGACCAAGACTGCCTCCAGAGAAGAGGACGTCTGCGCGATGACCTTGGCCTCTCGTGGTCCGAACCGCACCAGCGCCACCTGCGACTGCAAAAGCCCCCATAATTAAGGAATATGGCTTAAACTATATAGGGCTTCATATTATGATTTAAGCTATGTTGCATAATTAAGGGGTATTGGGCTCCCTAAACCCTGAACGGCCCTAGTGCCTAGCAGGGAATGGGGGAATGGATGATGGGGACTACTATTGGGGATTATATAGGGACTAATAAGTACTATACAGTAAACCCCAAAAAGTTGGAAACCTAGTTAAGGACAAATCGTGCTGGGATTCCCTATACCTTACTCTTAGGGATCGAGGCTATGGGGTTTCCAACTTTTTGGCTTCTACTATACAGGGAGCCAGGGAGCTAAATCCCAAGAAGGAGCCCCAAGGCCCTGAGGAACAAGATTGGTAAACTCAGGCTGTTGGGTTTTGGGTCTACGACTTTTTTTTGAGCAGGGTTTCCGATTTAGAGTTTAAGGTTTTAGGGGTTGGCTCCAAAAGCCCCTGAAACAGGAGCATTTATGGAGTGCTTGAAGGCTTTGAAGGGCTTCCTGGAGTGTTCTAACGGGATTGTATAGAGTTATCGAAGGCCTCAAGAAACTTTTTATGGATTTCTAGATGTGTTTTAAGGTATTCTATGGAGCTCTAACGGGTTTTTAAGCTTTTATGGAGTTCCAAGGGCGGTTAGCTGTTATGGAGTTCGAGAAGGCTTTCGAGGGCTTTTACGGAATTCTCCCGGGGTTTCAGAAGGGTTCATCGGATTCGCATGGGACCCTGAGTTACTTAGGGGCTTTGATAAGGCTTTGTGAGGGTTTACATCTTCCTACACCGTAACCAAACGAGGAAGGCAAAGGAAAAGCTCCATTGGGAGTGGGGAGAGAATCGGGAACCAGAGCTTCGAGTTTCGGGAACCTTTATTTCAGGACAACTCCTGAAACCAGACGAGGATCTTCGATGGGAGCGGCAGGGGCCTTCACAAGTCTACGAGGGTCTTGGAGTATAGCTAACATTGTCAAGTCAAAAGTAAGAGGCCTAGGAATGGTGTTGGTAATTATTATTGGTGTCTACTATAGGTTCGGTAACTCTGGCTAAGATCTACTTGTGACCTCCGTAAGGCAACTTCGCGGGATTGGATCCACAGGTGAGGCTTGAAGGGCTTGTAGAGCCTCCCCGAAAGAAACCCTTCAAGGGAACCCTAAACCCCAAACCCCTAAACCCACCCCTGAACCCTAAACACCTAAACCCCTGAACCCCTATACACCTTAAACATTCCAAAAACCCTTACAGTGAGGCTTGAAGAGCTTGTAGAGCCTCCGGTGTGCTTCTGAACACCTTCTAAAACCTCTATATACAGGCCCCTAGTAAAACTCCTGACGACGGAGGCCTTCATAAGTTTAGCAGGGTTCCGTAGGAGAGTTCCTTGATATCATTATATAGTATTGTATCCCCAAAACCTGTTCAATTTATGATAAGGCCCCTACACCCTAAACCCTAAACCCCCAACACACCACTACATTACACCCTGAACCCCGAAAGAAACCCTTGAAAGGAACCCCAAACCATAAACCCTTAAGCTCTAAAACCTCTGAACCCTACTCTTAAACCCCTAAACTCCGAAACCCTAAACCCTTGAAAGGAACCCTTACACTAACCCTCGGGCCTCGTCGTCGTTAGACTCGAGATTGCTTCCCTGAAGCAGAAACTTCGCGCTGACAGCTGCCGACTTCACCGCCGGCGACACCGCCTCTGCAAGGTTTCGGGTTTGAGGATGTTTAAGGTTAAGGGTTTATGGTTTAGGGTTCATGGTTTACGGCCCATGGTTTAGGGTTTATGGTTTAGTATTGATTAGGGTTTCTGCAAGGTTTACCTTAACCCGGAATATCCTACCTGTTTAAGGACTTATATAAGGAAATCCTAATAAGGAACCCGAAAAGAGGTAGGTTATTCAGGCAAGGTTAAGGTATGGTCTAAGGATGTTTAAAGTTTAGGGTTTATTGGTTTAAGGGTCATGGTTTCCGGGTGTAGCTGCGCTTGCAATTGGGCCATGAACCTCCTTCTTTCTTGAAACGCCTTCATATTTGGGATCCTCATGAAATCGCTTTTCGGTACGGGCTTGATTCTACCTCAAGTCAATCGTTGCTGCTCAAACGGTCCTCCGCAGAAACCTCCATGCTCGTGCACACTGGAACCAGCCGAAACCAGAAAGCACTGGCACCCGAAGCGGAACCCTGAACCATCCTCAACACTAAACCCTTGGTTGCAGGTAGCTGTGATTACGACTGCTGTTGATGATTGTCTTCGAAATCGCAGTTATGACAGCTTGCGCCTGCACGATCGGAGTGGATCCAAACTTGTACACGAAATTTCCGCGCACCAGCGATGCGCTCCGCGGTGGCTGTGCAATCGTCACCGGCATCGCTGCATCTGCAGACACGGGTTACGTATAGTCTACAGTACAGCTCTTTCCTCTGGTAAACCACTACACACTTGAGGACTCATGTAGGAACCTGATTAAGAAACCCTTTGCCTACAGCCTACAACCCCTAAAATAGCAGGGTTCATATAGGGGACCCTAATAAAGGCCCAAGGTGTCTTAATCAGGTATCTACATTAGCCAGAAAAAAGAACTCTGATGGAGACTACAGCTGAGCTTCGGCATTGGCTGCTTCAGGCTTTGGGCTGATGCAGTGGTTTACGCTCAGTGCTCCTGGATACGGTTGATGATACACATCCTGCATTACCCGTAATAAGGAATATATCATAATTTCATAGTTTAGGATCCTCAAGGTAATGCAGGATTTATATCATCAACCGTAGTATGGCAAGAGACGCTACCAGTAAGAAACTTGACCTGCCCAACTTGCCATTGGGGGATCGTAGATCGCTGTGCACCCCTGATCTGAAAACCTCCACCATGGAAACCCTCCAGCTCTATGGAAATGATCAGGGAACTTAGTTAGCGGAGTTTCAGTAGCGCAGCTATAAAACGCATTTGTGTGTAACCCCAATTACGGCACTTATAGGCCGTCCCCTGATCCAGTAAAGTAAGCCAGGCATCAACAACTCGTACGACCTGCCATGAATATGACTATGATCATGACTATTTTTACTACAGTTAGTACTGCTATGATTATTACTATTATTGCTATCGTTACCACTATTAAACTTGGTGAGCAACATTCCCCGAAGTCTTTGCCGGAAAGCCTGAACCCCAACCTCCCGGAGGACTCGACGCCCGCAAACCCCAACAAATTCAAGCCTCCTACGGTTGATCATAGCAATCCTGCATGGCCTTAAGGACCCTAGACTATGGGAATTATGGTATATTCCTTACTATGGGTAATGCAAGATTTATATCATCAACAGTAGTTTTTTACGGCTTGAAGCTTTTAGATTTTGTTTACGGATTATGGCACTTGAGGCTTAGGCTTAGAATACATGCTGCAGATATTGAACCGCAAACCACCTAAGATTGCTTGCCTACCCAAGTGGAGGCATCGGCTGCGTCGAAGGAGGCAGACGGAGGCGTGAGACAGAACAGCGAAGCCTCGTGGCTTTGGGGGTGTGCAGACCCTGCACCCTGAACCGTCAGACCCAACCGTCCACTCTGCGTACGGCGGGGGCCAATGGGTGCTTGCGGATTCATGTACCGTGACGGGTTCGCAACTGTAGGCCTTCGTCAAGGCCTTTTGGCTTTGGATAATGCTATAGTTAGCCTTAGATGGGACCAACAACATGCGCGAAAGAAGTCAACTTCACAGCAGTTCTCGTACATGGAGCCCTTCGCCGCATTGTAGAACCCCAAACCCGAAACCCTAAACCCCAAACCCTAATCCCTACAAACCCCCAAACCCTACAAACCCTGAACCGTAAGCCCTCCTTTCAAGGAGCCCTTCTTGGAGGTTCATGGGTAGTTAGAAGTAGGGCTATAAGTAGGATAACTATTCTTATATAATATGGGTTAGGGGGCTTATCAGGCTATATGTCGGATAACTATACTTATATAAAATGGGTTAGGGGGCTTATAACCCTATACTTATAACTACCCATGAGCCTCCAAGTTTGCCGCCTTGTCGGAAGTGGCAGGCGCAGAGCCTTCGAGAGGCTTCGAGCATTGACGGCCTCCCACGAGGACCTGGTCTTGTTTTGCGGTCTTGGTCTGTGGGTTTAGGGATTTTAGGGTTAGGGTTACTTGGGGTTTAGGGTTTAGGGTTTAAGGATTTAGGGATTTAGGGTTAGGGTTATTTGGGGCTTATAGGGTTTGGGATTAAGGGACTTGGGGATTAGGGTTTAGGGATTTAGGCTAAGTTGCCCAGTATCCCCTTAACAATAAGTGTATCCTTGTTCCTACTAATTGGTTTTAATAAGGGAACCCAAGAACTAACAGGGCAAAAGGGTATTACTGGGGAACGGATTCAGGGTTAGGGTTATGTGGGTTCAATTTAAGGATGAACTAAGGTTTGAGGTCTGAACCCTAATTAGACCCCAAACCCTGCACCTTGAACCCCCTCTTCAAGGAGGGACCTTGAAAATTAAAGTGCTGCCCTGCGGTATGTTGTACATAATCCGCCAAAGTAAGCCCGAGGAATGGTATTGCAGGAGTCTACTTCAGTAGACCATAGGTCTAGATCATTAGAAGAGTTTCGTGGGGTAAATAATATAGGGGTGGTTGTCAAAATTATGGTACCTTTTTGGCTCCCTATTATAAGACGGCACCTGTTATTTAGGGTACCCCAAAAGGGGACCCTAATTCTGACAACCAGACTACGACGATCAGACGATAAACTCCGACAGTCGAAGCCCTGCACCCTGCGAGCTTTAAACCGTGGGAACCCAAGGCTTAGAGGTTTTGATGAGAGGCCAAGAAGGGGGTTTAAGATTCTTGGGTTAGGGATTCCTTGATATGAACCCTGTTATGGGAACCCTAATCCCTACTAAACCCCCATAGGCTACAACCCCTTTTGGCCTCCTATGAGGTTTGGGCCTAGCCTAAACCATCTTCCCTAAAACCCCGCGGCGGAGTCGGAAAACCCAACATCGTCAGCCCGAAACGTCCACAAGCACTACACAAGGCAATATACAACTTATCAGCTAATCCGGCTAGCAAATACGTTTCGGGATCAGTCGTGATACAGTAGTGCTAGTCTAAACTTAAAGCCACGTTAACGCTGTAATACAATACGTCTCAGAACCCGGTTCCAATCAATACAGCTCCGTTTTACGCGACCGACCAGAAGACACTTTCAATCTGCATAAAACCTTCCTTCAAAGCACCCTAAACCCTAAACCCTAAACCCTAAACCCTAAACCCTAAACCCTAAAAAAACCCTACAAAGTTCAGTGCCGCGTAGTCGCGTCGGAGCACCGCAGGTTTCGCACGCCGCTTCCTGACAGCCGCAGAAGCGTGCCACCGGCCTCATTTGGGTTCATAACGATAATAATGATCACAGTAATAATAGTAATACTAATATATTACAATAATAACTATTATATATAATGCTGCTGCCAGAGGTTGCTTATCAGGTTTCTACCAGCTTCTATCGAGCCTTGTGGAGCCGTTTTGGTGGCGTTTAAGATTTGGAGCACATAACATCGCGCCCCTGTCGGGAAGTCTTCAAATGGCACTTGACCGAAGGGTCGGACCAGATTGATTTTATCTGGGTTGTGCTTTAAACCCTTTGAAAATGATCTATGAATCGGTTCCCTTTGTAAGGAAATAAGGGAGATGAAAAATCATCCCAAAGCACAACCCAGTTATCCTCCTCCATGCAACATATTCATCAAAAGGCTTCATTCGCGGAAATCATGCGGTGCAACACAAGGAGGCCAGTGGCTAGGATGAAATACAAGCTCTGTTGAGGGTCTGAGTGGAGTTTGAGAGAACCTTGTGTTGAGCGTAACAGAAGAGAAACCGCAAAATACTTCTAAACAAGTGGTACATGTTCCGGCATATAGCTTCTTTTGATGAGGGCTTTCCAACAACGGTCAAGGTGTGCGGGGGTGCGGGAGTTGTTGCGATAGGTTTGGAGTTTAAGAGCCTGGTCAGGGTATTAAACGGTGGTACAAAGGTTATGGAGTTCGAAATCATAAATAGGTTAAGGAGCCCTTAGCAACAAATTCAAGACTAGTAGTAACAATCACAATCATAACAACACTTCCACATAATGCCAGCAACAATTGCTACAATCAAACAAGACTCATGATGCTACGAAGTATTCAGACCCCTAGCTAAAACCCTTGGAAAGCCCGGCAGCAAGAGATCCGAAGTGTGGCTGGAAATCCTTCTGCCGGGCTGTGTCTAAGGACTTAGCAAGATTCTTCATAAGGTCTTAAAAGGTATTAGCAAGATTCTTCATAAGGTTTTGAAAGGTCTTAGCAAGATTCTTCATAAGGTCATAAAAGGTCTTAGCAAGATGTTCATAAGGTCTTAAAAGGTCTTAGCAAGATTTTTCTTAAGGTTTTAAAAGGTGTTTAGAGGCGTCATAGGGCGTTGATAGGGCTGCATTCGGCCTTTTTCTCGGGTTGGGCAGGAGGGTGTCATGCTCAGGGTTTTGGTTTAAGAGTTTGTCAGTATCTAGACGGGCTTCATGCTGTTCATCCACCGCACAGTTCTGAAGCTTTGGAGGCAGGGTTCCAGGCTTTTTGTTGATGAGGGAGAGGGTTGTGGCTTCAGGGCATAGATATCCAAGGCCCTAAGCCCAAAGCTCTGAAGGGATCTGAGTGGAAATCGTCGGGTGCAGGTGCGAGGACTTTGAGCCGAGATCTCAGCTCATGGTCTAGCAATGAGGGTGTAAGGATTAGGATCTAGGGTTTAGGATTCAGGGTTTAGACGCTGGGGTTTAGGGTTTAGGATTTAGGGCTTAGGACTTAGGGTTTAAGACTTCGGGTTTAGGGATCGGGATGTAGGGCTCAGGGTCGACGGTTTGAGGGTCTAGGAGTCTAGGACTCTTGCCCATGTCCTAGTGAAACTGCTGCAGTGCGGATTGACACAGTTACACGGAGCTGTTGGAAGCATTTAAATTTGAATGTGCATGTTATCGATTGTGTCGCAGGTACCGAAGTCTTCGGCAGTCTCCAATGGCAACATGGGCCAAGCAACTCCTTTGCCAAAATCTCAACAGTCCACGGTAGAGCTACTCTTCGTCCGTGTTCGGTTGGGCCGTGGTTGCGATCTGCTCCATACACGGGCCTGGGCTTCGGCACCTGCACGTCGTTCATGGCAACGCTTGGACGTTTTGAAGCCCGGGACTGGCCCATAGAGACGTAGCGAGAGCGTGAGGGTCCGAGTACCCAATAAACATATACACTCCAAAATCCTAACAGCACCTAATTATTGGGTCCTTGGGGCTGCTGAGGGGAGATTGACCCCAAGTATGTACGCCAGAGTGTAACCTAAGTCACTGCAGCCACTAGCTACTGTAGGCATATTGTGGCAGATTCCAGTCAAGCTAGGCACATTGATTCGCTCGAAGCCGGCGGTGTTGCAACGTTTCGCACGGAGACGTAGAAATGGGATAATAATCCAGGGTCGCACAGACATGTCCAGGACCCGTCAAGAGTTAGAAATGCAGTCGAGTGCAGGGCAGGTGGTTTAGCATTTAGAGATGAGGTTGTTGAAACTACGTAGACGTTCATCACATTGCAAGAAGCTGGATTCGAGTGCCCAGCACTATAGCCAGTAGCTGGTAATTACACACTGTCGAGGGCTTTCCTGACGCTGTCTTATGTGCCCAAACCCCCCACCCCCACCCCAAATCCTAAACCCTAAACCCTAGACCCCCAACCCTAAACCCTAAACCCTAAACCCCTAAACCCCAACCCCTGAACCCTGAACCCCTAAAGCCTTAAACCCTAAACTTTAAACCTTAAACCCTAAGTTTAGGATTTAGAGCTTGGGGGCCCCATGTTGCAGGATTCGGGCCGAAGATCCTTCAACAAAAACAGCTGCGCCGGTGCGGCGCTCCGTGATTTTTGCTGTTCGCCCACTTAGAAAGGAGGGATCTATATAGGGATTCTATAAGGGTATAAGGTTTAGGGTTCATGGGTAGTTATAAGTAGACGAGTTACAAGTAGGATAAATATAGTTATAAGACATATTCGGGGACTTAGAACCCTACTTATAACTACCCGTGAACCTCCAAGTATTTCTGAGCCTGCCCTGCACATAAACCCTGACTAGCTAGCAGGAGCCTCTTCATATAAGGACGTATCAGGTCATATAGACATATAGACCCTAACTCACTACTAGGATCCCAAATCAATCATATAAGGACCCGCACTACAGGATCCCTAGTATACATGTTTTGGTCACCTATTTCAAGAAACTCTGAGAGAGTCCTCGAGGACGAGATCCACTGAGATCACTGGTGCTGCATCTGGGTTTGCCCTGCCTGGCGGTAGTGGCAGGCGGTGGTGCCAAGTAGGCTTAGGGATTCTGGAACAATAGCTGAAACTACTATTTGCTTAAGAACCCCCAAAAAATAAAAAACATATTCCTTATGGGGATAGTATAGGGATTATTTTTTTTATTTTTTTGGGGTTTCTTAAGCAAATAGTAGGAAACCGTACAGTTTCAAGGATGCTGAGACACACGGCACCCTCGAACGCCGGAGCTGAACACCCGAAACCTGGAGGTTTTGGGGCTGGAGGACTTTGAGATTAATTGTGGAGTTTAGGCCCTGGACTCTACGCCATAAGGCTTAGGAAGATCGGTGCCCCATGCCCCCAAAAACTTTGCGGAGGTTTGGAGGTTTAGGCTCTTTTAGGCTCTAGTTGGGGTATTTCACGCTGGAAACAGGAACACAATACCATCCAGATGTTCCGACTTCATCATGCTATGTCATGAGTGCACCACCTTACTTGGAGGATCGGGGGACTTAGTAAGTAGTTATTTTATAGAGTTGTAAGTACCATAACCCCAATTGGGTCCCTATGAAGGTACTTATAAGTCTACATAATAACTACTTACTAAGTCCTTCGACCCTCCAAGTAAAGACTCGAACATGGGGACTCCAGCATGCCTTACTTCCCAGACGCCCCTTTGGAGGATCCCAAAAGTAGATCCCTTAATGGGAGTTCCTAAAAAGTACCCTCAGTAGCAAAGGGCCCTAAACTAGGGGATCTACTTTCTAGATCCTCCCGGGAGTCTGGGTTCAGGTTGCCTTTTCCGAGAGCAGGTGTTTATTCGGGTTTGGGCTGCGATCCCGCTACTGTGTCCGTGTTTGGAAGCTTTCCTACTTCGCTACCTAATGACCTCCTCTTGATACAGTGTCTTGAAAGTTTCCTACTGTGGATTTATCAGGGTGTCTGCATGCTGCTGTAGGCCGCGATTTATAAACTTGCATCTCATGTTGAAGGAGAGGGGTGTATTAATTATTAATCAGGCTTCATTGAAGCATGTCCCTCGATGTGGGCGCATGTGGCTCCCACTGAACAGCAGGAATTACCGGGGTACGCGCTCCACAACAACATCGACGACAGTTGTCACGATAGTATTGCGGCTCTTCAGCAAAACCGATTGCAGGGAGCCTTAGTATAAAGATCTGAAGGAGCCGAACTTGTGGATTTCTAGGTCTAAGCTTTAACCCCTAACCCCAAGCCACGAAGCCCAAACCCCTGAACTTAGGTTGCCCACCTTGTGAGACGGAGATGAGGTGCAGCTGGTGCTCCCCCGCCGCAGCATCGGAGAGCTTGCACATGACCGTGATCCTGAGCTCCACTCAAAGTAAAATGACCAGGGCACTTGTCAGATAGAGGTTTTGAAGGACGGGATTTAGTCAATAGGGCTGTTGCTAGGGTAGCTACAGTAATAAGTAGTTGTAACCCTAATGAAGGTACTTGTGACGTACTTCCTGCAGAGCCCCGTGATCCTCTCAACCCAGAATCCTGGATGTTTCACGGCGCTTCCAGATCACCCCCCGAACAGATCACTATAAGTGAGTGGTTGTCAAAATTATGGTCCCTTTTGGGGTACCCGAAATATTAGGTGCCGTACTATAATAAGGACCCAAAAAGGGACCATAACATTGGCAACCACCCATATGGGAGTTTCCGAAAATAGGGGACCCCAAGATGGCACCCTAAATAATAGGATCCTTCTTATAAGGACCCCAAATAAGGTACCCCCTAATTTTCGGAAACTCCCATAACCCTAAATCCGGCAGATCCCTTATAGGAGCCTTTAAAGGAGCCTTTAAAGGAGCCCTTGTAGATCCCTTTGAAGGACTTGCGGTCTCCAACAACGGGCCAGGGTCTGCCAAGTTCCGCGGGTCCCGGGTCTTGCTTTGATCCAAAGCGCTGGCTTGTATATGTAGGGTTTAGGGTTTAGGGGTCTAGGGTTTTAGGGTTATAGGGTTTTAGGGGTTTAGGGTTTATAGGAGTTATATGGAAGCCTGAGCTGGCTTGTATATCGTATACCCTAAGGGTCCATGTAGTATATAAATTGGCATTAAAGTAATCCCTATATGGGTACATTGGGCCCAAAGTATGTACTATTTAGGTACATGGACCCTTAGGGATATCTACTGCGCCGTAGGTGGCGGCTTCGCTGGATCATCCCATCAGTCTTCATGTGCTCCGACTGAGCCTTCTCCAGCTGGGCTCGCTGGTCGACCGTGGTGGCCTTGCCAATGCAGTACCCTAGGGGCTCATCTCATTAAAGACGCTGTAGCACAAAGGATCAAAAAGGTATCCGTTCGAAAGCCCTCTACCCAAATCCCTGCAACCCAAATCCCTACAACACCAACTCCAAGCATAAAACCTTATCATCATCATCTTCGTCGTCATCATCATTACCATCATTATCATCATTACCATCATCATCGTCATTATCACCATCATCATCAACATCATCATCACCAAGACCCAACTCCATGGGGACGAGGATCCCCGGTTCCACGCCGCTCTCGTTGTCAGAATCCTGGACTTCCTGGCACAGGCCCTAAACGACTAGGAACCCTATATAGGAAGCTGGAACATGGATTTACAATATCCAATAACTGTAGCTTTACGGTATTAAGACAACTATGTTCCAACTTTCTGGCTTCTAGTACATCCTACTTAGGGTTTAAAGCTTAGGGCGTTTGCTGATATAGGGCCCTTAGGATAAGGCACCCTACACCCCACCTGGACCCCGAAGAACCTACCTTAGTACAGACTTATATAAAGAAATCATATAAGACACCCTAAAAAGAAAGGTTTCATAGGGTTAAGGTAAACCCTAAACCGTTTCCGGATGGACAGGGTGTTGGGGTATACTGTCGTATACCTGCAGCCCCAAACCCGTAAACCCGGGCTCCCAAACCCTTAAACCCTATAGCTCTTCTTCATTGAGCGCAGATATTGCGCTCAAACTCTTCAGGGGGAAAGCCGGCATTTCGGATTAGAGGGCAGTTTATGGTTTCGGGCTACAAAGGGTCATAAAGGGTTGGAATTCTGATATACATGATCCGGTTCAAGGCATTGGGAATTTCGGTTCTGGGAGGGGGTCTAGGCTGCTAGTTCGGGTTCAGCTTTAGGTCGTGTCGTCGATATAATAGACTCCCCTTAACTAGACCTAAGAGTGACCTAGGAATAAAAGGGTGCCTTTTGGTGTTTAAAGGGGAATAAGGGAACCAAAACCCTCAAAAGGGGAATAAGGGCCTACTCTGGGTCCTAGTTAACCAGGAAATCCTCAATCCCCCCTTCTCCATCAGAAGCTTCGGGGTGCCCTACCCTATCAAAAGCGAATGACTCACTCCTGTATTTAAACCCCCTTGACAACGCTGCTAAAGCCATACCAAAAAGCCCCTTCCACAATAGACTCCACAATAGACTGACGGTTTGGTTAAGCCTAAGCTTTTGCAAACCCCTACAAAGTGCCCCCAACCCCAAACCCTGTCCCGTGAACCCCAAACCCTAAGCCCCGAAATCCTAAACCCTGAACTTGAGTTTCCACGACCGATCCTGGAGGTCGCCGCAAAGCCCGGCATCGTCACCAATGAGAATTTGCCTCGCTGAGGGAGCTCGTGTTATTTCGTAGGGTTCAGGATGCTCTGGCTTAGCCATTTAGGGTTTAGGGTTTAGACATTAATTGGAAGATTCCGAAAAGAGGTGACCCTAACATAGTACAGTAGCCCAAATAGTAGGATCCTTATTCTAAGGACTCCAAAATGAGGTACCCCTAATTTTCCGAAGCTCCCACTTGAATTGCGGGCATTATGACAAAGTACTGCTTAGGGAAGGCGGAGGTTGTCGGCCTTCACCATAAACCAGACGCCAGCCGTTTCGGCTTGAAGCTTGCAGATTCGGTTTTGCATGATTAGTAGAAGTATCCCCCTTAAGCTTGATCCTTTAAGGGAGATATACGGGTGTTGTCAGAGCTTGAGGATAATGAATGATAGTATCCCCTTATAGTCTTTGTATGGTTCTACTATACTGAGATCCCAAGACCCTGTTCTTCTCGAAGACAGAAACACTGGAACCAAAACCTGAAAGCGCAAATCTTGACACTCTAAACTCCGAACCATCAGTAAAACACCAAAATGCAAGAACCCCAAAAGCCCATGTAAATGCACACCTCCAATTCCTATCGCAATCAAACAGGGGCATCGCGAATTAGAATAGGATTTCGGTATTTATGTTTTCGAGTTGCACGGAAGCACGACCACTATAACCATTATAGTGTGTTCAATACCCTGTCCCCGGCAATACACGCTTAACAGCAAAATCTTTGCAGGTCCTTATGGATTCCGTGTAAGTGTCAAAGAAAGCCTATCTACAAACCCTTCATGACAGCAGTCTTCGCCGTGCTGCAGGTCGTCCACCCAGCCGTCCGAGGAATTCTGCTGCAGGCCGCTGATGACCAAAGTTAAGTGGTCCTCAATAGCAAGCAGAATTTGCGGTCTTGTGAGGCTTTAAAGGCCTAGAGGGCTTCATATCCTTTCACAGGGAATCTCCGGAGGAGAAGGGGGCTGGGTAAGCGTTAAGTAGCATACTCGGGCTTATGACAGAACGTAACTATCTGTCTTGCTGATCACCCCACCCAGCCACAACAAAAACACAGGACACGGTCTTGAAAGCCAAACAGCCTTTAGAACATGAGACCCCCTGGGAAGACTCAGAAAAGCCCAATAAGCACCTTTCTAAACCTCAAGCAAAACACAGCAACAACTCATAAACTAGAACCGTCGACTATAAGCACTATGAGAAACCCTCTCGCAACCCGTGACAGCTCTTCGTCATGGTGCACAGAAGCCCAGAAGCCACAACCCCAGATCGAAATCCCAAGCCCTAGACGAACCCAAAAACTTATTGAAGTCCTGATCTCTAACCAAACCAGAGCAAAATCCTGATAAAAACATACATAGACTAATCAAAAAAAACCTCCAGAATACCCTGCGATAGACTCTTATGACAAACCCGTATACACTCCCTTGAATTCCTATAGAATCCCCTAGACCCTAGAAACCAATGTAACACCGATCGGTACTCCAGTCCGAGCCAGGCATCCGTGGCGTTCACGTAGGTGGGCTGCGCGCTGGAGACGGCTGGAACAAGGTCGTGGGAGTACTGATAGCCCAAGACCTGCAAGCAAGCTCATGTAGCCATGAAGGGTACAACGGTACACATGGTATCGTATAGTACAGATTCCTTTGGACCATAGCGAGGTGGCAGACCATGAATATGTCGAGCTTTTCTCGTGTAATTTGTTGTTCGGAGTGTGTTCTTTGTTTTTCTGTCGCAGGCTCTTCTCACGGAGCTGCGGGTTAAGAGCTTTCGCGCTGAGGGGGTTTCGGGCGTCAGAGTTGAGACTGCCCTAAACACGAACACCCAGAAACCCTTTCAGGCCTATAAACGCCATAAGCCCTGTAAGCCACAGAAACGCCACAAGCCCTGTGATACATACACATCCTGAACAGAGGTATCGCAAGCGATGATCTATGCGAATTAACGTTTTGTGGAATATCTGCTTACTAGGTGGCAACGAAGCGCGGCTGAGCTTGTGGACTCGTGTCCACGGTTTAGGGGTGTTGGGTTTAGGGTTTAGGGGTTTGGGGTTTGGGGATTTAGGGGGTTCAGGGTTTGGGGTTTAGGATATAGGTGGGTTTAGGGTTTAGGGGTTTAGGGCTTAGGTTTAGGTAAAAACGTTAACGAAACTAGAACGAAGCACAGCAGACCCTAAGACATGAACTGGAAACTCTGAACCACCAAAGCCACAAGCACTGACCAAAGCGCTCAAACTCAAGACCTTAAAACCTACCTGTAGCAACACACCCGACAAAAGAGCAATTAGGGAACGACCCCTTATTATGCCACACGGCATCATTAACCCTGTGAACTTAGAGCAACAAATCGTTGGATCCACTGGTAACACCTCCCAAAGACGTGACAAGACCGCAACGAAGCACCTCTGAGCCGCCAAAGGCGCCCACGATGCCCTCTGTCACCACCTGAAAACTGAGAGGATCTTGGGACTTAGTACCTGTGGTTATAACTAGTGTAACTATGCCTATAAGTACATACAACCCAAGTAAGGTAACTACAAGCTTACTTACTAAGTCCCATGATCCTCCAAGAATGACAAGCTCCCCTAGTCAGAGGTCCAGGAGAGGTTCAAGGGGCTTAGGTAGTACGCAGGCTTATAGTTAAGTAAGACAGCGGAACGTTAAAAGTCGTTGCAACCCCAATTTGTGAAGGTAACATCACCTTAGTTACTAAGTCCCTTGATCCGCTAACGCAGGAAGCCCCCAACAAGAGCGACGTTCCTAACAATCCACTTGCTGCCCTGATGACATTTAAAGTCTTTTCATGTCTCTTCCTTATAGGGGGCTTCCGGGTGTTCACCTGAGCCTGCGCTTTCTGTTTCAGTGCCAGGCGCCGGCTTACAGCCCGAACACCCAAATTGGCCTGCCATTCAGTGCAACATGAAAGCCTACACCCTAAGTCAACCCTCAAACCCCAAGCTAACCCTAAACCCTATGCACACCCTCAAACCCTAAACCCCGAGCCCGGAACCCTAAAGAGAAACTTGAACAACCATAGCCTCCAGCTCTTGCCCTTCAACCGTTGACGTCCTGAAAAGCCCAAGTCCAACAGAAGTTCCAAACAGAAAATCCTAGTCCCAGAGACTCCAAAACTCGTTAGTTGACCAATATACTTAAGGGGTTAGGGTTTAGGGCTTCATAATATTCGATTCCCTGCTTCAAGTTAAGTTAGATACACTGCTCAATAAAGTTGTAAGCTTTACCTGGACCCTAAGGAACCTACCCTTTTTAGGGCTCCCTAATATGATTTCAATTTTCTATGTCCTTAAAAGGGTAGGCTACTTGGGGTTAAGGTATACCCTCGTGGTCTCCTGGGGCCCCCCTGGCTCCCTATGGATACAGGTACTAAAGGGACCGTAAGAGTTAGAATTTTGGGGTATATTATGCTATATAGTAGTTACAAAAAGGAACCTCCAAAAACATATCATGGTCGGGGGTTTGGGGTGTAGGGCTCTGCACACCTGATAAAACGAAGCCCAGTCTCTACCACAACAAAACATGTCAAACAACCATGGCCATAACACCCTTCAGCCTACGGTAGGAGTCTCTGTATGCCACGATCGACCCACTTCCCCCTAAGCTCTGAGCCCCATATGGCCCTGCACCCAATCGATGCATTTGACCATCAGTCCGTCACCTGGCCTGCAGGGTTTCGGACTCCGGATCAGGGAATGGAACCTGCCAAGGATGTGAAAAGACAGCGGAGGTCGGGTTTTGCTTAGGGATTAGGGCTTAGGGTTTCGGACTTTGGAATTGGGGAGTAGTTGGGTGTTAGGCTGGCGGCTTCGCGCTTGGACTTGTGGTTTTGGAGTCCGAGCTTCGGTCTTGGGGTTTCGAGGTTACTTGGAGGGTCGGGGGACTTAGTAACTGGTTATTTAAGGGACTTATAAGTACCATAACCCCAATTAGGGTCCCTGTTAGGGTGCTTAAAAGTCTACTTACTACCTACTTACCAAGTCCCCCGACCCTCCAAGTAGGGTTGAGGGCGTAAGGGTTGCCCATAGGCCCCAGAGTAGTTCCTTTTGGGGATTACCATGGAGGATTTTACATATGAACCCCAAAAAGGAACTACTACGGGGCCTATGGGTGAGGCTGGGGCAAGGGCTGAGGGCTTAGGGCTTTGGGGTTTTGATTGGGGACTCGCACGGAGAGCCTTTAAGATTTCGAGGCTGGGAGCTTAGTGCTTCGGGGTTTAGGGTTTAGGGTTTAGGGTTTAGGGAGGGTTTAGGGTTTAGGGTTTAGGGTCGGGGTTTAGGGTTTAGGGTTTAGGGTCGGGGTTGGGGTTTAGGATTTCGGCCTTGGGGGCTCTGGGCATGGGGCGTATCGGTTTGGGGCTTTTCCTCTTGGGTTGTGGGCGGCTTGGGTTTTCCCGCAAGCCACAACCCCAAAAACCCTAAACCCTAAGCCGCAAGAGATCTTAACCTAGTGACTTCTTACAGCCCTCTCGAATGCAAAAGCTCTGGGACACCGGGAAGAATCCTCTGCCAAACCCTAAGCCCTTGCTTGGATGCGCACTTCTGATCATTAAGATACCCTACGACGCTATATTTCAACAGTGATCCTGAGAATAACCAGAATCAGATGTTAATAGGGATGTCAAGACTAAGGCCCTTACACAAAGGGCGTTTATCAGTTTGTCCATCAGGGATCCCAGCTGTACGACTCACTGCTGTCCGCTTTGTGTCTTCGGGGTTCATGCTTTCAGGCTCTAGGAATAACGGGGCCTCAACAGTAAGAATAGGGTATCAGGGCACATAGGAACGACTAAGGGGTACCATGAAAAAATCGTCAGACCCTTGTATTATGCTAGCTTGCGCTTAGGACGAGAAAAGACCGAGGCAAGAGTTCTGGGTGGGAATTTGAGTCGCCAGAGATAAACTAACTTGCAGGGTAGAAATCTGTTTCGCACCATAACAGAGGTAGCCCATGCCAGCCCTCGTCCCGGAAGCGAACCTGAAACATGTCTGCGGGAATCTTCTCCAGGAAGATCGCATCCGCGTCTCCATCCTCAATGGTGAAAGCCTCCAGAGCAGTTTTGGCCTGTGATTTTCGGCTTTATGCATGGCGTCTTAAGTTGCTGTACGGGTCTATGCTTTTCGAGGGTTCACCGAGGTTCCGCCACGACTTTTCAAGCTTCGAGTTGTAGGTTTAAGTTGCAGGCAGGCCTTCAATATACTGTGGCGCAGGGAGTCCCGAAACCTTGCTCGGCGACTCCCTTTTGGGTGTCGGGTTTAGGCCTCAGGGCTTGGGGTGTTGGGTTTTGGGGGCTTGTAAGGGCTCGGGCATTATATCGTCCATCTAATCACTACTTACTATAACTTATGTATACATATACATACATATGAGGACTAGTCACCCACGCCCGATGCTTTCGTCTGTCACTGAATATTTTCGGGCACGGCCCCTGAAACCGTTTTGTTTTTGCATCCCCAATCACCTCACATGCGAATCTTCACCCAAAACTTGGCTGCCTTCTGTTCCGCTGCTAAAACTTAAACTTTTAGCCTCCTTATTGTGGTTCATATAGAAACCTAAAAAGTTAAAGTCCTAAAAGCCAACCAGAAGAACCCCAAGGAAATGGTCGCCTCCAGACGGAACTCAGCAGGGAATCCGGTGGTTTGGACCTGGCACTCTTGTTTGGTTCCAGGTTACGGCGCTTTATTCCCTATAGTTTAGGGTTTAGGGTTTAGGGTTTAGGGTTATAATCCAGGAGGGACCCTTAATAAGGACCCCTAGATATATACCCTTAATATAGCTATTCTATACCCATTATATAGCCCATTGTAGGGTAGGGGTCCCCTTTAAGGGTCCCTCCTTTTCCCCTTTGATTTATGCTTCCAGCGCCTAGGCCTCTCAATTAGGGTTTGTACGGCGTAGCACAAACACATCTGGGCTCAGGGACTTTATTCGGGTGTAACAAGATTCATAGGTGAAGGTCCAGGGTTAAGGTTTGAAGGTTCTAAGTCTTAAGACACTTTAAACGTTTATTAAGCTGGTATGGAGCTGCCCAGACATGGCAGGAAGCAAAAACACCCTAAGACCTAAACGCTTCAATGCATTCCGGCTTCGGTTGGAGTGTTGTTGTGTATGCTCCTGTCCGCAATGTTTGCCAACCTCAAGTAGAGGATAACAAGAGGCTTGGGCTTGGTATTGGAAGGGTTTGAGCCAGTTCTGGGGATTAAGATTTTAGTTGTTCTGAAGAGTCTAATAGCTGCGCTTCTACTGTGCTAGTCTACTACTCTTCCGGGGCTATGAAGCCCTAGACCCCTAAACCCTAAACCCTGAAGAAGCCCTAGACCCCTGAACCTGTTGTATATAAGCTCCTTCATTGAAACAAGCAGACCTGTGAATTCCGCAGGAGATCTGGTGGCCGAATCTTGTGGAAGCCTTATCCTGCCATGCACCTAGACACCGAACCCTAACTCAATCCTACACCCAATACACCTGGATTCTTAGCCGTCAAACCCTTAAGTCCCAGCCCCCAACCCAACCCTAACTACTTACACTCATCCAGGCCCTAACCCCTAGTTTCGTAAATACCCGTCCAAACTTCAACCTCACGGATGTACGCAAGTATATGCTCATCCACCTCCAAGGGGGCCACATCGCCGATGGGCCGGCGAAAGCGAACTAACACTTGGAACCCTGCCAGGGCTGGGGGAGTTCAGGGATTTCATGTCGTGGTTGTGGGGTTCAAGTGCATCATAGGGACCCTTAGGTAGGGTGGAGGGAAGTAGGGGGCCCTAATACCTATAACAAGGACTTAGTAAGGCCGATTTAAGGAAGTATAGTCCCCTACCTATGAGTTGGGGCAGAAGCGAGCATTGGGCAGTTGGGTAAATGTACGGTTTGGGCATAGCCTGAAGACTTAAACCTCAAAAAGCACTACACGCTCAAACCCCAGAACCAAACCGCAAGCCCTAAACCTCAAAGCCTAAACCGGACACCTTACAAACCCGAAACCTCAAATCCTCAACATTATAGCCTAAACCTAAAAGGTTTAGGGCTGAAGGTTGAGCCATAAAAAGGGGCCAAGTAACTCGTACCATTTCCTTGCATCGTCCCTAGATGTTGATACTCCTGTTCTATGTGCACAAGCTCTGCAATCCAAAATATCTCAAAGAGACCCTTCAACCTAAACCACACAGGAACACCATTGAACCCATAGTCTAGCAGATTCTGTTTGTTCAAGCCCCCTGTACCAGTATCATATGTCATTGCAGATTGAGGCCTTCCGGCTTTTGGCCTCAACAAGAGGATCTCACAAGAAGATAAGATCGTTAAATGGCAACGACCTGGACAAATTAAGACCTAAGCCTAAGCCCGAAGCCGTCTGACCTGTTCCGAACCCGATCGTTATACGTAAAGTACCCTTGGCTACCGTCAGTGGAAATTCAATGAACGAGCTGTATAATGGCCTTAAGACTTCGAGTAAGCTTCTGGTGTAATTTGTGGTGAAAATTGATGAAACGGAGTCCGGAACTGTATTCAACCCAAACCCTTAACTCTAAACCCTTCGAGAAGACGGCTGCGAGCTCCCGCTCTAAAATTTGCAACCTCGAATCCTGATCTCAAAACTCTAACCCTTGAACCCAGAACCCTCAACTCTACACGCTACCAGCACCCCCCAACTACCTTCCATTATACCCTAAATACCCACTATTAGGGACCATAAGGGATCCATTAAAGGGTACTTGGGGGTCCTGGAAAACTCCTAAACTCTAGACCCTAAACTTTAAACCCTAAACCCTGAGCCCCTAAACCCCTAAACACTAAACCCTAAACTCTATACCCTAAACCCTAAACTGTAGACCTTAAACTCTCACGAAAATGATAAATACAAACTACCGGTCTTTGTTTGTAACCACAGGTACGGTCCCAGCCCGGCCCAACACCCCAATCCCCAAATCAAGAAGAAGTTGCAAAAGAAGCATTCATTACAATTGGTGTGTCTGTTTGATCGGACGCCTCGCAGACGGCCGATACAAGAGCCACGAAACCCCAGGACTTCTTCTGCTCGGAAGCCACGCCGACAGCCGATTCAAGAGCCACCAAATAGCCAAGGATTTTTTTGGTCCAAGAGCCACGCAGGCAGCCGATTCATGGCTTTTTTCGTCGGAAGCCACGCAGACGACCGATTCATGAGCCACCAAACCCGTTTTGTTCGGAAGCCACGCAGACAGCCGATTCAAGAGCCACGAAACCAGTGGCCGGAAACCAAGACAACGTTACAGAGCCGCGGGAAGTGTGTCAAACAGCTGTCGGGCATTATTAAGTAGCACGAATGCACTCCAGGATGACTGCTTACGCTCCAAAATAACTATGCACTGGAACTACTGAGAGGGCAATTTATGCGCGTTACGAAGAATGTTGATGCTGGTACCGGGTGATCAAGATTCCTGGCCAGGTCTAGCTGTCTGCAAGATGCTTCATCTTGTCTTCCAAGTCAGCAACTCTAGACGCACAATCACACACAGGCCCCTGAAGGTCCGACAATGATGCAGCAGGCGCAAGCGCTGCTTCGGATTCCATGCTCTCCCCATTATCATTGGCAAAACCGCGCCGGATGAACTCAAATCTCAGAAAATGGGTAGTTTGCAAGCCTACACAATCAACGCAAGATCAAGAAGCATGAGTCCGATGAGATGCAGACGCATATATACATAACATGACGTGGCCACATCAAGATTTCTTCGTACGTGTTTGAGCAGCTGAATGGCGGCACGTGAATGAATTTATGATGCCCGCCACGCATGTACCAAAGCGGAGGTGAGTAAACATCACACACCAAAACGACTGAACATGCAGTTTCGGCATTTACGGACGCCATTCTGAGCAAATAATTATGCTGATGGTGGAGCCGGGGCCACCAGATGCAAGTGGGTCTTCCCGGGAAAACGCTGCTGCGAGAGACAGGTGTTGTCCTTGCTGGAAATCTGGGCCGGCACCCACGGAAAGCTTGTCAGGGGTTTTGCCCGCTTCAGAATTTGAGCTGCGTGTCTAGAAGCCCCAACCAAGACGCGATTTCTCTTCTGCGACGGCCTCCTGGGCGAGAGGCTGCTGAAATTAAATCATCAGCAGCATGGCTCAAAACCACTCTCTCAAAGGAGCCTGCAATCTGCAGCCTGTGTGCAAGAACACCCCACACCGCATCCAAGACCACTCTCTCTACCTCGCCTTCGAGGCTTGCCAGGTTCTGGTGCCGTGCGCTCAGCAACCTGCTTCGCAAGGCGGCGCCAGCTGCTGCAGAGAGCCGGATTTCTCGGAAGCTCATCCTGGAACCTGCCTGTCAACCGTTCGTCGAAACTGTGACTGACAACTACAGCATTGCACCGGAAAGGTATCTAGCGCAAGGTTTGCTGGGCGCATGGCCCGTGATATCGAGCATGCTCTCGAACGTCTGCAACGCGTCATCCGGACTGCCAGAGGAAGAAGCTGCCAGAGCCGCCAAGCTCTGCTCCATGCCACCTGCCAGTAACAACAGCGCAAAATAGCACCCTGTTTGGAATGTCTGTTGAGTGCCACGGCGCGCTTGCCCATGCTTTCCAGATCACGTAATCCCGAAGCCGAAAGCTCCAACGAATAACCCGGTTGGCAAGTCTTTCTCATCTAAACGTCAGCAGCGCTCTAATTATAAGCTACATGAGGTGTTACTCGGTGACCTGGCTTCACTAGGTTCTGCCTTGCAACTGCGATCGCGATTTCTCGTAAACGTAGATTCCTGCCTTCTGCACGGCTCGGATCTGGTCCTGACGAGTTGCTTATAATCAAACGGCATATCGTGCGTTCGGTCTCTGCCTACGCCACTGAAGTCTTGCCGTGTCTTCCTCCTCCCCACTTTCCTACCGACTTTTCTCTCCCACATTAGCTACAGGGCACTCGAACACCTAGCCTCTGTCGACAGGCTCCAGAAAAACTCCCGGAAACCACGCGCCCCCGGCCCACCGATTCCAAAGCACGGTTTGAAAAACAAAACCTTCGGTCCAAACGTTTCGTTCAAAACCTTCGGTCAAAATGCTGTTGGCACCCAAACCCTTAATAATTTCTATAAACTCTGGACCCTAAACCCTAAACCTCAATAAAACCCTAAACTCTAATTTCTAAACCCTAAACTCTAAACCCTGAACCCTAAACCCTAAATTGTAAACTTTAAACTCTAAACTCGAGACCCTATGCTCTAAACAGCCCGAGGTCGAGCCTTCGCGAGCCATCCAACCGCTCGGAAACCTCGCAGCCCAGGGGGAAACCACAGGGGGTCACAGGGATTTTGGCTTCTTTAGGGTTTAGGGTTTTGGGTGCTTAGGTTTAAGGTTTGGGGTCTTGAGGGTTTAGGGTTTATAGGTGTTTAGAGTTTAGGTGTTTAGGGTTTAGGTGTTTAGAGCTTAGGGTTGAGGGGTTCAGGGTTTAGGGTTTAGCATCTTTAGGGTTTAGGTGTTTAGGTGTTTAGGTGTTTAGGCTGTAGGGCCTTTAGGGTTTAGGGTTTAGGTGTTTAGGGTTTAGGGTCTAGGGTCTTTAGAGTTTAGGTGTTTAGGCTTTAGGGTCTTTAGGCTTTAGGGTCTTTAGGGTTTAGGGTTTAAGTGTTTTGGGTTTAGGCTTTAGGGTCTTTAGGGTTTAGGTACTTAGGCTTTAGGGCCTTTAGGGTTTAGGGTCTTTAGGGTTTAGGTGTTTAGGTGTTTAGGCTGTAGGGCCTTTAGGGTTTAGGGTTCAGGTGTTTAGGGTTTAGGGTCTAGGGTCTTTACGGTTTAGGGTTTAGGTGTTTAAGCTTTAGGGTCTTTAGGGTTTAAGGTTTAGGTGTTTAGGGTTTAGGCTTTAGGGTCTTTAGAGTTTAGGTGTTTAGGCTTTAGGGTCTTTAGGCTTTAGGGTCTTTAGGGTTTAGGGTTTAAGTGTTTTGGGTTTAGGCTTTAGGGTCTTTAGGGTTTAGGTACTTAGGCTTTAGGGCCTTTAGGGTTTAGGGTCTTTAGGGTTTAGGTGTTTAGGTGTTTAGGCTGTAGGGCCTTTAGGGTTTAGGGTTCAGGTGTTTAGGGTTTAGGGTCTAGGGTCTTTACGGTTTAGGGTTTAGGTGTTTAAGCTTTAGGGTCTTTAGGGTTTAAGGTTTAGGTGTTTAGGGTTTAGGCTTTAGGGTCTTTAGAGTTTAGGTGTTTAGGCTTTAGGGTCTTTAGGCTTTAGGGTCTTTAGGGTTTAGGGTTTAAGTGTTTTGGGTTTAGGCTTTAGGGTCTTTAGGGTTTAGGTACTTAGGCTTTAGGGTCTTTAGGGTTTAGGGTTTTGGGTTCAGCAGCTCCGGATCAAGCAGTTTGCGGTAGAGTCGTATTTACAGCTGAGACATAATACTCACCCACCCAAGAATCCCATAGCATTGAGAAAATACATACAAATTCCGCAGTTCTACTTACAACTTAGCTTCATACACTATTTTCAAAGTGGCATAGAACGGAGCTTATAGCATTGGTTGTCACAGTAATCCCTAAATACATGTGTTGGGATTACCGATAGCTTGAGCAGCAAAGTCACTCGCATGTCTGGTTATGGGGACTTGGGGGCTCAGAAGCGCCATTTTGTTACGGGGATTTGGGCTCAGAAGCGCCATTTTGTTACGCAATTTGGTACGGAAACTTGGGGCTCAGAAGCGCCATTTTGTTGCGGGGACTTGGGGGCTCAGAAACGCCATTTCGAGGGACGAAAGTTTGGCCTTGGCCGACAAGGTTGGGTTTGGCGGACGAAGGTTTGGCCATGGCCCACAAAGCTTTGGCCTTGGCCGACAAGGCTTGGCCTTGGCCGACGAAGGCTTGGCCTTGGCCAACCAAGGCTTGGCGTTGGCCTTGGCCGACGAAGGCCTTGGCCGACGAAGGCTTGGCCTTGGCCGACGAAGGCTTGGCCTTGGCCGACCAAGGCTGGGCCTTGGCCGACGAAGGCTTGGCCTTGGCCAACGAGGCTTGGCCTCGGCCGACGAAGGCTTGGCCTTGGCCGACGAAGGTCATTAGGGTTTAATTTTCTTAGGTAAGAGAGGTTTAGACTTTAGGGTCTTTAAGGTTTAGGGTTTAGGTGTTTGGTGTTTAGGGTTGAGGGGTTATAGGGTTTAGGGTTTAAGGGTTTAGGGGTTTAGAGGTTTAGAGGTTTAGAGGTTTAGGGTTTAGGGGTTTAGGGGTTTAGGGGTTAAGGTTGCGACAGACGCGTTGGGGCGAAACCCTTTCAACCACGTTGGTTGCGACAGGCGCGTTAGGGGCGATAACCTTGCAAACACGTTGGTTGCGACAGGCGCGTTGGGGGCGATGCCCTTTCCAACACGTCGGGTTCGACATCCTGGCTTCTTTGGTCGCCGTACCAATGCTCAGCGCCCCAGGCCATGATGATGAGGTCGAGGGCCTGGAGCGCTTCTTTGAGCTTCGAGAAGGCAGCTCTGAAGTGGGGCATGTCCGTCGGAGGCGAGGAACTGCTGGACGCCGACGCCGAGGACGGCATCTTTTGGAAACTAGGGCCACCACTAAACCTAATAAGCCAAGCTAAGCGGCAAAGCCTAAGCTCAGCCTAAGCTAGCCGAAAATTGAACGTTTAAGCCTAAGTCTAAGCTAAGCCTTGATTAAGAAGCGGCTTAGGGTTCAGGCTTTAGGGTCTTTAGGGTTTAGGTGCTTAGGTGTTTACGGTTTAAGGTGCTAGGGTCTTTAGGGTTTAGGTGTTCAGGCTTTAAGGTCTTTAGGGTTTAGGGTTAAGGTGCTCGGGGTTTAGGCTTTATGGTCTTTAGGGTTTAGGGTGTAGGTGTTTAGGCTTTAGGGTCTTTAGGGCTTCGGGTTTAAGTGTTTATTTAGGCTTTAGGGTTTAGGTATTTAAGCTTTAGGGTCTTTAGGGTTTAGGCTTTAGGCTTTAGGTCTTTAGGGTTTAGGGGTTAGGGGTTTAGGGGTTTAGGGATTTAGGTGTTTAGTGGTTTAGGTATTTAGGCTTTAGGGTCTTTAGGGTTTAGGTTTAGGCTTTAGGGCCTTTAGGGTTTAGGGTTTTGGCCCCTTTAATTCTCGGAAGTTCTAAAAACTAAACCCTTTGTAGTACCCTAGTACCCTTATAGATCCATTTAAGGAACCCTTTGTAGATCCCCTTTCAGGTACCCCCTAAATCTCGGAAACTCCCCCAAGCGCCTCCAGCACTCCAGCTCCAGTTCACCGCCCCGGTCTTCCGAGGGCCGCCGCAACGACGAGATGGCTGCGGCCAACCTGAGCGTTGTCAACCCTAAACCCTAAACCCTAAACGGTGTAGGTTCTTTTTAATGCAATGCCGTTTTCCTTGCGTCCAAGGAACCCTAGAGTTTTGGGGCTTAGGGTTTTACGGCTTTTAGGGCTTGGGGCTTTACGGCTTTTAAGGTTTAGTGTTTTTAGGGCTTGGGGGTTTAGGGTTTTAGGGCTTAGGGTTTACGGTAGGGTTTACAGTTTTAGGGCTTAGGCTAGGGTTTAAGCCTTTGGGGTGAGGGGCTACGGCTTAGGGTGTACGGGTGACTATAGGGTTTGTTCTATGAAAGGGCTTTCGTAGAAAAGTGGCTTTTTTTGCAGATTGCTTCATAGGAAGCCATACGATCTAGATTATCCTTCAGGTACTGCCCCCATACAGTGAGAGTCTAAAGTAGGGCTACTATTAAGGTCCTAATATACCTATATTATGAATATTCTTCAACTATTAATTATTGAGTGGGCGGCCGCACCCGAAAGATCCTCAGTGTCCGGAGCCCTAGACAGAAAGCCTCGATGTCCTGGAAACGCCCGGCTCCACAAGGGAGTTTCCGAAAGTTACGGGTACCTTACTTGGGGGTCCTTATAATCAGGATCCTACTATTTAGGGTCCCTATTTTCGGGTCCCCTATTTCCGCAAACTCCCACAAAGATTCTAGACGGCTCAACACAGCTTCTGCACGGTGCTATACAGTCTTGGCAGGGGCTTACTCCACAAATTATAAGCAAAATATGTTTTTTGTTTATTGAACCTTGCTCGGAGAACCCGAAAAAAACTAAACCCTACAGTAGCTTCCATCGAAGTGTAAACAAAACAATGATAATGGCGAACCCGAAATCTCAGACTTCAAACACCAATCTACACTTCCCAACCTTCACTTCACAATCCCACGTACAAAAAAAACGAAAGCCTTAAACATGGGCCAACCCGTGAGGACCAAACCCTAAACCCGGACCCCTAAACCCCAGACCCTGAACCCTAAACCCTGAACCCTAGACTCTAAACCGCGACGTCTCAACTGACTCCTGGGTGCCCCGGCTCCCACCATCTCGAGGACATCTTCTGTGCGTCCAGGTCTCCCGTCCAAGAGCCCCCGTGGCCGACCTGGGAGAACTTCCACTTGGAGGGCTTATGGTTTAGGGATAAGGGCTTAGGGTTTAAGGCTTAGGGTTTAGGGTTTAAGGCTTAGGGTTTAGGGTTTAGGGTAGTCTCGACCTGGGAGAAATTCCACTTAAAAAACAAATGGGGGGACTTAGTCTGTATAGTAAAGTTCATAGTACATACCCTTAAAGATCCCTTATCATAGGCCTCTTTAAGGAACCGTTTAGGGAACCCTTTACGGAACCCTTTGCGGAACCCTTTAATGGAACCGCCAAAATACTATAGGTACTTACATAGTAAGCACCCAAAAGTTGGAAACCGGATGAAGGACAGGTAGTGCTGGGATTCCCTATGCCCCAAACTGCTGCAAACAACAGGTTCCAGGATGTCCAAGGTGAGCTCGAATCAGTATGTTTTTCAACCATTGGACGCTTGCATGTATCCGAAACAGTGGTTCCGACACAACATTTTTTGTGGTTGAGGTACGTAGTCTCTAGGGTACTCGGGCCCTGCATGCCAGGGCATATTCGCAGGTCCTGAAAAACGCCGACCACACCCTCGAAACGCTGTCGAGACGCCCGAGCACACCTTGCGACACCCTAAACCCCTAAACCCTAAACCCTAAATCCTACGTGTTCCAGTGTTGGTAATGTCGTCCGAGAGGGTTTGCACCTCACGACACATGGCCTCGTAGGCGACCTTCGCCTTGTCGCACTTAGCCTGCAGGGTAACTCGGCGCAAGACGAGTTGCCTCAGATCTGCGGTGTGCTTCTGGTAGGCTCTGGACGCTTGGTGAGCTTCCTGAAGTGCCGTGGGAGGTGGTCCCTCAGACTCGGTGACTCTCCCGATATCATGAGGAGCTTCTTAGTCTCCTCGTCTGCCTGCTTGCAAAGCTCCGCAGCCGCTGTCTGGCTATGGTCAGATGAGTCTCCTCCAATCTGACTTAGCCCCAGCCCTGGCGGGATCTCTGGCGTCCAGTCAGGATTTAGGGTTTAGGGTTTAGGGTTGTTTTGGACCAGGCCCAGATCTGCATCAGAGCTGCCTCGGCTTTTCTACAAAGGTATACTGCAAGGAAACCAGTCTTATATCCTATCCCTCAAGTCGAACATCTACAAGCCCTGGAACTCTGAACCCTGCGATGCTTCGTTTGCAGAATACGTAATCCGGGCCTGAACTTTTACCCTGAGGCCTAAACGCCTGAAGCTGGCTCAGAATACTTATCAAGGAACAGTTAGTGTGCACTATAGAACCCGGCCATGAGTCTCCCAACTGCAGCTACCTAGGTCATAGCTATATTATCGCTGGGTTAAAAGTACGGGAAAACGGTGTTTACTAGTAACTTAGTAGGGTTCTGGATCCACGAATAGCGCTAAATCGCAAACCCCTAAACCCTAATTCCCCAAACGCGACTTGCATACTTATAGCGGAAGTCTTAGAACCGCTCATAGAATCCTCACAGAAACCTTATAGAACCTGTCAAAACCTCCTAAAAGTCTCCAACTGAACCCCTACTTGGAGGTTAGGGGTAGTTACTTACACGGCGACCTAATTGGAAGTAGAACTCAAACCCTGAACACTAAACTCAAACCCTCAGCCCTAAACCCTCCACTCAAACCCTAAACGTTATACCCTCAACTAAAACCCTAAATCCTAAACTCTCAACTCAAACCCTAAACCCCAAAACCTCAACTCAAACCCTAAACCCTAAACTCTCAACTCAAACCCTAAACCCTAAACCCTAACCCTTAGCTCAAACCCTAAACCCTAAACTCAAACCCCTAAACCCTAACCCTTAACCCTAAACTCTAAACCCTTCAACTGAACTCCCAAGTTCTAAACCCCTCAAAGCTGCACCCCCCGAAGTGGGAAGCTCAGAGCCGAGCCCGGAAGGTGCCGGAGACGGGCGCCGAGGCGTTTTGCAGCTTTCCGACCGTCACGTTGCCGCCGCGTGCCTCAGCTTAGAACCGGCTTAAAGGGTTTACGGGTTTAGGGCTTTAGGGTTTTAGGGTTTAGGGCTTTGGGGTTTTAGGGTTTTAGGGTTTAGGGGTACAGGGTTTAGGGTTTTAGGGTTTTAGGGTTTTAGGGTTTAGGGTTTTAGGGTCTAGGGTTTTAGGGCTTTTAGGGTTTAGGGTTTTAGGGCTTTAGGGTTTTAGGGTTTAGGGCGTAAGGTTTAAGGGTTAGGGTGTAGGATTTAGGGTAGGAGTCCTTAATATCGGTATTCAAACTAGACATTTCGTGCGTTTTTGACTTTGAACAAAGTCGGGAAGCTGAAAGAAGAGTATCACTAAGCCTTCCGGCTTTCTTCAGTTACAGATACTTACAGCCCCCGGTTTAGGGTTTAGGGTTTAGGGTTTAGGGTTACTAAGCTTCCAGATACTCTACATAAGCCCAGCTAGAACATCACCGAAACCTATAAACCTCTCATTGGACACAAGGACCTCGTGAAACGTTAGCCTTGCTTACAAAATCCCAACTGGAGTCCTAGACCCTAAACCTTAAACCCCTAAACCCTTATAGTAAACCCCAAAAAATTGGAAACCGGAATAAGGACAAATAGTGCTGGGATTCCCTATACATGACTCTTAAGGATTGAGGCTATTGGGTTTCCAACTTTTAGGCTTCTAGTGTAAACCTTTAAACTGCCAAACCCTTGAACCCTTCAACCCCTTGACCCTCGCACTCTTGAACCCTTGAATCCTTGAGCCCCAAACCCTTAAAACCTCTCATGTGGGATCCTGATTCAGAAACCCCGGGCCTATAACCCCAAAGTAGTAGGATTCATATAAGGGACCCTTATAAAGGCCCAAGGTTCCTTAATCAGGTTCCTACATTATTCTAGTACCCTTATCATTGATCCCTTATAGTAACTCTTATCGACCCCTTCAAAGGAAGCCTTATAAAGGCCCAAGGTTTCTTAATCAGGTTCCTACATTATTATAGTACCCTTATCATTGATCCCTTATAGTAACTCGTATCGACCCCTTTCAAGGAACCCTTCTAGTAATCCTTATCGACTCCTTAATGGAAGCCTCATAAAGGCCCAAGGTTTCTTAATCAGGTTCCTACATTAAGCAAGCCCAGCTCGCCTCGACAAGCTCCATGTCGATCCATTGCGCGCTTTCGGCCTTGGGGCAGAGCGGGCGGCTGGCTTTTAGGGTTTAAGGCTTAGGGGTTTAGGGGTTTAGGGTTTAGGGTTTAGGGGTTTAGGGTTTAGGGTTTAAGGGTTTAGGGTTTAGGGTTTCCGGGTTCAGGGCTGTAGGGTTTAGTATAAGGTTAAGGACAGGATCTGGTTCGGGCTAAGGGTTTCTCTAGGGTTTAGGGCTTGTTCACGGTGTGCGGTTTCGGGTTTAGGGACGTTTAGGGCTCAGGGTGCTTCTGAGGTTCGAAGGGAATCTTACTTGTTCGGTATCCTAAGGGCGCTTTATCTAGGCATGATAAGACTTCTACCGTGGTTCTACCGGACCAGCTTAAGGTTTTGGCTTTAGGGGGTTTGACAAGGCACGGCAAGGGCTCCAGAGAGCTTCGAAAGGGTTAGAAGTCCGGGTTGAGCCAAGGAGGGTTGTGCGTTGTGTGTTTTCGAAGGTTTGACGGATGTTTTATGCGAGAAGAGCTCTGCGAGGGTTTAAGCCTTTGGGGCTGACTGTTTAGGGTTTGGGGCTTCTCGTTTCTGGGGCTTTGGGATGGAGGTTCGAGATTCGAGTTTCATTAGAGTGTTCAGGTTTGGGGTTGGGTTGGAGGGCTAGGAGCTTTTTGCTCTAACTCGAGGTGTCTCTCTGGTAGAGCAAGAAAACCAGAACATGTGCCTGTTACGGGGTGTCGAACCTAGATGATTACTTGGGTTGTCACAGCCATCAGAAGCTAGATTAGACCCTTAAAATCACAAAGGCCCACCAGAAACTCTCAACTCACCCCCCGTCCAACAAACAACTGCAACCCTAAACCCTAAACCCTAAACGAACGAGGATGTGGCTGACGAACAGGGTCCTTTGCGTGGGCCTGCCGTAGGGCGGTATCCACTGCCGCTTCAATCTTAGCAGAAAATGCCTGCAAGGCCTCCCCTATGCACTGCGTGGAGGTGCACTGAAGAGCTTGCTGTCGGAGCTCGGCGCAGAAGGGCTGAAAGGCATCCGCGACAAGCTTGGGATCCGGCTCCAGTTCGCTCCATTGTTTTGGCAAGTGCCACACACGATGGCAAGGCCGCTGCCCACACAGCCGCAAGCGGAAGCAGAGCGGGCTATAAGCATCAAACAGATGCTCACAACCCGGTCCCGAATATGATGCGCTATAGTCTAGCATGACAAACGATTTCCAACCTTAATAGACCGTACAGTACTGAGTAACGAGCAGTAGTGTGTTGTGATACTCTGTAAGACGCTGCAAAAAACATGCTAACATACTGCGAGAATATAGTAGAATATACAAGAATCTACCAGAATATGCTATAACATACGACAACATGCTTCACGTTAAAATCGGTCGCAAACAGATTCTTTCATCTTTGCCACCAAGATTCCTTCAAATGTCACCAGCGGATTCTGTCAACTGTACCCCGCAGATGCACCCAACCCTAAAACCCAAACCCTCAACCCTTAGCCCAAACCCCAGACCTGAACCCTTAACCCTAAACCCTAAACCCTAGTAAACCCTAAACCCTACAACCTAAACCCTAACTAACCCCTAAACCCTAGTTGAAGGAATCGGAGTCGAAAGAATCCTGGTTGACAGAAACGCCCAAAGTTGATAAAGAAGGCATCGGACAGCTTTTTATAGGATCCTTAAGGGAGGGTGGTTCAAGGGGGGAGGGTATAAGGAATCCTTAGGGGACTGTAAGGGAACCTTAGGGAGTACTAGGGAGAATTAGGGATCGCTAGGCTATATACCCCCCTTGGACCCCCCTCCCTTAAGGATACTACAAGCTTTGGGGCGCAAGGCCTCCAGTGCGCAGTGGAACGTCAGCAGGTAACGGACCTTGGAGCGCCAAAGCATAAACCCTTAAACCCTAGTCGCTGAAACCCGAAGCCGCTAGACCCTAAACCCTAAACCCTTAAACCCGAAACCCTAAACCCCTAAACCCGAGAAGGCTTGGGGTTGCACGGACTAGGATTTAGGGCTTAGGGTTTAGACTTTGAGGTTAGAGAGCAAATTCCCCTGAGGCCTGACCTTTTCGAGGCAGGCAGCAAGAGCAGCCGGGGTTCAGGGGTTAGGGGTTTACAGTTTTTAGGGTTTAGAGTTTAAGGGAGTTAGGATGTATGCTTTAGACGAAGCTGAAGTCTGCTGCTTCCGTAACGTCAGAAGACTGGATCTGAGGTTGCCAAGGCCCGAGTGAAAAAGTCTGCTGCCGTCAAGCCAGTGCTCTAGTTGCCGAGCATACTTGGAGGCGCATGGGAAGTTATAAAGTCCCCTAATATGGCTTATAACTATAGTATTGGGTTTGGGGTTCATGGGTAGTTATAAGTAGGGTTATTAATTAGAAGTAGGATATCTATACCTATAACCCATATTAGGGGACTTATAACCCTACTTATAATACTACCCATGAACCCTGGGCTTCAGCTGGAAGATGTGGCAGTGCCAGGCCAGTGTGCGGTCCTCTGCGCCTCGAGCTTTACTTGCCTTTGGTTAGTAGGGAATGGAAGAATGGTAGTAATAGTAGTTATACTTGTACCCCATTCCTCCATTCGCTACTAACCAAAAGTAAGTTTACAGAAGCTCCGCTCAAGACCTGCAGCGTCACATCTGCCCTGGTGGATTTGGGGATCGCGCCTGTGCGCAGAAGCATTGGCATGATGCGTGCAAATTGAACTCTGAGGTTCCTCGGGTCGTAGAATTTAAGTCCGGAATCGACTCCTGAATCGCTGACCGGCCAAGCACCTTCCTCAACAACGTGAAGTGTGACTTCAAGCCCATCTATCGAAGCTCATGCTGGCTGCCAGGATTGGCTTCGGTATAGATTGCTTCTCTTAGTCCAACTTAATCCAGACGGGCACGTGCCAAGGTGTTGAGACGAACTTTCATACTGTACTCGGAAACTAGGTTGGCCCTTTGAAGCCTCTGAAAAATACTCGTAAATAGGGTCCTATTAAGCCCATTAAGGGCTGGAAAGCGAGCTTATCAAGATTACGTCATGCACTGAGCACCTCCCTGTCTCCAAAGATGCCTGGGAGTTGGTTTGGGGCTTCGGGGCCTGGGGTAGGGTTTACTGGGATCTGTTTAAGGCTTTGGGGCCCATTGTTAGGGTCCCCAGGGGCCCTATCTACACCACCGAAGCCCTGATAAATCCTGGCACGCATGAGAAACGGTGCTAAACCATAGTTCATCATGTCCGGGTCGTGATATTAATACGAGGTTACAAGTTTCTCTAACATGATTCCTAATGAGATACCAACAGCCCACACCCCGAATCCCAATGTCACATCTTTTAAGCCCCCGATCCCATTATGCCCGAAAAGCCTATAAGTCCTAAGACTCCCAAAACCCTGAATCCCGAACCCCAAAACTCCAGAAACGCCAACACGCTTCAAAAGTCGACGTATGCGTTGAACGTTTTAAATCGTAGTAAGGATCCCTCTGCAGTAGAAGGGAAACCTAAACCGAACATGTAGGCCCCGAGCCGTACAAAATACCAGACCATCATCCCTTAAAGTATCGAGTGGGTACTATACTAGAACCATATGAGTGGTTGTCAAAATTATGGTCGCTTTTTTGGCTCCTTATTATAAAACGGCACCTAATATTTTGTGGTACCCAAGAAGGGACCCTAATTTTTGACAACCACCCATATAAGTAAACCCAGCCATTCCTTGAACTCTGGTCAGACTTTTGTAGAACTCTTACCTGGTTTAGGGTTTAGGGACCCCTTATAGCCTAAACAACCTCTCCAGAGGATGGGGCCGTGGCCTAGAGCCCGCCGATTAAAGACCCAACAAAACCCTGCAAAACTCCATACAAACCCTTGTAATATAGGGCCCTGATCATTTGAATAGGGCTCTGGGTGTTATGTTATAGTATAAACAGAAGAAATTGGGCCCTAAGGAATACTATTGGTAACGATGTAGGCCTCTATATCGCCACCTCTTTGCTGCCGAAGGGCTTTTGGTGCCACCACGAGCGGCACAGTATCCACGGTGATGCTTCGGCATCCGTGGAGTGCGAACGGCGCCTCTTCTCGAGTGTCAAGCTCTTCAAGGCTTTGGGAATTTAAGCGGTTTTTGTGGCTCCGCCAAACCTTATTCTAATGACTGAAACCTCTTCATTAGGATTCTAGTGCTTGTATACCTATATACCATCCCAAAACCTTATTCTAATGATTGAAACCTCTTCATTAGGATTCTAGTGCTTGTCTACCTATATACCATACTCCCAATACCTTATTCTAATGATTGAAACCTCTTTATTAGGATTCTAGTGCTTGTCTACCTATATACCATACTCCCAAAACCGTATTCTAATGATTGAGACCTCTTTATTATTAGGATGCAGGATGTTGGGACGGGCTTCCTCGGTCCGGGTTTCGGGCATCAGCGCTTTCGGGTGAGTCCGGGCAGCTTGGTGTTGGGGATTTTGAGATCTAGGGTTTAGGGGTTTAGGGTTTAGGGGTTCAGGGTCTAGCGCAGGCTCTCCTCATAACAGATGCGGTGCGCGCATCAACCACGACTGAACCACACATTCAAACCCAACTCCGTATGTCTGAACAACATGACATACTCGTCTGTATCCGGCGAAGATGTCTTCAACGATACGTAATTCGAAGCATCAGACCTACAAACCCAATGAACCAAGGCACCACGACGACCATGACGACCACGGATAACTGTACTCAGTCTCACCTTCAGCCCCGGTTAAGGTAATTACATATCTAACCTTACTAAGGGTCCTGATCCTCACGCCCTCACGCCCTGTTAGAGTGCCCTTACAGAACCCTTAAAAGAACCCTTAAGGGAAACCCTCAAAGGAACCCTCAAAGGAACCATACAACCCTTCGAGCCCAGAGCAGCGCGCCTGGCCGGCCAGGACCACTTTGGCATTCCGTACCTTCAGGCTTGAATCTCATAAGGACCCTAGTGGGGTGAGGGGGAGGGGGGGGGTAAGGGACTATACTTCCTTAAAGTTTAGGGGACCTCAAGGCACTATCATAGGGATCCATTCCCCCATTCCCTGCAAAGAACGAGACAGACTAATCGGAGGGTGCTAGGGTTTAGGGCTCATAGGCCAGGGCCCAGGGCTTTTTTTTTTCAAAGTGCCAGGGTCCTCTCGACCTGCCTTCGCAGGAATACACTGGTTTTACTAGGGGATTTTAGGGTTCGGGCTTAGGGTTAGGCGGGGTCCTCGTGGGCTTGGGGTTTCGAGCTCAGGATTTAGAGGCCTAGACAGGGCAGGTTTAGGGTTTAGGGTTTAGGGTGGAATCAATTCCTTCAGCCATGCCGTTGTGTTGGCACTGGCATGGCGTAGCACGTGTCAAGACTAGGAGTTATTCGGCAAGGACTTAGGGTATGGATTGTGAGTATGCTGATGACAGCGAGTTCTTGTACCTACTGAGCTCTCAAGAATCAGATGCTGATGTCCTTAATGCATACCTTGACCTACCAACCCTACCTGTTCTATAGGGTCCCTATAAACTCCATGTTCGGGTTCATAATGAGACCCTACAAACAAGTAGGGTTTGGTGAAATAGGGTAGGGATTTAAGGCTGAGGCGTCCCGTGGCTTGAGGTGTGCAAGCCTTGGGCTTGGAACGAGGGTTGAGACTTGGGATAAGGCCTAAGCCGGTTTTAGGGCCTAGGGTTTAGGGGTTTAGGGTTCAGGGGTTTAGGGTTTAGGACCTGAACAAGTAGCAATAAGCTTTGCGCTTGTAGTCCTGATCTGATTAGACATAATGTATCGCAACCACTATTATACTTGTTTAGGGCCCAGGCAGTGATAAGTGATCGGGGTTATAAGTAGGATACCTATACTTATAACACATATTAAAAGACTTATAACCCTACCTATAACTACCCATGAACCTCCAAGTAGTGGTGGTTAGGCAGGGTTTGGGGTGTTGGAATCTTGATGCGTGATTACCTGATTCAAGAATCCTCGAACCACCGAACACCATATGGGAGTTTCCGAAAATTAGGGGTACCTTATTTGGGGTCCTTTTAGTAAGGATCCTAGTATTTAGGGTACTATATTAGGGTCCCCAATTTTTGGGAAACTCCCATATGGGGCCATGGTAGTTGCAGTGATGATGTTTGGGGATACTACTTTACCAATAATATACCAGGAACGTGCTCCTTCCAAAGCCCCCATGCCCGTTTGACAACGGCCGCAGCGGCGTCGCTCGCCGTTGTCGGCGTATTTAGCGCGCTTCGGTGCGGACTAGCTAGCTTGGCTCGATCTTCCCAGGTGCAGTCGGCGAGGTGCTGGGCCCCGGCGGGCTTGGCTCGATCTTCCCAGGTGCAGCCGGCGAGGTCCCCGGCGGGCTTGGCTGATCTCCCCCGGTGCAGCCGCTGAGGTGCGGACTAGCTAGCTTGGCTCGATCTTCCCAGGTGCAGTCGGCGAGGTGCTGGGCCCCGGCGGGCTTGGCTCGATCTTCCCAGGTGCAGCCGGCGAGGTCCCCGGCGGGCTTGGCTGATCTCCCCCGGTGCAGCCGCTGAGGTGCGGGGCACGACGTGCGGCGGCGGTTGCGGTAGGGCGGTGCCTGCCAGAACTGGCTGAGCATCCCAGCAGTCCTCCTCATCTGACCACCTGGGCTTGTTTCGCTGGTCCTCACAGCGCGCGTCGACGCATCGCGCCTTGCGCGGGCACAAATCGACTAGCACTACGAACTTCAGAACGCCTCTCTAACAGAGCTCCTGTTCAGTGCCACACCGAAATCCCAGTCCTGCATGTCCCTGAATCCTAAATCCAAACTATAAGCCCGTCCCTGCCTCTTCGGCCGACAGACCCTCAGAGCCTCGAATAATTAGACTGCTACATTTAGCATACACTGTACATAGCTTATACTCATAAAGCTCAAGGAATCAGCTACTATGTCTTCAAAGGCCTGCACCAGACACCAGCTGCTTGCAACAAATCTGAACGCTCGGCCTGACACCAGACACCCTCAACTCTATCTGGGAACATGACATGTTGCGAAACCCGAACCGCTGACCTCTACCTGCAACGGCCAACTTACCAAAATGGTAGAGGATGACCCCCTTTGTTATAGGGACCTGAACCCTGAAACGGTAGGGTTTGGGACTTCGGGTAAAGCCAAGCCGAGGACCTCATTTCGAATGGTGTTGCGATGCACACCGTGGTGGAAGGAAAGGAGTGCCTGCGGAGAATCCCGGTATGTCTGGGCTCAGGCGTCGTCTGCTACTCGGGTCCCTCCCATATGGGGGCCTTAACAACCAGAACTAGATATTGTGTACTATTACTGTAATACTGTTACTGGTACAGAGTACTATGCTTGATGTGCCTGTCTATATACATAAACATACACTTACACATACACATCCACATGCGTATGCACATACACTTACACATACGCATGCGCATACGCATAGACATAGACAAAGCCACACACACACACACACACAGAACATACATCCAGGTAGAACTCCGGAGTATAATGGCGAAGATTACAGGGGCTATAAGGAGATACGCAAACGATCTAAGGCACAAGAACCTCAGGGTGCGAAGCCCGATAACCGTCTTTGCATGGAACCCAAGCCCTGAACCCTCAACCCTAAACCCCAGAACCCCGAACCCTACACCCCAAAACCTAAACCCTGAACCCTAAACCCTAAACCCCAAACCCTAGCCCTAAACCCTAAACCCTACACCCTAAACCCCAAGCCCTAAACCCTAAACCTCAAACCCTAAACCCCAAACCCTGACCCTACACCCTAAGCCCTATCAGCACCAAAACCCCAAACCCCAAACCCCAAACCCTGAACCCTAAACCAAGCCTGGTGCCCCCCAGCTCCGAAGATCCGAAGCTTGAAGCTGTCGTTGACCTGAGCTGCTTCATAAGTGGGTGGTTGTCAAAATTATGGTCCCTTTTTGGGGGTAACCTAAATATTAGGTGCCGTACTATAATAGGGACCCAAAAAGGGACCATAACATTGGCAACCACCCAAATGGGAGTTTCCTAAAATAGGGGGACCCTAATATAGCACCCTAAATAGTAGGATCCTTCTTATAAGGACCCCAAAATAAGGTACCCCTAATTTTTGGAAATCCCCAAACCCTAAACCCTAAACCCTTTATAGAACCCTTATAGATCCCTTCAAGGAACCCTTCAAGGATCCCTTTAAAGGTACCCCCTATTTTCGGAAAGTCCCATATGTGATGGCTAGTACTCGGAGGTTCATAGCAGACGATGGCTCTTTCTCAATACGCGTAGTGATACGTAGGGGTTTGTAGGGGCCCTTTAAAGGGATCTATACGGATTCTAGAAGGGTAGAGGGTTTAGGGTTCATGGGTAGTTTTAAGTAGAGTTATAAGTCGGATAAAGATACTTATTATAGCCTATGTTAGAGGACTTATAACTCGACTTACGACTACCCATGATTCTCCAAGTAGAGCTTACAGCCTTCTTTTTGTTCATGCTGCTGCTCTCATTGCGATTGCACGACTTACTGCTGATAACTGCTTAAAACTTCCTGCTTCTAGGGTTAAATGGTTTTAGGGCTTTGGGGCTCTAGTAAAAGTTCGAAATTTGGGCTTCGGGCCCAGAAGGGGTTCAGGGCCAAGAGATTGAGTGGAAGCAGGCCTTCTATCCACTTGAGCATCATAATTTTGACACCCACCCATGTGAACAAGAATCAATAAAGATAAGTTAGAAGAGGAGGCTCTAGGCTTCTCAGGAGAAGAGGGAACCACTTGGCCGCTTCTGTGCGTGAGTCCTGCTGTCCTCTTGGGGTTTAGAGGTGTACGGGTTAGGGGTTTAGGGGTTGGGGTTTAGAGGTGTGCGGGCTAGGGGTTTAAGGGTTAGGGTTTAGGGGTGCGGGTTAGGGGTTTTAGGGCTAGGGTTTAGAGGTGTGCGGGTTGGGGGTTTGGGGGTTAGGGTTTAGAGGTGTGCGGGTTAGGGGTTTAGGGGTTAGGGTCTCGAGGTGTATGGGTCGTGGGTTTAGGGGTTTGGGTTTAGGATTTGGGGGGCTATGTCAGGAGTTCAACACTGCTCTTACCTTTGGTTAGAAGGGAATGGAAGAATGGTAGTAATAGTAGTTACAGTTGTACCCCATTCCTCCATTCCCTACTAACCAACGGTAAGTGCTGAGGCAGGACCAGGAACAGGATGCATGCGAAACAACTACATACCGTATGCAAGCAGGGCTTATGAACCCTGGTAATTAACCAACATTCTACAGACCCCTTCGAAAGGTAATATCAGTGCTGTTAGTAATCCCACTCAGTCACATATCCAAGCAATAAAGTTTACGGTTTAAGGTTCAAAATTTCAAAAATTCCAAACAACCTTGAGCCCTCTTTCCAAAATTCGAGAGCTTCAAGACCTCATAGCTGCCGGAGCATCCCGTCCTGAACGCTAAAGAAGCTACCTTCTATGACTTTAAATATAAAAGCCCTTGACCGGGCTTGCATGCCGGGCACCGTCGTGTTCCCGATCTCAATGAAGTGCTGCTCTCGCCTGGCAAACGACCAATAGCCTAGGGTTTGCGGCTTAGGGTTTACACTTTCGACACACACCGCATAAATATCATGTATCAAGTGCTCGGCATCTTGCTAGACTGCAGCGATCCTATAATTAGAATAAGTAAAATACCGGTTGACGATTGATGAAAGGATAGATAGCTGATGAACTAACGAACTAGCCAACAACGAAAAACAAATAACTATCCAGCAACTTTTATATATGTGCTTGCCTGCTTGCTTGCCTGCTTGCCTGCTCGCTTGGTTGCTCATGCGCTGACTAACAAATTTACCATCTTCTATCTGTCTGTCTACCTATCCAGTGCATATCTATGCGTAAGGGATATAGAATTCAGACGCCCATTTCAGCTTCTAAAGTACGAGAACTTGTCGAGGTGTACACTACATCTTGGTTTAAGGTTTCTGCCCGTGTTGATAAATGGGTGTCTCCGAAACATAGGACCCAGGATAGCACCCGAAAAACTAGGATCCTTGTTATAGCTTGTACAACATCACTGTCACACACACACACACACAGAGACCATTCAACACCCTTCCCAAATAATTACATGCTCAACGCGACACCTCTGGTTACAAAGCTAAACCCCAAACCCTGGAACCCAAAACCCTAAAACCCTGAACCCTAAACAATATTCAAATCCTAAACCCTAAACTCCCAATACCCTAAACCCCTAAACCCTAAACCCTGAAACCCTGAAACCCAAAAAAACCTAAACCCCAATAAAGCAGACGCTCGCACCTCACATCGATGCCAGAGAGTCGCAGAGCCTCACCGGGCCGGCTCTTTGCGTCTTTAAAGGTTTATGTATAGGGGTAGTTGTCAAAATTAGGGTTCCCATTTTGGGCACCCTAAACAATAGGTGCCGTAATATAATAGGGACCCAAATAGGGACCATGATTTTGACAACCGCCAATATAGGGGTTTAAAGGTTCAATGGTTTAAGGGTTTAAGGGTTTAGGGTTTAGGGGTTTAGGATGTAGGGTTCAGGGCTTGAGGGTTTATGTATACCTAATCGCCCCCCAAAGTAGGTAAGACAATAGCCCAACCACCCATAAGAGGCCATTATTCTACATGCACTGGGATCCAGGAGGGTGCTTTTCGAGACTTGCAGGGATCTGTGTACGGCTTTGAAGCATGAAATATTTGGTGTTTGGGGGTTGATTTGCAGCAAAGGTTTCACCTAAAGTTGAATGAAAGCTGCTGTTTCCAGGAGTTCTTCAGTCTACGGTTAGGTGGTTGAAGGTCAGTCTTCAAATGGCTGAAGCCTCGTTACCTGCCTCAACTCGGGGACATCCAGCCGAACAGCGATTAGGAATGAAGGTTTTCGGTTCGGGATTTCGGATTTAGGGGCAAAGGGCTTGGGATATAGGGTTTAGGGTTTAGGGTTTAGGGTTTAGGGTTTAGGGCTTAGGATATAGTTGAAGCAGCCTGGTTGCCAGGGCAGAGTGTTGCCGCAGGTGCGGGTTCATTGAAACCCTGGAGAGCATGAATTCAGCGTCTTGTGTGGCTCCTGCGGATGGGGATTTACAACACGCGATGCCGAATACTTGGAGGTTCATGAGTAGTTGGTTATAAGCCCCCTAAAATGGGGTATAACTATAGTTGCCCTACTATAACCCTATTTCGGGAAAGTTCCAGGGAAGGTACGCCAGGCGCCCATGGCGCCATTGAGGGCTCCCACCCCAACACAATCCGTGGCATGTTGCCCAAAGTAGCCCAGTGCTGTGCATCAACACCATCGACTGCATAAGTTGCAAGAAATGAAACAGCTAAGACTATCCACTCGTGCTCGCGGCAACCGATGAAAGAAAACCGAAATCGACTCTTAAAATGGGTGTGCCTGCAGCTCCATCGCCGGCGAGATTTTGGTCATTCCCGACACCTGTGCTGGTAGCACAACAGGGTTTGATGGGTTGTCGGTTTGTTTGTAAGTTTATGCGGCTTCTATGGTCTAATGCGAATATAAATATCTAAATGTGTATATATGTATCTATACATGTACATATGCACCCTTTCTTACACACACACACTCACATATATATATATATATATATATATGCGCACATACATAGATACATATATCCACACATAGACTCGTTTATTTGTGATGTTGGTAGCATTCTGGTGGGCCCAGGTTTGGGGCTCAGGATTTAAGAATCAGGCCTGGGGCTCTGGAATACGCTCATGAAGCTCTCCCTGTTCCGTAGGGTTTAGGGTTTTAGGGTTTAGGGTTTTAGGGTTTAGGGTTTTTGGGCGAGGTTCTGCGAGATATCCCTCTGGAGGAAAATGATACTCATCTCAAGTATGAAGATTGTAGATTCGGGGTCGTTCCACGTCTGGGTTTCCGGCAAGCAGGAATGCTCAAACTGCAGCCTGTTCTGAACCCTCAAACTCGAAACCCTCAGCCCGAAAAGTAATCCTAAACCCTTCAAGTTGCTCATCGAGTGATGGCTTCACCCGGGCACAGTAAACAAGCCGGTCCATACGTACTGCTACTGTGGCAATAGTACAGGAGCCTGAGCAATTACACATATTGTTCCTCACGGTTCCTTGCTGTATCTGTTCTGCTGCAACACGCCCTATGACCTGGCCATAAAGACCCTCTCTGCCATGTTCTTGGGATCTGGTTCCATGCCTGATTCGGTAGCAAGACTGCTGTGTCGGGTTTAAGGTCTATGGTTGAAGATACGATGAACTTGTTTTGGTATCGAAAATTTAGGGGCATGACAGCCGGCGACACAAAGGAAGTTTCAACAAAGCGAGTCAGGTTCTTACACCAGTGAATGAGGGCAGAACCAGCTACCAATACCTATTCTTAAGAGTCCCCTTTAGAGGAAGCCCTACCCTAAATCCTACAGACGCAAGGAGCTACAGTGCCATCCGAGGTTTGTTTCTGAATGAGGGAATTTGCAACCCTCTCTCTGGATTCTGGAAAAGGCATAGCCGGTAGGTTATTTGGGGTTAAGGTGACCCCTCTTCCCCAAACCCTAAACCGACTTAAACCCTCAAGCCATGAACCGTAAAGGAGCACCGGGCTCTCAAAGGCCTTCGCGACGTCTAGTATAGGGGCCTTAATAATTAGAATAGGGCTTTGGGGCCCATTTTTCTACACTTACAAGAGGGAACCCCCAAAGTAGTATAGGTGATTATCTAGACCCCTATATCATAGTAATTACCTTATAGATCCCGTATAGACCCCTCTATAAGGCCCCTACATGACATGTATGCTTGATGATATAAATCCTGCATGACCTTAAGAATTATGGTATATTCCTTAGTATGGATAATGCAAGACTTACATCATAAAGCCCCAAAGGCCTTCGCGGCGTCTAGTATAGGGGCCGTAATAATTACAATAGGGTTCTGGGGCCCATTATACCAGACTTAGATACAGGGAACCCCCAAAATAGTATAGGTGATTATCTAGACACCTATATCATAGTATTTACCTTATAGATCCCATATAGACCCCCTTATTATGGGTAATGCAAGATTTAGATCATCAACAGTAGGACATCCCAAAGGCCTTCGCGGCGTCGAGAAGCTCCTCATCCTCGCCCAGGGCAACGCTGAGGCCGGAGACTTTCAGGCCCATCCGAAGCCTGTCGGCTGAGGGTTTAGGGGTTTAGGGGTTTTGGGGGCTTAGGGGTTTAGGCGTTTAGGGGCTTAGGGGTTCAGGGGTTTAGGGGTGTAGGGGTTTAGGGGTAGGGGTTTGGGGGTGTAGGGGTTTTGAGGGTTTAGGGGTTTAGGTGCTTAGGGGTTTAGGGTTTAATGGGGGTTCAGGATTTAGGTTTAAGATTCAGGGTACATGGGTTTAGGGTGCAGGGCTTTGGGGATTCGAGATTCGGAGTTTAAGATTTAGGGTATATGGGTTTAGGGTGTAGGGTTTGGGGTTAGGGTTTAGGGTTTAAGATTTAGGGTATGCAGTACGGGGTTTAAGATTTCGGGCTTTGGGCTTAGGATTCAGAAAGGCTTGCAGTAAAAGCTCAAAAGTTAAAAACCCAACAGCCTCAATGTCTAGGGAATCCCAGCACTATCTGTCCTTAATCCGGTTTCCAGCTGTATGGGGTTTACGGCAGAGTTTACGATTTAGGATAAAGAGTTTAGAACTTGAGGACTAGGATTTCGGGTTTTGGGCGGAGGGTTTTGGGTTACAGGGTTTAGGGCTTCATCAAGCTGTATCGCTTCAGTGTTTTTTATAAGGGCTCTATCTCAATTTGCAGTGGGCCTTTCTATGGGCTCTATGAAGGTTCTGTCAAGCTGTCATATAGTTTTCGAAGGGGCATTGCAGGGTACTGCAGACCCTGCTGAATAAACACCTCACTTACATTAATCAGGAACATGATACGGAATTGACTTTGACTACAGAGTGAATATGGATCAGGGGTCTCCCTTGATTCAGGAAATATCACCCAAAGCCCTGGATATTCGAGAGATGGTGCATCCACACAGTGCCCAGAAACCATGAAAGGAAGCCAAAGGAGCCAAGACACTCTGCCTTCAGCAAGTCCGCTAAGCTCTGTTGGTAGAGAGGGTGCTCATGGTTTGTCAAGACTCGGAATACCTCTTTGTCGACGGCGTTCTGCAGATAGTGCTGGTGCGCTCGATTTCTGGCACAACCTAAGTAAACCACCTCCTCCTCCAGGCACGTCGCAGCTGGCAGTTTGGGACCCCAAAATAGTACCCTAAATAGTAGGATCCTTATTTCAAGGACCCCAAAATAAGGCACCCGTAATTTTCAGAAACTCCCAGCTAAGCTTTCACTGCCTGGGGTTGTCTGGCAACTCCCTCGGATTTGCCACTGGCAGATCGCTCCGCCTCGTCGAAAAGTTGTCCTTGAGGGACAACGCCAGTTCTTTTCCGTGGTCATCTTTAGCCAGCGACAGCAAAAATTTCAAGGGCCCGCCGAACTTGTTCATGACAGTCTGGCCAAAAGAGTAAGCCGTTGCTCGGAAGGAATCGGCAGTTACTCCATTCATGGCCGCTGCATGGAGCTGCTCGTACTCTGCTTCCGGGCTCAGCTTGACTTCCACTTTCGGCTCTGCAGAACTGGCCCCTTTCTCATCGTTGTCTGCCAACCCTAAACCCTAAACCCTAAACCCTAAACCCTAAACGGTCACCACAGCACTGGGCCCTGGACTCCAAACTCTAGGGCTTAGGGTTAGGGGGTTTGGGGTTTAGGAGTTTAGGGTTTAGAGTTTAGGAACCTTGACCCTCAAAGAACCCCGAAGCCCGCAGCATCAGGCAGTTCCACAGATAAGCCCAAAGCCCTTCACACCGTGCACTGAACCCTCCCGCCAAAAGAAACAACAAGAAGCAAGCAAGAACAGAAGCGGTAGAAAAGAAACAACCCGCCAGCAACCTTCTCGCCATCAGAGAAAGAAAGAACTAAACTCTAAACCTGAACTCTAAACCCCTTAACCGCAAGAAACAATCAGAGCTGAATCCTAGTTTTGAATGAGCTATCACAGGCTTAAACCCCTAAACCCTAAACCCCCTAAAAGCCAGGTCACCAGTTCGGTCCGCCATATCCAATGTGGCGGAGACGGAAAGGGCTCCTGCAGGATTTTGGGGTTTAGAGACGAAGGTTTAGGGTTTTCAGGGTTGAGGGTTTAGGGTTTAGGATATATAGGGTTTACGGCTCAGGATTTAAGGTTTTCAGCTTCGGGATTTGGGGCTTAGGGTTTAGGATTTGGGAGGATATAGGGTTTAGGATTTAGGGCTTTCGGTGTTCAGCTTCGGGTGGTGGGGTTTGGGGTTCAGGGTTTTGGGCCTAGGGTTTTAGATTTAGCGCTAAGGGCCAAGTTTTTGGGTTTAAGGTGTGATCTGTGGGGCTTAGGGTTTCGTGCTTTTTTTAGGGTAGAGAGATGTTGTATAAGGATGCCCTCGCTCTCTCTCCCCGGTGACGTGCAGATGCTAGGGCCCAGAACGGTTTGGCAATCATTCAGTCTTCTGTACCATCAGCGTGCTCGGTTGTAGAAAGTTAGGCTTCGCCGGCTTCGCACACAACAGGAAAGACAGCGTAGAGACAGTGGGACACAAAGAGACAGAGACAGACAGAGTGATAAACAGAAAGACATATATTCTCAGACAGAGGTTCCACCAGGTATCGATACTGCACTAGGACGACAGTTTGACCTACTCGCGGGCTCATAGAAAGGAGATCCCCACTCCCCGTAGAACCCTAACGTTTTGGATCATGAAAGTAGTATAGTATCAAAGCGGGGTAAAACAAATACTCTGCTTGCCAGGCCAGGTAATTTGAGCCATTTGAGCCTCCGAGCACTCTGCTACTCCGCAAGAGGTCTCAAGACAAGAAAGGTCCAGCATGTCGAACTTTTTGTAGAGCAGGTGCACGGATGGATAAGTAAACGCAGAGGTTGTTGGGCAGGTGGATCCGCACATGTGTGTATGCATGGATATGGAATGTAGTAAATAACACCTGCGTACCTGGATGCAGGAGGATAAGGAGTTGCGTGATGTGGCCCTGCGCCAGCCACGTGTGTCGCCCCAGAGATGCTCGACATTTGATTCACGCCTGCTGAGTGTGTCTGCGGCGTATTTGTGCTTGTACAGAAGTTGCTTGATAAAAGCGCCAGAGTTCCATGTCTCGGGTTTGCTTGTTGAATGGAAACTGCGGCACTTTGGTAATACCGGCATGAAAGAAGCATCATTTGAAGGGAACTAACCTGATACCGCCTTATACTATATACCCTCATTCCGAGCCAGCAGGGAGGACCCAAAACTCTGAACCCGAGACGCTCCTGCTCCCAGCAGACAATCGCATGGGTTCGGAGACCTGTCTGCAGATTGAAATCCTAGGTGTAACCCCCTAAACTTTAGCCTGAACCGTACAAAGCTGCGCACCTCCCAAGAACTCAGACCATCTCAAACCCTAAACCCTAGACCCCAAAACCCAAGTCCTAAACCCCGAATCCGAAAACCCACTGAAGCCTAAGCACCAAATCCGAAACCCTAAACCCTAAACCCAAACCCGAAACCGAAACATTCACCTTAAGCTCCACAAACCTGAAGCTCCGGGCTCGAGGGACCCTGGCGAAGTATCACGAGATCAGGGATTGTGAAGTTTAGGGCTTGTGGTTTCAGGTTTAGGGATGTCTGGGATGCTGCCTTTTTTCCCTAAACTTCAAGCCTCTCGGCTTTGAAGCTTCAGGCTGTTAGGGCTTCTAGTTGAGCCTCCGGGGAATCGGGTGGGAGTGGGTGTATGCTCGAGCCTTGAGCCTTCAAGATTCAGCGTTTTAGGATAAATCGGATTTGGGATTAGAGTTTATCCAGAGGCCCCAAAGTAGTTCCTTTTTGGGATTACCTTATAGGATTCTATATACGAACCCCAGAAAGGAACTACTTTGGGGCCTTTGGGTAAAATTATAAGTGCTTGCATCCTGCACTGGGAATCCACAAGTAAGCGGACATGGCTTTGCTGACGTCCTTGTAGAACCCGAAGCCCAATAATGATTCAGAAACGACTGTAGCGGACTGCGCTTGTGGCAGAAGTTCAGGGCACTGCACTTTAGGGGTCTTTAAGTCTTTAACCTACAAGTATATAGAGCTTAAGGGATGCTACCGCTTCTGGTCTGATTCTTTACTAGATCCGCGCCGGTAGAAGAAATTGGCCCCTCTTGAGGCCTTCTTCCGTGGGCCCGTGAAGTCACCGGACGACAGATCCTCCCAATTATGTAAGTCGACGTACTAAGGAATCCGCATACTGCATTCTCTGCTGTAGTTGTTCCTTGTTATAATTTACTATACCCGCAAAACCTATTCTATTTATTAAGGCCCCTGTGTCAAACAATCAGACGTCTGGTTCGGTTTTTACATGGAGGATTCTTGCAAGGGGATTTTTTCTACGGTTCCGGGTGCTGTTCGGAATGGGACGGTTCAGAGTGTAGGCTCTTCGCTGACACTTAGGCAAACCCGGTGCGCTGCTTGTGAACTCCAAGACCTATGCTGCGCTGCGCAAACTCGAAACCGTCTGAGCCTCAACGCGTGAACCCGAAAGCAAACAACAAGCCCCGGGTGCCAGGTCTTCAAGCCCCTCCAAAGTCGTTGTCTTGGCAACTCTAGACTCACTGGCCCAAAACCCAAAAGAATAAAAGTTGAAACTTTCAGAATCGACTCCTTATAAGAACCTCAAAAGTTGAAAAGTTTAGTTTACAGCCAATAAGTAGATGGCAAGGGTCACGGTGCCAGCATTAGAACCATTCCACCCTGAGCCTCGAACCCTCAAGCCCGAAAAGCACAACTCCGAAACCCCGCAAGCTCGATACTCTGACCCCCCAAGCACGAAAGCCCCAACTCTACTGCCATAAGCAGCTACACGAACTCGACGTCTTTACTCCCCTTGGAAGGTAAACGAATATTGTTTTTTGTAGATACCTGTACATAGACACCACGACGCCGAAAAGGGAGCACAACCTTACAAACAAACGTAAGCAAAAGCCCCATGAACTGGGTCTCCTCCCGAAAGTACCAGCAGAACGGAGAGACGAGCGCGTAGTCACTCGTCGAGATCCATTCCCTGAGCCCCAAGCGGCTACGGGGTTTAAGCTTTAGTTTAAGGCAGTTCGAAGGCTTCGGGTGTAGATCGTGGGATTTGGTCTGTGAGTAGAGGTATAAGTAGGTGCAAAGTGTCATCTATGCCTTGAACCTGAACTCACAACTTGCAGCCCTAAACCCTCAGCCAGAAAAAAACTACATCCCTCGTTCTCCTACTTTTGCCAAACCCTGACGAAACCCGAGACATGTACTTATCTGCTGAGCAGTAAACGTAAACGGTAACCGCTGAACTACAACATAAACCCTGAAGATCAAGCCCTGCAATCCCCGAAGGCTTATTAAACCTGAAACCATAAACCCCAAAACCCAACAAACCCTCCAAGCATAATAATAAGCTGTTAAACGCAAAAGTCGACAAGACCCCGTTATAAGCCACTGTCAACTTCTTGCAAATTTCCTTGGAAGGACAAGCGTTGTCTACAAAATCATTGTCCTTAGATAACCTTAGAAAAACCTAAACCCTAAACCCCCCAACCGTAAGCCCTAAACACTACAAACCCTAAACCCTCCGCCAGAGCGCTCCATCCGTGCCAGCGGTTGGAGGGAGTCAAGGTCACCGTGCTCGTCCCCGAGCTCTAGCGACCTCGGTGCAGAGGGCCTGGGTTAGAGTTTAGGGTTTAGTTTAGGGCTTCGGGTTCAGGGTTCAGGGTTTAGGGTGTGTGACTCTTCCACAGCAACAGTGCAGCAACCCGTCGCAACATGTGTGCGCATCCCAGAAGCCTTGTGAGCTGAGGGCGTGCAACCACATGGCGTGCCGCGCCTCTTTTTCTTACCTTACCTGTTGTCGGCCCAGAATCCGGTGCATCCCCTGTCCACTTCTGCTGCCCAGGTGGCGACGGCAGGGAACGCTCGGGACTGTGGGCTGCAGCAAAAAATTGCTCTGCAAAGGTCTGCAGTCTGCAAATCGTCCGAAAAAGCCCTTTTACCTGATCCCTCCTGATGCACCAGAAGCTGCAGGAAGCCATCACGTGGATCCTTGCTGCTCTGGTGCGGGTGTTGCAGAAAATGCCAGTGTGAGCGCGCCGGCACGAAGTTTGCAGAGAGCAAAAACGGCCACTCTCACCTCCCACGAGAATGAAGACCTTGCCACCAAGTTGACAATGCGGCTGGGGGCAGGTTGGACGTTGGTGTAAGTCGGCGGTTGCCTGGACTTTGCTGCTTCTGCCGACCACGTACCAAACCAGATACTTTCCAAATGGCTGCGCAGGTGCTCTCGGTAGTTCCCCTGATTTACTGGCCTAGGAGGACCGGATGCCATGGCTGTACATGGAGCTAAGCTTGTATGTGTCGTCGTCCGGCGGGCAGCCGCCACAGCCTAAATCGTCGCATGGCGACTTCAATCACTACCTCGACGTGCAGAGGGAGGGTCCAGCCCAGCTCCCCTATTGCAACAGCTGCGTTCCTCCACGTGTCCAAATCGAAGATTTGTCTGGCCCACGAGTTCTGAAGATCCAAAAGGAATTCTTCAAGCTGGTTCTCAGTACCGTACATACAAGCCCCTTGCAAAAGAGTAGGCAAAACCTTAGTGCGAAACAAACTCATTGCTAAGTCCATTGGCAAGGCCTTGCTGCGGAGCAAAGCGCAAATCGGACCCCATATTGCACTCGCGAGAGTGGCTTTCTGGCACAGGGACTTGTGAAAGGAGAGGGATTTGGTCCAGGTGATTCCAAGCCACTTATGTTCCGCCTTAGTGTGTAGAGTACAGTCGACTCCCGAGCCTATGCCAGGAAGGTACAGCTGAGTATCAGAAGGGCGAAGTGGTGGGACCGCTTGCTGCCCACAGATCATGGAAATGGTCTTGCTATCACCTACATGGAAAGCCGCTCCATGACGGTGGGCCCAGTCAGCTACAATGTGTAGACTCCTTTGGAGCTCTCCCCTGCAGGACCCAAGCAAAACCGTGTCATCCGCATGTAGGATGGCAGCCAGCCGGTGCGGGGCAAGGTCACTAAGGGCCTTTAAGGAGAGGTCCTTTCTTAGTCTTGGTGGTAGTCGCGGGATTTGCTGCAGAAGCCGTAGTCGCGCGAGTTGTTTTCTTGATCATCGTTGACGGCGTCGTCGCGATCGTCTTGCTACTCTTGCCACAAATACAGCGGCCAGCCCCCCACTTGCCGCACTGGAGACATTTTTGTCTGGCCATGGCAGAGGCTTCAAGGATGGAGTCGGCTACGAGCACAGACTGATGGGGCAACGGCGCATTCTGCTGGCAGTTTCTTGACAGGGGGACCCCTGCCCGCGCCACTGCATAGAAGCCCAAGCATTTGGGATGTTGATCTGCAGGCCTACTCCACACTCTGCTGCAAGAAGCTCTCTCACCAGTGAATCCAGCAGACAAGGTTCCGGGATGCCGGTGGTAGTCGTGACCTCAGAAAGCCCACGGAACCAAATGGAAACGACATCATTTTGAAGGATGGAGTTGAGAAGGAGTAAACTGTCACCACAAACGCCTGGGCCGTCAGCGAGAATGTGCAAGAGGTCTTGTCTGATTACACTGGGAAAAGCCTTCCGAAAATCACCCATTACGGTCCACAGTGGACGCCCCTGTGACATGGTTTCAGCAGACGTCTCGTGGAGAAGGAGCCAAGCGTCCTCCACACCTCTGCGCAAAGGAATAAACGACAACGAGAAACAAAACCACAACGACCCCCCCAAAAAAAAAACGGGCTGGGGATTTTGGGCTTCGGCAAAGATCTGTTGTTCCGCTCTTTCGGCATTGTGTCGAGATTTCCGAGCTTTGACTAAGGCTAAGCGGTGCCTTCTTGAGATCCGAACTCCGTTGAGTTGGGAACATGCCGCGACTCTTCATACTCTCCTGGCTGCCCGGTGCCGCTACTGACATTGCCCTGGTTCTGTGACCCTTTCATCTTTAAGCGGTCCTGTTGCAGGAGTGGGGTGGCGCATGTGAGCAAAACTGCTTTAACAACTTCAACAAACCGAAAACCTGCATCCGCAACCTGGGGCTCCAGCCGCCTCCAACAAAGTTGGAGCCGAAGCCCGGGTCTCGCCGGCTGAGCTGCGCCGGGTGCTTCGTCTCTGGCGCCGCTTCCGTTCCTTCTGAGTCGATGCCCTGCAGCGCTCGTCCATGGCCACTACGACTTGGATTGCGGCGGGTCAGTCTCCTATCTGCGCTGCCCTTGAGCCAAAATGGCTATGGCTACGTGCATCACTACGGACTTGACATCTCGTATACGGGGGTTCAGGGTTCAGGGTTTAGGGCTAGGGTTTAGGGTTTAGGGTTAGGGTTTAGGGTTTAGGATTTAGGGTTTGGGGTTTAGGGTTCAGGGTTTAGGGCCATTTGAATCACCTGCCGATGCCTACTTGGAGGGTCGGGGCCTAGTATGTAGTTGCTTTATCGAGTTGTGAATTTCATAACCCCGATTAGGATCCGTATTAAGGTACTTATACCTCTCAGTCCGCAACCACCCAAAGACTCAAGAAAAAGAAATGCCAGGGCGCAAACATAGGAGCCGGGTTTGAGGCAGCCGCTACATGACTGGAATGCAGATGTGAGGGCATTGTCGTATAATTCCAATAAGGCGCCCTGAAACGTGGGAATTATTCAGGCTTCTTCGCATATTGAAGCCTTTTCATACCCGTTATAGTAACCATTATCGCAACCTTTCTAAAACCATTTATAAGGCTTGAGGGAGGTTATACTATAACTATACTAAAGAACACCCAAAATAGTACAGGTACTTATTTAGAGTTAGGGGCCTAGGGTCCCTATCTTACTTATGTCATAGCTGGCTCTGTTACATTGGCTGCAGCTCCAAGGGGCAACTGGTCGTCGCCGCACATGTAGAAGCTGTAGTTGGCAGTCAAAGGTGGCACGAAGAAGCCTGAACCGCTTTTAAACTAAAGGGTTCTGATAACGGGTCCTATAAGGGATACCATAAGGGCTGCTATAAGGGTTCAGTGTAAGGGCCTCAATAGTTAGAATAGGATTTGGGGGCATATTATACTTCACTTATGCTAAGGACACGCCAACATCCTATTCTAATTATTTATGAAGACCTCTACATAACCTTGAACACCTACCCTTAAACCCTACACCCTGGGCCCGAGACCGTAATCAAAACCTATATTTCGCCCCAGCCTGGGCCCAAGACCCTACACCCTGGACTTGACTAGACTTTCCTAAACCTTCAAGACCCGCAGCCATGCCTTAATGATTGGATTAGTCTTGCAAGACTCAGGGTTTCGGGCTCAATTTTAGGCCATCTGGGACAAAGGCCTCGTCACGCTTGGAGTTTAGGGGTTACCTCATTTGGGGAGCAAAACATGTATAAGTATGAATACAGTTGCCTTGCCTGTATAGCATCTTTTAACCCTACATATACAAACCCCTGAGCTTTCAGACGGCGTTCCATACTGAACCAGAAGCAAAAATTCTGAACATTGCTACTCGCAGGAGTCTGACCAGTAATCATGTCCATAGCCCCAATTCATGCAAATATATCAAACATCTCATAACATACCCCCCGAGATATACCCCCAGCCTTAGGTACGGCCTCCACTCAGTAATAGTTGAATAATATTCATAATATAGATATATTGGGACCTTAATAGTAGCCCTATTATAGACTCTTACTGTAAGGGGGCCGTACCTACCCCCAGCCCTTCTCAAACCTCAAATCCCGAAACCCGACGGCCGAGCCACTTGCAAGTCCAAAATCCGAGCCGCCACGCAACACAAAACCCCTCAAATTCAAAATTCTAAATCCCAACCTCAGAAAACTCGTACTGTAGTGTTTCATAAAACACCAAAAACCATCAAAATCCAAATTCTAGCTCAGAAAACTCTACCAAATCCGAAATCCTCTACCCCAAAGCCCCAGGCCCGCAACTAGCTATACCCTAAACCCTAGCTACGCCCTAAACTTCTAGGATGCCCAGTAACCTAGGAATCAAAAGGGCTTGCTTTTTGGTATCGGGTAACTTTATAAGGAATCCAGGAAAACAAAAAAGTGAAGAAGGGTACTAATGGGCATCCTAGACTTAAGGAACAAATAAACCCCTTCCCAAGGGCCTGTCAACTCCAGCATGCTCTGCTCTTTGCCGACCCGGTAATCCCAAGGCTGGGTTGTGCCGATCCTGTGAAAAAGGGTGCTCTTCACATTGTTACTTGGAGGTTCATGGGTAGTTATAAGTGGGGTCATAAGTCCCCTAATATGGGTTATAACTATAGTTGTCCTACTTATAACCCTACTTATAACTACCCATGAACCTCAAGTAGTACTGTTGATGGACGAAATCCTGCATCGGGTTTCTGCCGCCACCCGTCCCTTCCAAACCCTGAATCTTAAATCAATATTGATGTCGAACAGCTCTCGAAAAGGCATGTGTGCGAATGGACGAAATCCTGCGTCTCGCATCAGCCTTACTATTCTCTTTATTGTTGTTGCCATGATGCTACAAGCTTTGCAGGCTTCGCAAGGTATCGGTTCAAGGTCAGGGTTCAGGGCCTAGGGCCTGAGATACAGGCGGAAACAAAGCTTCTTGGATTTTGTAGGTTTCTGTTATTAAACCCTATAGCCCCCAGACCGAAACCCTAAACACTTGAACGCTAAAACGATAAACCCAAAAACCCTGTACGTTTAAACCCTGAACCCTACACCGATAAACCCTACAACCCCAAACTCTCAAACCCTAAACCCTCAACTAAAACCCTAAACCCTAAACCCTAAAACCCTAAACTCTCAAACCCTAAACCCTCAAACTCTACACCCAAAGTGTTCGGCGTATCGGTCAAGAGTCGCTCTCCCAGGACTTACGAATCAGGGTTGAGGGCTGGGTTTAGGGTTTCGGGTTGGCTGAACTTAAAAACGAAGAACCTACCATTTTCACGATCTGTACAAGGAAATCAGAAGCAGGAGTCCTGTAAAAGGTAGCGTTTTATGGAGTTCAGGTGAATGTTTGCTGAGGGATTGGGTGAACGGTGAAAGCTTTAGGTGGACTCGCTTTGCTGTTGTCGCCACTATAGATGTTTTGGGAATGGAATAGATTTTGGGGGTGCGCTGTAGCATTTCCTCTGAAAAATAGGGGATGAGAACAGTTCTATCTATTCAGGCCACTATATTCACCAATACGTCGGTAGTTATCAGAGCATATTATGACTGGCTCGGCGATAGTGTATCTGGGTTTAGGCGTGCGGGGTGTGGGGCGTAAAGGCTTAGGGTTGAGGTAGTACCGTGGGGCCGTGAAGCTTATGGTGCAGGCTAAGAGTTAGCCTTAGGGTTAAAAGATTTTGCTGCAATTCGTGGTACAAGGCTCTCATCGAACCCTGGACCTAAACCCTAAACCCTGAACCCAAGCCCCTAACCCCTGAATCCGTCAAACCCTGAACCCTGAACCCGAAAACCTTTGTAGAACCCAGTTCCTCCCAAAGAATTCCTAACAGAACAGGAGGCCGGGATATGTAGCCCAAGAAGCTTGAGATTCCCCAAGGACCTGTCGTACCCTACCACCTTGAACCACCCTCCCAAAAGGATCCTCCAAATTACTCGGCTAGATCCCCACCCTTGGGTGAAGACCACACAGAAACACGTCAGATGCTCAAAACATGGTCTCTCGGATTCAGGTCGGGTGAAGACCACACAAAAGCACGTCTGATGCTTTCACCTCCGCTAGATATAGACTTATAAGTACCTTAATAGGGACCCTGATCGGGCTTATGGTACTTTCCATTCATTAAAGTAACTATCAGGGTAGGTGCTAGCAGCTAACGAGGACTTACTACATCCCCTGACCCTCCCAGTACTCGGCTAGATCCGCACCCCTCGATCTTCGAACGCACATTCTGAAGCCCAAACCTCCAAAACCGAGGGAGCCTAAACAACCAGAAGCGTCTTGAGTTGAAGGGCATCGACAAGGGTCTCTTACTAGGCTTCTACAATTGGGCCTTATAAAGTAGTAGTAGTGGTAGTAGTAGTAGTAGTAGCAGCAGCAGCAGTAGTAGTAGTAGTGGTAGTAGTAGTGGTAGTAGTACTAGTAGTAGTACTAGTACTAGTACTAGTACTAGTAGTAGTACTAGTACTAGTACTAGTACGAATACTAGTACTAGTACTAGTACTAGTACCAGTACTAGTACTTGTAGCAGTTTACATAATTTTGAGAAGCCCTTGGAGTAAGTAAGTGTAGAAGTTTAGACGCGCTCTCAGGGGCTTGTAGTACCATCCTTCAGGCCCTAAACCCTAAACCCTAAAAATCTCTAAACCTCTAAACTTTGAACCCTAAACCCCAAACCCTCAACCCTAAACCCTAAACTCCTAAACCCTAAACCCTAAGCTCCTAAAACCTAACCCCGGAACTCCTAAACCCCTATAGTGAACCGAGGAGCTCGTTCAGGAAGCCCTTCACGAAGCCAGCCTCTTTGGTGCTGGAAAGGCTGGGGGTTTCAAAGTCTAGAAACCCTAAACCCTAAACTGCTGTTTCGGTCTTGGGAAGCAAAAGCCAGTCCTAGAATCTCTTCATAAGGCTCGTTGCTACGTCTACTTGGCTTAAAGCTCAGTTGTAAACCCAGGAGACATGCTTAATATGGGTTGCGCAAGATCAACCGCGGCCGCGAGTTATGGCCCAGCCACGGTTCACATAGGGGCATGTGTCTCAAGTGCAGGCAGCATTGGCAGTCTGTTAGAGTTGGCCCCTAATCTGGGATCTAGAGTATATAGTATGGTCTCTTTATTATGGTAACTTATATAAAATGGTACTTCCAGGAAACGGACCGTTGCGAAGGGCGGGGCCGGTACCTTGCATCGGTACAGGCCTCCGCTGCTGTTGAGCCCTACCTGCTTCGCTATGTATGCTGGTGCCTTTCTACTGTCACTTCTGCAGCGGACAAGCAACTAGGATGCCCAGTAACCTAGGAATAAAAAGGGCTCCCTTTTTGGTATTGGGTAACTTTTTATGGAACCTAGGACTGCAGAAAGGGAATACGGGTACTTCCGGGCATCCTAGGCAAGCCAAGCCTGAACCAGCAGCGGCAAGCTAGAATCCATCAGAAGCCATCCATTCCTTCAGGAGCTCCCCGTGACGGGGCTCGTGCCGACCCCATGATTACTCTCATGCATGACGGACGCCTTCTGTCAAAACCTACAGATGTAGAAAGCCCTGTAAACACCCTGCAAGCCCTTTGTCAACTACAATATGACGGAAAGCCATGCAAACCCTGAGCCCTACGTGCCCTAGACTCTAAACCCCAAGCCCCCCAAGGAAAAGAACCCCTAATTAAAGGAAACCTGAAGGGAGGTCTTTAAAGAGCCCCTAAAGGCCAGGCCCTGAATTCCCCATAAACCCCAAACCCTAAACCCCCGAACGGTAAAGCAGTCTAAAAGCCTAAAGCCCCAGAATCCGAAACTCTAAAGTCCGAAAACCCTGACTCTTGAGCCTCATCCACGGGACGCTCCGCTTCTGGAGGCATCTCCGAGATCGTCCTGCGGTTTAGGGGCTCCTTGTTGGGCTTCAGGGATTCCTTCAAGGGGTTCCTTTCAAAGGTTGGGGTTCTGGCGCTGAATTAGGGTTTGCGGCTTGTTTAGGGCTTTGTGGTTTTAGGTTTAAGAGCTTGGGGGTTGTAGGGTTTATAGGGGTATAAGCAGAAGGTGTTGTGAGTTTAGGGTTTGCTGCCTTTAGGGTTTTGGGGGCGGTCCAACGTGTCCAACGCCGCCGCCGTCGAATGTCATGCCGCGTGTAGCCTTGACAGACAGCGCCAGGTTTCAAAGCTCTAGGCTTTTGCTGGCTTTATGTTTGTACGGGGTCTTCAGAGCTTACAAAAGACATCCGAAACAGTCTCTACTCTGTGGCTTTTGGGTGTTGGGTCATTGTACTCGGAGTACATATCAAAAGGTCGTTCACCAAACAGTACCTTAAGTTATGCGAATCCGGTTCAATGGCCCGGGACTTTCCCCGTATAATCCTAGAAATCCGAGGAGTATGATCATGCCTTACACTGACTTGGATTAGCGTTCCTGAAACGGGTTGAAGTGTATTCCTCCAGTAAAACCCTTTGGGTCTTCTGCATCCTATGCCACCTAGCTCCCAAAAGCCCCAAGTCCTGCTGTGCCACATGGCTTTGGGGTATGTCTTCGTGCCACGTAGTTGCATCGGGAATATATGGGGATAGATAATATTACTACATGTGAAGGCTTCTAGATCAAACCCGAAAAATGGCTCTATGGTTCTATGTTACACCAACCCGAAGTGCCGAGATGCGCAAGCCACGCATGGAGGAATCTCCTATGCCAGCGGCACCCCAGGCAGGAACTTGACATACCAGCCTGGGACGAAGACTTACATGGTTCACGGGTGTTCGGGTTGCGGGTTTCCGATTTAGGCTTGAGGTCGAGGGTTTGGAAGCTAAACTTGGAAGATTTGGGATCGTTCTTGCTACCACTACCCGACCATGCTCCTCGAACCGCCTGCCGTTATCGTTGTCACAGCAACACTGGCCCTAAATTCATGAAGCTTGGCCGAGGACTTCTGGCTTTGGAACACGACAGTTGTGCAGATTCTTCGTTCTCGGCACGGCCAAACATAAAAGAGGCTGAGACCGCACAGACGACAAACTATAACAGAAACCTGGCTGCGATTCTGCCCCAAATCACGTAGACCCGATTTACATCCCACTGTATAAACCCTATTTCTTACATGCCTGATTTGTACGTCGTATCCATAAACCTTGAGGAGTTGTACTTGCTCATGTCGGTGCAATTGCCAGGCCGGCCTGTGCTGTGAAGCTTCAAGTACCTCACAACGACGACCACCGACGAAGACTTCGTTTGCCGCGAGATCCGGAGCGAAGGAGGAACCTGAGATTCGTGGATTGGAGCCTTCGGATTTGCAGGGTTTGTACGGATTGCGGATTCTACAGCTTTTCGGATAGAGTAGGGAAGCAGCCTCAATGATGAGAGTTTATTTCGTGCGTTGTAATATATGGTTATTCACCATCATAAACCCAAGGCCATTCAAATTACATATGTTGGAGCGTCTGTTGGGCCCAGACAAACCACAGCTTGCCAAGTCCATGTAAGCGATGTCAAAAGTCAAAACCTTCGCCCACAGCAGGCATTTTCCCGGAGCAGTGAGTAACAGATGCAAACCTTCATGAATTCTGCATCGTGCGTCTGGACTGTTGTGGACATGCGACACGGAAAGCGCGGCACCGCATTTTGTTTTGGGCCGGGGCTGAACTATGCTGAACTACGGTTGGGGCTTCGGGCTTTAAACAATTTCAATGTTCGTGCACTTGGAGTTTGACTTGCCGGCAGTAGAAGTGGAAAACAGTAGCATGTTGCTTTGCGATCCTACTGCTATCTGCACGAAGCTGGTTTATCGGCCGACAGAAGCATTCCCGTGACTTTCGGTGGCTGGGAGCTTGCGCGATATCAGCGAACAAAATTGCTAACCCCCACGAACTACCACCTGTAAACATAGGAGTATAAGCTGCCGACAACCTGACCCAACCATGACTACAACACACACACACACATACTCTGATTTTTGATATGCGCTAGTCTTCAAAGCAACAGCTGCTGCTACAAGGATGTTGAGGGTCAAGCGGGTGTTCTTGCACGCGCAGGTGCCTCTTGGGACAACCGCGAAGTGGCACCTTAGTATGAATATCCCACGCGTACAAATGAACCAGCACTCAGGCGCGCAGCTCCTTCCACAGGAATCCGAGTGACATGTCCAAACATCGCGTCTGAAATTTTGGTGTTCATGTTGTTTCCAGCGAGACGGCTAGGCTTTTTGTTGCAGCATAACGGTAGACCTTGCACCACGAGCCAGTGATCAGGCATCGACATCGAACTCGCACTCAGTACACGGCTACCGTTCTTTGATGTGTGGGGTGGTTTGCATGGAGCAGAGTGCTTGTGCGTCGTCGGAACCTTGCGATGCAGCTTACTAACCTGATCCAGCTCGGCAGGGTGTGGGATTTAGGGTTGATACTGTAATAGTTTGATAATGTGGGATTCAGGGTTTAGGGTATTGATTTTACGGGGCGCATCAGGGCTTACGAGGTTGCACAATTAAGGCTCATGCTAGTATTCTGGCCAGTAACATGGGTGCTTGTCGAAGCCTTTTTGAGCACCCTAAATATTAGGTGCCGTACTATATTAGGGACCCCAAAAAGGGACCATAATTTTGGCAACCACCCGCATAGGGGGGGTTGGTAGCCAGCATTCTACATGAAAACCCTAAACCCTAAACCCTAAACCCCTAAACTCTAAACCCTAAACCCTAAACCCTAAACCCTAAACCCTAAACCCCTAAACCCCTAAACTCTAAACCCTAAACCCTAAACCCTAAACCCCTAAACTCTAAACCCTAAACCGTTTCCTCCAGCTCCCGACTTCTGGCTGCATTGAAACCCAAAACCCTACGCCCCAAGCCTGGGGGTCGGCAGCCTTGGTGGGCCTTAATGAGGGCTCCTTTAAGGGATCTATAGGCTTAGGGTTTAGGGGATTCTTATGTCCCTTAATTGAGGGATATGGCTGAAACTATATAGGGCTTCATATATTGTGATTTAAGCTAGATTCCTTAATTAAGGGGTATTGGGCTCTCTGGGTAAAGGAAGGCAAGACTCAAGAAGAAACTAAACCGCAAGCCGTGGGATTTGATTTTCCCAGCCATAAAAGGAATGTGATCCCGGAAATCGAAAACTGAAACTGAGCGCCCCCCAACCCATCCTTCACCAAAACCCTGCTCGGAGGATCAGGGGACTTAGCAGCTAGGTGTAAGTAAGGCCACTTCATTTACAATGGAGTTTACAAGCTCTCTTACGTCACTGACAAATCCCATGTATTCAGTAGGTCCTGATCCTTTAATGTAGAAGCTTACGATACCCTGAACCCTGAACCCTAAATCCTAAACAGTATTGTTCCGTAAGATTCCTGTCTTGAAAAATACTAGAATTATCATATGTCCCAAACGCCTGTTCTAGTTCTTGAACGGCCCTGCACATACGTAACCCTTGAAAAGGAGCCCTTGGAGGCCTCCCTATATTCCCCCTGAAGACTGAGACTGTAGGGATTAGGATTTAAGGTTTAGGGTATAGGGTTTGGGGTCTAGGTTATGGTTTAGGGATAGGCGGTAGGCAAAGGAAAGCCTAAACTGATAAGCGTGCCCAAAACAAACCCTAGAACATGACACAGGCGCCTAAATGATAGAATAGGTTTTGGGATGTTCAGAAGGAACTCAAGCAAGAATGTTGGCAATCATTCAGGCTTCTATACTGCGTATTGGGTCCCAGGAGCATCCAAGGATTGAGAGTTTAGAGCCTACCCTAAGCTCAGAGACCTGCACGCATTTTTCCTGCTATATAGAGTTTAGGGTTTACCCTAAGGCTCCTGGACCCTCGTAGTGAAATCCCAAACCTTGGCCCCCAAAGCCCAAACCCTCCCCCAGAAAGCCCATGACCCTCTTAGGAGCCTTAGGATGTTGTCTGTGGTTGGGGATTTGGCGTTTTAAGCTCAGAGACCCTTAAGCAAGAGCCTTCTGCGAGCCAGGGACCCGATTTCCCCTACGTATCAAGCGATATTGGGGCAGCTTGGAACTTACCCTCGGTTGGTAGGGAATGGAGGAATGGGGTACAATTATAGCTACTATGACTCCCATTCTTCCATTCCCTACTGACCAAACGTACGGGGATCGAATCATTGTCGCTGATAAGAAGCACTTGGGAGTTTCCGAAAATTCGGGATCCTCATATAGTACCCTAAATAGACGGATCCTTATAAGGACCCCAAAATAAGGCACCCCTAACTTTCGGAAACTCCCACCTTTCCAATTTACCCGGCTCGACTGCCTCAGGCTCAAACCTCTGCACCTAAAGCCTACGCCGTAAACCCGAAAGCCTACTACAGGGGAGTTTCCGAAAGTTAGGGGTGCCTTATTTTGGGGTCCTTTTATTACGGGTCCTACTTTTTTGGGTACTGTATTAGGGTCCCCGATTATCGGAAACCCTCACAGGGGCATTGATAAGTCGGGTTCTGTGGCCCACTATCCTATAATAACTATAATAGGGAACCTTTGGGCCCTCATGTTACAGCCGATGCCCTGTACCCGGAAATCCAAGAGGGTTTGAGCGCAACTAGAGCCGTATGGACTGACGTTTGTGGCACTCGTATTCGCACAAGAACACCCCCTACTTTGCACTCACCGTTGCGCTGCCACGGGGCTCCGAAGCCCTACTGCATATAGCAGTTGTTCATCATATTGACCGGTGCCCAAGATAGCGGGTCTACGATTAGACGGTAACCTCACTGCCTGAATTGGCCCCTCGCTTGAGCAGGCCTGTGGAACAACCACGAGCCCATATATATATATATATATATATACATATATATATGCAGTTTGGGGTGAGGGTTTACGTCCGCGACTCTTGCCTTGAGCTTAACTACTGGCTGGAGCCCAAACAACCGTACAATTAGGGCTTCCGGCTTGGTCTATATCAATCTATCTTTCGGTAAGAGTAACATGATCCGCATACCAGAAGCCCCCAGAATAATGCACCCGGCCACCATGCAAGGTGAGGTTGTTGCCACCAAACAAGCTCCCCACCGAGGGCTCGATGGCATTCACCTCATGGCTGTCCCACGAGACTGCGGCTTGAACAAGAAATGTCATGTACATATTCGGATTTAGGGTTTGGGGTCCATGCATATCCATGTATATCCTCCTAGACTTCGGTGCATACTGGGTTGGCGAAAATCTTACAAGGTACCTTCTCGCTCAGGGAAGTCGAGTTTCTATACCCTCAAGCCCGAACTGCCCTAAACCCTTAAACTCTTGCGCCTTAAACGCTAAACCTCCGTGGCTACACGGTTCTGCGCGACGAGACGACAACCAAAGCAAACACAAACTACACACAACGACGACAGCAACCATCACAATAAGAACCACCAACATATGCCATAACAACAGTCATGCGCAAATTCAACATTGTAGCTGTAAACGACAGCCACCACCACCACCACCACCACCACCACCCCACCACCATCACCACCGGCAACAGCACCACACCAAAACCTGACGACGACGACCACCACGACGGGCACCACAACCACGACCACGACGTCGTTAACGACCACAAGAACACAAAGTAGAGGAACCAACGATGCCGACAACGGCTCTGACGGCAACCGAAACAAAAAAGCGTGAAAACACACCAGCAGCATAACTAGCGCCAGCACCAGCACTAGCACCAGCGCAGCACCAGCACCAGCACCAGCACCAGCAGCAGCAGCAACAGCATGGCAATGGGGGTTCGTATCCAGAACCCTAAACCCTATGAACCCTCGGCCTTGAAGACCCACACTGTAGTTCCCACACATGTCAACCTTAAACCCTGAGCACTAGGTAAACTCCCAACAGCGAAAGCCAGGTCGCCTGGGGATACACAGTGAAGTGGTAAGCCTGGCAATCTGCAGGGCTTCCATTTTCAAGCTATGGGGGCTTCGGGCCTTAGCGGCTTAGCCTTTACGGCTTGCTGAGGGTGTGAAGGCTATAGGATGCAGCATGCAAGCTAATGTGCAGAACTATTCATACCAAGACAACCTGAACCCTGCATGCTTAAATCGGTGCTGACACGCCCTGCGAGCTGGATGGAGGGGTCTGAAAGATTGGCTTTGGGTGAGGGGTAAACCGCTATGAGTATCGTACGACCAAAACTAGGACTAGTGCTGCTGCTACTACCACCAGAACCACCACTCCTCCCACTCCCACTCCTACTCCTACTCACTAGCGCTACACCACCACCTCCCGAAAGCCTCGGCCATGCCTTCGTGACTTTCGGGGCCATTGTTGCTCAGATTTTCGGGCCTTGGGTTCCACAAAGTTCCCAGAGTAGTTAGGTTTACTCACTCGGGTCCAGATACCCAAGCGGTAGGCCTTTAGGTATCGAAAAGATTCAGAGGAGAGCATTTGAGGCCGCAAACCCAACTAGCCGGATACTGCTTGGACCCTCTACCTCTGCTTGAGGGGTTTAGGGTGATATAGCCAAGGCGTGAAAGATTACAGTTGAGGGTTTGAACACTGACTGCCGTGTAACCGTACTGACGCTGTTTTGTCTTAAGAAACCCGATCTGTGGCGCCTGAAGAAGCTGGGTAGGGTCTTGGGGTATACCTTATAATAAGGAAGCCTGGGAAATGGCATTACTCAGCATTCAGAATGGGGTTCCATGAGCTTAGTTAACGTATAACATGTCTTAACACCCTATCCTAATTCATAAGCCCCATAGCATATGTGTTGCAAGAGGGACGCCTATCTCGAATCTTTTCTCTTCAGCTCAAGCCGCATGAACTGCAACCAGTACGTAGAAGTTCAGCGGACATAGTAGCTGCAGCTATGAGTACATACCACCCCTGCTTACAATCCCAAACCCTGCTTACAAGCCTACTCGAGGGGGCTTACTAATCAGAATAGGGTTTTGGGGCCCATTATACTATAACTCTACATAAAATAGGTAATGATTTAAGCCTCAAGATTAATTATCAAGTGCCAAATTACGGATTCCAGTGTTTTCAATCCATGGTCTAAACCGCAAAAACCTGAATCCATAGTATCGATCGATACCGTGACGTCCGCAGTGAAATGGGCGAAAGTTGAGCCACTCCGGAAATCTGAACGACTTAGTGTGTCTTTGAGGCTATGTACACCCCAAATCGGCATTCCGGCAGCAACCAATCTGTGCACATGCGGATGCATTTCGGAAGAACAAGTGCAAAAGTGCATTTATCAGGGATTACCTTTTGGGCCTCTCTCCTGTTCTTTCTGCTCACCCCTTGACTTGCGCTGTGGCAAGCGCAACCAGCGAGCACAGTTTCTTTCAGGGGTCGACGCTTTGAGCCTGTATCCAAGCACTTGCACAACGGCAAGCGTTTCAAGAGCATGCAGTAGCATGCAGCTTGACATCTCCGCTCTTCGAGGTTTCGGGTTCAGAGGAGGTTTTGGGTTTAGTGTTCAGAGGAACCCTTAAGAGTGGGTTAGGGTTTCGGGTGTAGGGTTAAGAACCCTTAAAACGAAGATCCTAGTATAGAACCCTATAGCAGCCTTGGAAGTGGACCCTATTTTCCCTTTAGTAGCCATTCGAGGGTAGCATATGAAAGACCCGACAGGAGCCCTTCAAGGGCTAGTGTAGTGGCCCTTAAAAGGTATCCCATTATGGAACCCTACAGTAGCGTAACACTCGACGCTGCCTGGGCTGTCGCCAGGTCGATCGTACCACTCCACACATTCCTGGGCTCCAAACTGGGTTCCTAAGGGTTTAGGTTTAGGTTTAGGATGGTTTAAGGTTTAGGAGTTCTGTGTTTAGGTTTCGAGAAATCAACGGCAATCCACCAACCCACTCCAAAGAACAGAAAGAATTCGAGGCCCTCTGGCCTTTGTGAAATCCTCTGAAAACCTTGCAACACAGGACAGCATTACAAGCAAAAACCTTTAGCCTCCTTCAAAACACACCACAACACCCCAATGCCGACCGTCCTGAGGATTCCAACCAATATAACCCCAAGCCCTGACCTCTTCTAGAACCCTTATGCAGGCTTCTGAAAACAGGGCACCCTAAGATAGTACCCTAATTTTCAGGATCCCCTCTAATTAGAAGGACACCAAAATAAGGTACCCCTAATTTTCGGAAACTCTAAACCCTAAACCCTTTACAGAACCCGTATAGATCCCTTTAAAGGAACACTTATGGATCCCTTTACAGGTACCCACTAATTTTCGGACACTCCCCTATAGAACACTTCAAGAGCCGTTGAAAAAGCGCTAGACGCAGGCCAAGGCTCCCAAAAAGCCTAGCGGGGAAGCCTAAGTCGTTTAGAAACCGAATCCCGAAGCCGTCAAGCTCAGCGCCCTTTTCAGACACATATCATATCATATCATATCATATCATACCATATCATATCATATCATATCATGACATATCATATCATATCATGACATATCATATCATATCATATCATATCATAGCATAGCATAGCATAGCATATCATATTATCATATCATATCATATCATATCATATGTATATATATATATAATAGTACCTTCATAGTACACACACACACACATATATATACATATATATATATCCTGATAGAACCCTGATCGAGCCCTTACAAAGCCCTCAAAGAGACCCTAAACTCTGAAAACCCGCTACAGTATACCATCTTAGCAAGGCGTAGATAACTCCACAAACGTAGAATTCTGTAAGGCACCCCATAAAAAGAAGAATGCAAAACATGCCAAGCATCTTCAGATTGCCATTGGACCAGGAAACCTCGGGCTGGATGATGGCAGCCATGCCATAGCCGTAGGACGTCCCTGCCTGTCTTAAGGTTTAGGGTTTAGGTTTAGACGAAAACCCTCGTGAAGCTCGCCCACCTGCTCGTCTAGAGTTCGACGGCCTTTCCAAATCGTTCCCCAAGTCCCGCAAACGACAAACCCTAAACCCTAAACCGACATTCTTCCAGCTTTTGAGCTGTACAGCAGGGCGTGTTAGGAATGCAACTGGGTGAACTGATGGTGGCCGCCCAGACTTCTGACCCCCCAATCTTGTTTTAGCGTGGCCAATCAAACGATCAGCCGAAGCTTGTGTAGTCGATTTGAAAATGAGTCGTCAGGAAAGACAGATGAAGACAGGACCTGTGTATCGACAGAGCAAAGCCAAGTTTCTTAATTAGAACCAGTTCCGAAACTTCATGTTCATGCTCATCTCCACGAAGGGCTCATCCAGGAGCACTTCACAGTATGCAAACCCTAGGCTTTTTTGGGGCTTGCGGCCTCGGCGCTGAGGATTTAGCTTTGGCTTAGGGCTTAGGGTTTCAGGGCTCGTGTTGTTTCTGTAACAGCAGCAGCACCAGTACCGGAGTGCAGCCGCTACCGTTCCAAGTGCTCTCACTGACTCTGTCGCTTCGCAAGCACTGCTACTCTGACTCTTTCCACCATCCAAGCTCTTGCTCTTCATCTGAGCTTGTGAGCATTTCAGTTGCTGTTATGGTTGCGAACAATCCGAAACAAACCAAGCTCAACCCCTGAACCCTCCACTGTCTCAGACTCAAAACCCCTAAATCCCAAACGTATAAGCCCAGAGCCCCATCCGTGAAAAAGAAACACACCTTAGACTACAGATAGACGCGTTTTGCGATGAAAAGTGTATTCCTTCAGTAAAGGCTTTGGGGAGGTCCGGGAAGCCCTATGTAAACCCTCAAGCCCTGAATTCCGATATCATCTGAGAGCACTCTAGAGCACTTATGGGTGGTTCTCTGAGCCGTTTGAGGTCCCAAGGATAGTACGGTACCCTAGGGGGGACCTGAAATTAAAGAGCTACCCATGAACAGCCGAAGCTAGATACTCCCTCAAAACCGATGCAAGCAAAAAACTCGAAAGCCCCATGGCCATAACATAGGAAAGCCCCATAAATAAAATTCCCGAAAACATTTTGAAGCACATAGAAGTATGAAAGCCCGAAGCACTATGAGAGACCCTTGAAAAACCCCGTGTAGAAACTCTTGCAAAATGTGGTAGACCCATTACAGACTACCCCTGCTACCCCTGCCTTATAAGTCCCCATACCTCGTGCACTCTCTCTTGAAACCCTTGTGAAGCAAGCATCATAAAGCCCCAACCCTAAACCCTACCTTAAATCCTAACACAGGACCTGCATGATTCGAATAGTTCGAGCTCTGGTGTGCGTCGGGATACAATTGCAATCATGAACCTCTATGTGGGAATTTCCGAAAATTAGGGGTACCTTATTTTGGGGTCCTTATAATAAGGATCCTACTATTTAGGGTACTATATTGGGGTCCCCTATTTTCGGAAACTCCTATGTTGCAACTTGAAATCCTGGCCTGCTCCTGGGTGAAAGGGAAGCACATGCTATTCCTGAGCTGCTGGCGTTCTCAAACGAAAAGCATCCTAAACATGTGCCTTAAGCTATCATAACCAGCCTATGTGTAGGGCACCTCAAATTTCTTTGCTAGGTGTTACGATCGTTATACTGGAACATGCGCAACAGCAGAAACCCTACTTCGGTTAGGTAGTATTTTTAGGGAAACCCCTTAAAGGGTACCCCTTCCGAACCCTACTTCTGGCTCTCTTTAAAGGGATCTTATTGAGAGGGTCTGTATCCCCGAGGGTCCCCCTAATCCTGACTCCTAGAAACCCTACTTCGGTGGTCTTTCGAGCCCTAGGGATGCCGATCTGATCGGGGCAAGCGTGCTGCTTGGTTCGCATAATAATCCTACTTGTCGGGTATCACGGGGAACTAAAGGTTAGCCTTTTTGGTAAAGAGGGATTATATAGGGGCTATACTACCCTAAAGGTTAAAGGTTACCTACTCTACTACTAGGTAATGAGCAACAGGCCACAACAGTTTAGGGCACTGACGGGAATAAAACCTTAAACCCCAAACCCCACTGGGAAGGGCAGGGACTTAGTGAGTAGGTTATAAATAGAGTTATAAGTACCCTAAATGGAGTTACCCCAATTATAACCCTACTTATGAACGACTTACTAAGTCCCCTGCCCCTCCAAGTAGCCACTCTAGAACCCGAAAGGGCCCCGCAGAACCATCACTGAGCCCTGTTAGCATCCGCGAGGATCCCAAACGGAGCCCTTACAGATGCTACCAGAACCCAAAGACTCTAAAGTCTCTTCTAGGATACCCAGGAACCTAAGCATAATAAGGCCTCTCTTTTTGGTATTGGGTAACTTTATAAGGAACCTAGGACTACAAAAAGGGAATAAGGGTACTACTGGGCATCCTTGTCTTAAGGCCCTCCACAGTTCAAGGTACATTGCTGAAGTTGGGTGGGTTGGGGGGTGTGGGGTCTACGGGAGTCTGAAAACCCTAAGCCCTAAACCCCTAAACCCTAAACCCCTAAACCCCTAAACCCTAAACCCTGGAAACAACGCTGGCGAGGTACGGGCAGTCACCGTTCTGGCGATCCAGGCTGTTGACGCGCACTGTGAGGTTGTAGTGGCCAGGCACCACCTAAGTCGTAAGGACTTGTGGGGGGGGGCGGGGACCCTAAAAACACCAAAAAAGGACTTAGTAATGGTCTAAACAGGCCTATTAAGGTTCCCTATGAGAACAATGCTCAGGAGGCTCGGTTAACCCAGTATCGAACCCTATAAAAACCCGCCAATACATGGTTTGAAGTCTGTGGCCCTAAGCCCTAAACTCCCTAAACGCTGAATGACCTTGAACCATGCAAGGACACCCAAACACCGCTCTACCCCCCAGAGCACCACAGACGCCACATAATGCCTATAGGCTGTCTTGTCAAAAACCGTTGAAAAAATCGCAGGAGCAAACGAACTTCAATGACTTCAGATGGTAAAAACCCTCAACTTCAATGACTTCAGATTGTAAAAACCCTCAACGCCTTAAACACTAAACCCCATACCTGAAACCTAAACCCTCAATTGCTGAACCCCTAGGTGGGGCTTTCAAGGCTTTTGAAAAATATTAGTAAATAAGATCCTCTTAAGCCCAATAAGGGAAAATATAAAACGTCCCAAAGCCCTACCTAGACCCCTTCTGAACCTGACAGGGTCGGGTTACGAGCTCATCCTCCGGGAGTCGGCAAGTCACCTGGGAATTCTGTGCATTTGGGGGGGGGGGGGGCGTTCTTGGCGGCTTTGTTGGCTTAGGCTTTAGGCTTTCGGGCTTCTTGGTTTGGGGGGGGGGTTCTTAGCGGCTTTTTTGGGTTTTGGGTTTAGGTTTTCGGGCTTCTTGGTTGGGGTTGAGGGGTTAGGGTTTAGGGTTTTGGGTGTTGAGGTGTGCGGACTTCTTGGTTGGGGTTTAGAGTCTAGGGTTTCTAGGAGGGTCCCTAGAGTTCAAGGGCGTGCGGCGTCCCTCTTTGGGTTGTTATGTAAGAGTTTATAGCGTGTTGAGGGTTCGTACCATTTTAATCTGTTCGAAGTTCGTCCGGTGTCCTGGTATGGTTCAAATTTGGGTGTACGGATTTGAAGAGGTTTGTAGGGTCCAGGGTTTAGGAAAGCTTCGGGCTTGTGGGCCTTAGGGTTTGGTCTTTAGTTGGGACCTGCACAACAGTGCTCCTGTGCCAGGGTTAGGTTCAGGACTTAGACCGCTTCGTATTTAGGACTGGATGTGGGTTCTTCTGGAAAGTAGGTGCTGCTTTCCCTACAGAGTTCTTATCCAAAGGGTCGTGCGTGCAGTGCGCACTTCATGAGGGTATACAGTATACATCATGTCATACATCCTTCATTGCCTAAACCCTAAACCCTGAACCCTTTCATGTTTGGAAACTCCGTAAACTCTAAACCCTCAACCTTGAGGCCTTACGGGTTGTATTCGGAGGAGAAAGTGTAGCATCCGAACACAAGTTCTGGATTTAGGTGAAGGTTTCAAGGCAGAGGGCACACTTCGGAAGATTGAAGGGGAAGGTTCACTAAATCCTAGTTTCAGCTTGCAGTCGTTCTCCGTTGTTACGCCATGGACTCCTTGTACCATCACTTTCCAGTCCATGCCACGTGCTTTCGCCGATGTCCACGCCGTCGGAAGCTGAGTGGGAGCGATTCCTCATCCTCGGCTGCTTTCGGTGCTTTTGGTTCCGGGGCGCTCTGTTTAAGGCTTCTTATTGGTCTTATGAGGGTTCTGCAAGTGTTCTTGACCCCTGGCTCCCGCTCAAAGGGTAAGACCCCCCTCCCCCACACATACCAACACCTACACTTGCAAGCGAACCGACATCCACTTAAAGCTGCCAGTTCCAAAAGAGAAAACCTAAAACCTTGACTGCGAACACTAATTGAGGAATGGACCTTGATCATACTGAGGATCCCTCTATAAACTACGCTGTATTGCTTCATTAAGGGCTGTCGGGTCTTTGGGTTTTTAGGGTGCGGAACGCCGAGGTGCTGTTGCGCATCCCGAATCACCGACTCGAATCTGCGCATGGGAGGCCAGCTTTTCGTGTTTGTGCGATGGCTGTTTGGGTTTCACATTGCTTTAGGCCTTCGCTCGGAATTTCAGAGCTAGCTAGCAAGCTTTGAAGTGTCCTGCATCGTAGCATCTGCAGCATTGCGTGGGGACTACAAGAGGCTGCATGTGGGGATATCAAGGGAAGATTCATAGCCTTCCTGGAACCTAAATCCCGAGATGAGAAAACCCTGAACAGTCAACGCTCACACCGAAGGCCTGAAAAAAGACCCCAGAACCATCTAAGCTTCAAAAACCCGACACCCTGACTCTGAGTCCAGCGCTTGGGGTAGTATTTGACCACCACCACTATTCAGGCACTTCGGACCCCTTCTTATCAAGCGCGCCTGATAGTGGCCCGCAGTATCTGCGCCATGGTAGACATTTCCTCCGAAAAGCGGCGTTCAAAGCTCTGGGAGCGGGAGGCCAGGGGGCTTGGTGCTCTGTTGGGCTAGGGTATAGGGTTTACCTTAACCTACCAAACCCTAGATTTTTGTAGGGTCCTTATAAACTCCATGTTCGGGTTCATAATAAGAACCTACAAGAAAAAAGGGTTTTGGTAGGCTCAGGTAGGGTTTGCCGTGGAATAGCGCGTTGGCGAACTTATCGGGTGACAGCGCTTTTCCGAGCGCTTCTATTGTGGCGACCGGCCGTTAGCCCGATGGCGGCGAGCTTTTCTTGTTTCTTTGCCACCCCAAACCGTGTTAGGTGGCCAGACCACCGGGGGGCACAGGGGGGACACGGCACAGAGACGCAGTGCACAGGGAACAATACACGGGACAAGGCAAAGGGCACAGGGCACAGGGCAGCCCCGCAAGGGTCCGGACGGCCCTCAAAACCACAGTCTTGCAGGTCGATCCGGTCCCGGAAATTACTTCAAGTTCGCCACAACCTGCTCCGGCACCGGGCCTGACGTGGGTGCTACAGTCCCCCGCTTGATTTTCGGGTTTATTCAGAGACTCCAACACTCCCTAATTACGAAATACCGCTTAGACGATATAGTAGGTGCATGTACAACCACATGCACAAAGCCTGAATGAGTACCTCTTCAAGTAGAGTAGGAACATCAGTATGAAATAGATGTGGTTGGCATACTACTTCCCTGCTGGGTGGGGCCTTGGCAAAAGAGCGCTAAGGTTATCGGATCCAACTTTCTGAACGTTAAACCCTAAACCCTAAAACCCTGCACCCTAAATTCTAAAAACCCAAACAAAACTAAACCCTACACCCTAAACCCTAAAACCCTAAAACCCTACACCCTAAACCCTAAATCCTAAACCCTAAAACCCTAAACCCTACACCCTAAACCCTAAATCCTAAACCCTACACCCTAAACCCTAAAACCCTAAAGCGGAGGATCTTCGGGCGCATGGCACAAGCTCCCACGACTTTTCGTCCGAACCTCAAACTCTGCATCCTCAACCCTCGTTGGGGTCTTTTTTTTGGAAGTTTGGGGTTTAGGGTTTAGGGTGTTTTTTTGAAGGTTGGGGTTTAGGGTTTAGGTGTTTTTTGAAGTTTGGGGTCAAGAATTTAGGGTTTAGGGTGTTTTTTGAAGTTTGGGGTGTAGGGTTTTTGTTTTGAAGTTTGGGCTTCAGGGTTTAGGGTTCAGGGGGCCCGACCCCCTCAAGCCCTAAACTTCAGACTTTGGCTTCTTGAGGGCTAGGCTTCAAGCCTAGGCCGTGGAGCCCACAACCCTAGACCTGGACGCCCTATTTTTGGGACGCTCGTTGAGGAGGGCTAACACGGGTCCTAATAATTGGCCTTTTCTTGTTCGTGCAAGAACCATGCACTTGAGAACACTTTTTACTACACTGGACCTGAAGAACCCATCAGGGTTTGGGGGTTTAGGGGTTTAAGCTCAAGGGTTCGGGTTTAGGTTTGGGGGCTCAGGGGTTTAAGGTTCAAGGTGGGGGGGTTTGGAAGTTTAGGGTTAAGGGTTAAGGGGCAACATGTTTAGCGTGGTCTCCTGCAAACTGCAAGGTGTCTCCGCCCGTCCCAGCCCACTCACGCGCCCAGAAGAACCTGGAAGGTTTAGGAGATAAAAATTCAGTCCACGGGTAAAAGGAGGGACCCTTAATAAGGACGGACCGCTAGCTATATACCCTTAATATAGCTATTATATACCCACTATATAGCCCAACATAGGGTAGGGGTCCCCGTTGAGGGTCCCTCCTTTTCCCCTTTGCTTCAGTGTTCCGAACTACGGGACTGGGATCTAGCGGCGTCGCCAAGCGGAAGGGCTCATACAGGGACGCAGCCAAGAGCATAGGACTTTTCTGCAAAGTGTTGAACAGAGAAGCAAAATGAAAGGAAAGAACAAATGTTTTCAGGGTTCTGGGTGTTGCTTCAAGTTGGTGTGACTTGTTTAGGGTTCGGGGTTGGGGGGAAAATTTTTAGGAAATAGAACAGAGCTCCTTGGAAAGGTTCCTTTGGAGGTTGGGCCTTCTTTGCTCAACAGGGATCATTAAAGGCTAATATGGGTTACTGCGGAAGTTTGGGGTCTAGGGGCGGTGGCCAACTAGTTAGCGGCCCTAGGAATCAGAAGAGGGTTCCTTTAAAGGTCTCTTTTTTATGAGGGGTCTGCCAGGGTTCTATGACACGAAATTGACAGAGTCTTTGCAGGGTTTGGGCAAGGGGACCACAGTAATCAACATAGGGTTGGGAGGAATATACTGCTACATATAAATCGGACGTGACCTTGCAAAAGGCCTTCCTTACTACATGTTTGGCTGGCATTGTAAAGGGGGTTGAGGCTGAACAATTAATAATTAGAATCGGGTTTGGGGGTGTACTATACGATACTTATAATGAGGAGCCCCCCAAAGAGTATTGGTAATTATTTACGCCCCTTTAGTAAATAATCAGATGTCGATGCGAAACACATGAATCTCGCATCGGAGGTTCTGTCGCTCGTATTATCAGTGATCCTTAGTTGCCCCCCTCCCCAATTGTAGTTTACTGAGGGTTTAGGGTCTAGGGTTTAGGGGTTTAGGGTTTCGGGGTTTAGGGTTTAGGGCATTTACCTAGAACATACGTGATCTGCCCTGAAGCCTAGACCCCTCCAGTGCAGCGCAAGCACAAGGGAGTATCGTGATACAGATATCGAAACGCCCTCGTCTTCGACGCATAGCCGGCGAGTCCAAGCCCACCAAAAATTTGCACGCTGACCTGCAGGTGACACCCTGAACCCCAAACCCTAAACCCGAAACCCGGAAGACTGAACCCCAAGCCCTAGGCCCTGAATCCCAAACACTAAACCCCGAACCGTAAACTCTTGAGAGCTGTGGCACCTTGCGGAACTCTGGCAGAACTCCTGTATATAATACCTATGGACCTCCTTGCACAAACCCTCAAAAAACCCTAAAGCCCATGTTCATGCTGCTTTGTAGAGGAGCCCAAAAGAAACATCCGAACGTGGGCTGTTGCAGGTAATGTCCCTCAATACCTTTTGTCTATGTAGGTTCTGGTCTCTAATCGTAATGTTGAAATTAAGGCTTCGGGTTTAAGGAACTTTGCATACAGGGTCTGGGAACCAACACCCTGCATTGCAAGATAGGAATACCAGTGGCCATGGTATACTAGACGTCCGAAAATTCAGACAGCGGTTAAAAGCTTCTTCTCGACTCTCAGACTACGAGAAACCCCAAACCCTAAACCCTATACCCAAAACACCGAGGCCTGCAACGCAAACCCTGAACTCTACAAGTGCCCCTAGCACCCAGCAGGGGCAAACCTGGCGGGCGGCCGACCTCAAAACCAAGGTTTTAGGGTTCAGGACCCAGAATTTAGGGTTAAAGTCTAGGGTTCAAGGGTTTGGGGTTAGGGTTTAGGACTTAAGGTTTAGGGTTCAGGGTTTAGAGTCTAGGGTTTACAGGGGTTTAGGGGCTAGGGCTTGAGGTTAAAGGTTTAGGGACTATGCACGCTTACCCTCGCTCTTTGCCAAGCGACCGTCAGGTAGTCGGAGGACTGAGCGACCGCGTCGTACGGAGTCGTGATACAAACGATCCTGAACCCTAAACCCTAAACCCCTAAACCCTAAACTTGAACCAATGTAAGGGTCTGAAGAAGGAGAGTAGGGGCTGTGGCGCACCATTGTAACGAGGAGTCAGTTGGACCTTGATACCGCCTACACTACTCCCTCCAGACTTGGTTGGACTCTCCAGGCGCTTCACGGCTCGGGGTTAAGATCCGGCTTCTTCTTCGCACCCAAAGAAGCCCAACCCCAATCAAAATACTACCCTAAACCCTAGACCCTTAACCCTTAACCCTTAACCCTAAACCCTAAAGCCTTAGAGCTCCAAAACGGTGCCCTGAACCCCTTCCCCTCTGAACCCTCCCTCCGAAATCATAAGCCTAAACTACAGCCCTGCACCCACACCCCAAAAAGGGTTTAGGGCAAAACACACAAACACACAGAAAGCAAGCAGAAACAGACAAACAGAGATGTCCAAAATCTGCGTCCCAGAGGAGAAAACCCTAAGCCCTAAACCCAGAAGAAGACAACATAAGAGGTCCAAGCATCTGCGTCCCAGAGGTGTAGTGCGCCAGGATGTTGCAAATTTTGGAGCCAACGAAAACCACTTGGGAATCCCAAGGATTTGCTTGCGTGGGCATCATGAACCTGAGTTGCAGGGATATAGGGATTACCTAGGTTTGCTTGGTGATGTGCTCTTTTGAGGCTTATACACTATACTAAGAGGTCCTAACCTGCAATTCTGCAGGGTTTGGGGTTGCAGGGCGGGTGCAGGGTTTCCGGTTTCGGGCATCTTGCGGACTCTCCAATGTTTCATTTTGTTCCATTGGATCGTGAGTGTGCAAGCCAGGGTATAGAGTTTTCGAGTCTAGGGGGGTCCCCGAAAACTACCGGTAGCTTCGTCAAGTATCCTGTATATACATGGGTCCTACCGTTTCGGATTGGGCGGGGGGGTCGTCCGTAGGTTCGTGCGGTGAGGGGTGTGGGGGACGACCCGCCTTGCCTATATACCCCCAAACCCTAAACCCAAGCCAAACCTCTGACACACAAGAATCTCGGACCAAGAAAATTGACTTGGGCAAACCTAACACCGAACCCCTAACACCGAACCCTAAACCGAAAACTCTAAGCCCTAACACCCTAAAACCCCAATTAAACCCTAAAGCCCTAGAACCCTAAACCCTAAAACCCGATAATCCTAAAGCCCTAGAACCCTAAAACCCTAAAACCCTATAACCCTAAAACCCTAAAACCCCAAAACCCTATAACCCTAAAACCCTATAACCCTAAAACCCTATAACCCTAAAACCCTTTTTTTAAAAAAAGAAAAAACCCAAAACCCAAAAAAGCGGTTGTTGAAATCGGACCCAGGGGGCCCGGAGCCGGTGATAACAAGATAAGTCCCGCCCTCAGTGGAGCCACGGTTAGGGTAGACATCAGAGATCGTCGCTGCGCCGGCCAACCTCTTCAGGCTGTTCGTAGAGTTTAGGGATTTGGGGATTCAGGGTTTAGGGTTTAGGGGTTTAGGGTGATTTGGGGATTCAGGGTTTAGGGTTTTAGGGGTTTAGGATTTAGGGCTAAGGTCCTCTTCAGTGGGAGTTAGAATTGGGGGGACCCTTGGGGTTGTAGACCCTCTCAGTAGGGAGCCAGAAGCAGGGCTAAGAAGAGTCCCCTTTAAGGGGTCTCCCTCATACTACCTGGGTTTCAGGCTGCTCGTAGGGTTGAGGATTTTGGGGTTTAGGTTTGGGGCTTAGGGGCTCTTCGACTGGAGGGTCTAGGATTGCAGGGTTTGGGGCTTTAGGGTTTATATGGTTGAAGGTGGGATGAAGGTAAACCACAAAACTCTCAACCCCTAACTGTGAACATGTTGGGGCTCGGAGCTTCGCGTTAAGGCTTCAGATTGTGGTGGGATTTGGGAGGGGATTTCGCGGCTAGAACCTATCCAAAGAGCACAGCAGCCCTGCAATGAGGGAAATAGCATTGACTGTAGAGGTCTGAGTATCGTGATTTCGACAACTCCGCATAAAGAAGCACAGCTAATCTGGGTGATCTTCTCAAACCAAAACCACCATTTTCCTCGGGCTTGTCTGGAATTGCGACTGCCTGAACCCCACCAAGGCTTGGAGAAAAAGCCGCCAAACTTGTGACATCGCCATGGCTATCGCATCGCAATGCCCCGGTCAGTTGACATCTATCCGGGGCCGCTAAACGAAACCCGAAAACGCAGACGAAGCACTGGTTCTCCTGCTGAGACCTCCTGGTGTGCACCCGCAAGCCTGAAACCCTGGGTTTAAGGTTGGGGTGTGGGGTTAGGGTTCAGGTTGAGGGCAAGAGGGTTTAGGGGTGAGGCAATGGCTTGGCTGACAAGCCCCGAATCACTCTCAAAGCCCCCTACGAACTACAGTGCTCAAGTTTGAGCCATAATACCTGCAGACTTCCTCACTCCCCAGAGACGGATGTGTCTAGCAGGGTTCTGCACGGGTTTTACCGGCTCCACAACGGATCAAACCGCTTAGCTTGGGGATTTTGGGGTTTGGGGGGTTTAGCCAGACTCCCATACTTGTATGCTCTTTCATGGAAGTCCTGGGCAGTGGTGTAGAGGAGAGGGTAGTTGGGGTCTGGGGAGGGCTTCGGGTGATAGCTTTGAGGGCTTTAGGGTTTCAGGTAGGGCTTCGGGTGTTTAGGGTCCTTAAGGCTTCGAGTGCTTAGGGTCCTTAAGGCTTCGGTGTTTAGGGTAAGGATTCAGGGCTTTAGGGTTTAGGGTGTAAGGATTCAGGGCTTCAGGGCTTAGGGTTTAGTTAGGGTTTAGGATTCAGGGCTTTAGGGCTTAGGGTTTAGGGCCTTTGAGACTGCAGCTCTCAGACACTTCAGTGCCGGTGCCAAAATCTCTTACTCTAAGATCCCTTGTGTTTCTAGGGTTAAGATCTCAGTTTTGGGGGTGATTCAAGCACTGTCCCGAGTGCTTGTCAAAAGCTGTAGAATCTAAGCTGCCTCTTGGGACGCACAGACTCAATCCTGAACTCGAAACGCTGAATAGCCCGAAGCCTCAACCCTCGAAGTGGGTTTAAGGGTTCTTTAGGGCTTAAACCGTCATGGATGTAGGGTGTAATTCTTTGGGGTTGAGGGTGTATAGTGGGTAGGATTTTCTTCTTTGCGTCGTGGCTTCCATCGCTTGGCGGTTTGGGCCCGCAACTTCACAGGCCCATCTCGCGTGCGAGCATGCAGTCATTGAGAGCGAGGCTCGCCGCTGGGAGTGCTGTTTAGGGTTTAGGGGTTTAGGGTTTAGGGCCTAGGGGGTTTAGGGTTTAGGGGTTTAGGGGTTTAGCGGTTTTTAGGAGTTTAGGAGTTTCAATTTTCCATAAATGCAATATAGGGGCATTAAGAATTCTTTATAGGGCTTTGGGGAGTATGCTGCTCTAACTGCCTATCAGGGAGTACTACTAGTAATTACACCCTCAGAGTTTTGCTTTGCAGGTTAGGACTTGGAGGGTCGGGGGACTTAGTAAGTAGTTATTACAAAAAGTTTATAAGTACCTTAATAGGGATCCTAATTGGGGTTATGGTACTTATATCTCTATGAAATAACTATATACTCTCAGGTACAGGGAGGATCAAGTGACCTAACAAATAAGCTATAAGCAGCTTCATCGGGCTGTAAAAACTCGTAACTTATAAATCTGATTATCTTACTCAGTCATAGCTCCCACTTGCTAAGTCCCCTGAACCTTTAAGATGGTTGTTATTGGTAGTCGGGGTTTGGGATATACAGTTCAGGATCTAGGATTGTCCCCTCAGCCCTGAAACCTCAAACCCTAAACCCCAAACCTCTTAACCCCAAACCCATAACCCCTAAACTCCCAAACCCTGAAGCCCCCAAACCAGTCCCAAACCCCCTACGCCCAAGCCCCTGAAGGGGCCCTTGAAGAAACCTTAAACGGAACCCCAGAAGAATCTTATATGTGTTGTAGGATGCAGGGCTCAGTGTTTAGCTTGACAGGCTTTCCCAGAGGCGCGCAGAGGCTCCCAAAATCGCGAGGATATTCGTGCGCCTAAGGCGTCTCCTGACATGCTTGGAAATCCCTGTAACATCTATGCCAAACTGGCAGCCAGAGAGTGTGCTTAAGATGGAAACAAACTAGATACGACCGAACTCTGAGTTACTTGAAGCAGGACAGGCCGCCTGTGTCTGCAACTCTTGGTGCATGTAGCTTTGCCAAACAGGAAGGCCTCCTAAAGCCGTGTTCTTTCGCAACAGCTAGCCCTACACGAGTCCGACTTCCGGACCAGCAAAGCGCGTGATTCAGAAACCGTCGACTACATGGGAGTTTCCGAAAATTAGGGGTACCTAATTGGGGGTCCTTATAATAAGGATCCTACTGTTTGGGGTGCTATATGAGGGTCCCCTATTTTCGGAAACTCCCACATCTCAAGCGGCGTAGAGACTTCCAACTTGCCGCATGCAGCTCTCCATAGACCCCAAAACCCCGAGACCTCTAAACTTTAGGGTTTAGGGTTTAGGGTTTCGGGTTTAGGGTTTAGGGTTTAGGGTTTAGGGTTTAGGGTTTAGGGTTTAGGGTTTAGGGTTTAGGGTTTAGGGTTTAGGGTTTAGGGTTTACTTAAAGTAAAAGCCAGAAAGTTGGAATATGATTGTCCTAGACCCCTTTATGGTAACTTATAGGGTATCCTACCCTGAAACCATATTCCAACTTTCTGGAGTTCCCTTTAGGCCCTACAAACCCCAAGCCCCTGAATAAAACCCTCAACCCCTAAATGGTCAAAACCCCAATCTCTAAAATTCTATGGTCTACTGGGTCTACTCTTGACGTAAACCCTGAACCCGCGGAACTGGTCAAAACTCGTCCAGAACTTATTGGAACGCAGTAGCAGTAGTAGTAGTAGTAGTAGTAGTAGTAGTAGTTGTTGTTGTAGTAGCAGCAGCAGTAGCAGTGGTGAATATGCATGTTCATAAATCTTTAAACCCTCAACCCTAAGCCGTACACTTCAAATCGTAAGCTTCGCAAGGTTTCGGGCTCCGGCGCTGAAGTCAGCAGGACCATTGGGTTTGGGGGTTTTTGGGTGTAGGCTTATAGGTTAGAAGGGGCCCACCCTGTAATAGTGACTATAAGGATTATATTAGGGCCCTATTATATTCCTATTATACCACTATTACAGGGTGGGGGCCTCTTTTAACTTATAGGGCTCAGGGTTTAGGGTTCTGTTTCGGGCTTAATCTCTATGGTTTGGGGGCTTATGGCATAGGGCTTAGGATGGCCTTTGGACTTTTCGACGGCCTAGGGTTTAGGGTTTAGGGCTTAGGGCGAAAAAGCTGCAGAGTAAGAATTCTGCACATTCCTGGCGAAAACGAGCTGCTCGCGAACAAGGCAGGCATCGACTTTGTGCCATTTGAAATCTTTGATACTCAGCCGAACGCTAAAACCCTCAACGCGGAAACCTGCCTTAAACACATTTTGGGAAGTTCCTGATTCGGATTTCTTCATATTGGTACCTAAACATGTAGGGGAAGGTTAATGAAGGTATACCCTAAACGGCCCTAAGCCTTTCAAACAGCCTGGGACCGAGGTTTCCCAGCCAGACCCTAAGAAACGGCTCAATTGCTAAGCCATGGTACTTACCGCCTGAGACGGTTTAGGCCTGAGGGGGCTTGGGATGTAGGGGTTAGGGTTAAGGGGTTTAGGGTTGAGGGTTTAGAGGTTTTCGGGGTTAGGGTTGAGGGGTTTAGGGTTTAGGGTTCAGGGGTTATGGGGTTTGGGATTTAGGGGGAGGAATTTAGGGGTTCTGGGTTTCCGGTTGCAACCCGAAACCCCGAACCCGGACCGTCAGCTTTGGATTTTGAATTTCTCAAACCTGAGACCCACCACCTAAACTGCAAAAAACGCTTCGATACTCCTAGACCCTGAACGCTAAACCCTCTAAAAACCCTCTAAACCCTAAACCCTTCGATAATTCGGCTGCGCACTTGAGAGCCAGAATCCGGGTACTGCGACCTCACAGGAGGAGCAGAGGCTGCCGTCGCCGACTTCATATCGACCCGGAGGGATTAGGGGTTTAGAGGTTTAGTAAGAGTTTAAGGGTTTAGGGTTTAGGGGTTAGGAGTTTAAAGGTTTAAGGGTTTACGGTTTTCGGGGTTGAGGATTTAGGGGCTTGGGGGTTTAGGGTTTGTGATGAGGCTCTTAGATCAGGGCTTTAGGTTTAGGAGTTATGATGCTCTCATATTGAGCCTTTCGGATTTGAGTTAGGTGTGCAGGGTTTAGGATCTATGTGTTTAAGGGTTTTTCGAGCCAACAAAAGCACCTAATCATGAACGCTTCAAAGAAATGTCCTTCCAGAGGGTGTAGGCTTTTATCGCTGCTGCACTGTCTTGAGAGTTCATGCAGGGGTCTCTATGGGCTGTACTGGCATTTAGCCCCAAACCCTACACCCTGCTAGAGGGTTTAAGGATCCACAAGGTTTCAATCAAGCTCATGTAGTGGACATGTTACGATTTATGCTTCAGGGATCCTGAATGCTTAGAGAATCAGGGGACTTGATAAGTAGGGCTCAAAGGCCCACCCCCCATAATTAAGGGCAAGAACATATCACCACTCTTGCCTCACTCGTAACGGAGGTGCTGGGGCTCAGAAGCTTAAGGAGTAGGATGTGCAGGGTTTGGGGCTCGAGGTTCCAGATTTAAGACACCGTGAAGAGGAGCTAAAAACCCGAGACTACGGGCACCCTCTGCACTTACGGGTATCTCTTATACAAGGGCTCTGGGCATCTGTGGAGTCCTGACATTAGGATTCAGGGAGGGGGGTCTGGGGTTGACAGAGGCCGGTTAGTTTGGGGAAACGGGTAGGATTCACGGCTATGCAAGCGCCCTTAACTTCAGCAAGACCCTAGCTCAACAGAATCCCGATCTAGCCTTCCGAAGACGGTCCCTGCTTCAGCATCCTGTGTCGATGGAAAAACATCAGGTCGTGGGTACGACCCTCTGTCTTACGAGACGGCCACTGCCATCCGACAAGGCTGCTGGAACTTCTTTAGAAGGGTTTGGGGTCTCGGGTTTAGGGGTTTAGGGTTTAGGGGGTGAGCCCTGAACCCCAAATCCTCTGAGACTACAGCCAATGGAGAAGGTGTGCTTGACTCAGGGGTCAGATGA